AGCTTTTAAAAGATTATTTAAGGAATTTAATGCTTTTAAACTTAATATATTTATAATTAAGGGAGTATTTAAATATATATTATATAATGAAAATCTTTATAAATATCTTTATATTTTTAAAATAAAAATAATATAAAAAATAAAGAATAAGTTAATAAAATTAATTAAGAAATTTAAGATAATAATTTAAGGTTTTAATAATAAGGAAAAGCATATAATATTAATATAAGCTTTAATAATTTAAAGGATAAGCTAATAAATCTTATTTATATTAAAATTAATACTTATTTATTATTTTAAATATTATATAAAATTATAAAATATTACTTAAGCTTATATTTAGGTAAAGAATAAGCTTATTTATATAATTATTATATATTTATTATTAAAGCTTAAAAATAAGTTTTCTTTAAATATAATTTTAATTATTTATAAGCCATTATATAAACTTATAAAATTAAGATTGTATTAATATAAAATATATTATATATATTATATAAAAGTATTAAGGATAAAGGTATTAATATATAATTTATATTTTTTATATATAATAAGTAAATTATATAACTTTAAAATTATAAGAATATAAATAAATAATACCTTTTTAATTATTATTAAAGCATTTTTAAAGAAAGAAAAGAATAAATTATATAAGAAAAAGTTTTATATAAAGTTAAAGTAAATCTTAAAAAAAGGTAAGCTATTAAAGTTTAATAAAGAAAGAATTAATTTCTTAAGAGGAAACTTTTTATTTATATAAAAAGAATAAATAAGCAATCTTAATTTAATTAATAATTATATAAAAAGTATATATTATATTTATTTATTATATAAATTTAAGATTTTAATATAAAGAATATTAATATATTTAATATATAAATTAAATAATAAAGGGAAAACTTAAATAGGGAGATTATATTTATTTTATTAAAATTAAAATGTATAAAGTTATATATCTTTATAAATAAATTATTTATTAATAATAAAAACTTTATCTTTTAGCTAGGATTTATTATTATATTAATAATGGAAATTAATTATATAAAGAATAATTTTTAAATTATTAAAAATATAATTTATTAAAGTTTTATTAAGTATAAGCATATAACTTAAAGCATATTAACTAGCAAGCTATATAAAATAATAACTAGCTTTAATAATAATATAACATTTAATATAACTTTAAATTAAATTATAAATTATTTAAGAAAATTAAAAATTTAAATAATAATTTATATAAACTTAAGATTATTATATATATACCTTATATAACTTAAAATAATTAATAAAAAGCGGTTAATAATTAATATTATATTTTTATAAAAGGCATATAAAAAGAAGGAAATCTTAAAGGTATAATGAATTAATAAAAGAAATAACTTAGCTAATGCTTATATAAAGAAAGCTTTAAATAAAGCGCTGGAAAATTTAATCTTAAATAATATATTAAGGATTAAAATTAAGGTATACTTAAAATACTTAAAAGAAATAAGCATATAAGAAATATAAGAGGAATGAAAGGATAAAATTAAGAAAGGGGTTAAGGGAAAAATTAATAAATTTATATAAATTAAAGGGAGTATAAATAAAGCTTAAATAAAGCTAAAATATATAATAATAAATTTAAGATAAAGTTTAAATATAAATAAAATATATAATAATAAACTTAAAATAAAGTTTAAATAAAGCTAAGATATATAATAATAAACCTAAGATAAAGTTTAAATATAAATGGGATGTATAATAATAAACTTAAGATAAAGCTTAAATATAACTAAAATGCATAAAGAATAAGGCTAGGATTAAGCTAAAACATTTAATAAATAAATTAAAATATATAATAAGTAACTACAGGATAATATAGGGAATTATTATATGGAAATCATTAAAATACTTAAAAAAAAGAAAAAAAAATAAGTAAGAGGAAAGTTAATTTTTAAATAATATATAAAAAACGCAATGTATAACTTAATCCTTAAAAAGATTAATATATAAAATTTAATTATATAAAATTTTATCCTTTTAAAAAGATATTATATAAAACCAGGATTATAACATAATTACTTTAAAATCTTATAAATAAAGGCATATAGGTTAATTATTAAGCTGCCCTTCTTTTCCTCCTTAATTTCCTGCTTAATATTAATAATAAACGCTAAATTATATAAAAAGCTTGCATTATTATTATTTAAATTATTATTATTATTATATCTTTTATAATCTTTATAATTATTATAAGCATTGCGTTAATAAGGTTAATAATTTTTATAATAAGGGCATTAATAACTTTATAATTATTAAATATAAATTATATAAGCACCTCCTTAAAATTTAAAGATTTAATAATAGCTTTGAAATTAATAAGCCTTAAGTATACTTTATAAGCATTATATGCATAAGCCGCCATTATTATTATATAATTAAATTAAAATAGCATAAAAGTAGTTTAAATGTTAAAGGATTTGGGTAATATAATTAGCTAAGGAAAGGTTAGTATTAATTAATATATAAATATTGCTTAATGATAAAGTAGTAATTATATACTTAGTATTTTGCATTATATATAAAATTAAAAAATAAAAGGTATGAAAAGAAAGGGTTATATAAATATTAATATAAAGAAAGGTAAGAAAAGCATAATTTAAAAAGTAATTAATAAAAAGGATTATAATTTAGCTGCTTAAAGTTAAGCTAATTATTAATTAAAAAAGATTAAAAATTAAATTTAATGGGTTTTAATTAATAATAATGAGAGCTATTAATATAAGTAGTAAGAGAGCGTAAATTGCAGAGATAGGAAACTTAAAAGTAGGTGTAATAAGGAAGCTATAAGAGTTAATTAAAGGAAAAAGGAAGCCATAAGGGTTAATTAAAGGAAAAGGAAAGCTATAAAGGCTAAATAAGGAAGTATAATAGACTGGGGAAGTCGGTAGCAATGCTGCGTGGTCAAATATCAATGCCAGTCCCATCACTTTGCTACGAGACAATGTAGTACCTTACCACGCGGATATTGATCATTGCTTGCCAGAATTTCTTGGCCTTCACCAGATCTCTTGGAACCTTTTTCTCGCCTGTCTCTATCGTCACCACTATCCTTGGCCTTTCTTTTGGATGAGACATGGGATATCGAGGCACTCTCAGTGGGAGCTCGCAGCTGTATTCTGCCGAATAGTAGATCTTCTGAGTGGTCTGTCATTGTCGCAGGATGCTTCCCTTGGTACGGTTGTTGTCAGTAGGGTTCTATGACAAGAGGACGCGTTTCAGCTCTAGCGTTGGACGCGAAAGGTCATGTATTGATTGGCATGTATGTTGATGTTCCACAAAGTATGTAAGCATGATCGGATTAGACCTGCTCCAAGATTTGGCTTGCTCCGTCGATCAGTACTTCAAGCTCAACCAAATGATCAGTACTTGGCTTAGCACAAGGTTGTCGACCCAGACTTTCAGGGACCCCACAATTTACTCGGATTTCAAGATCCATGAATTCGAAAGCTTATACAACAGACACATACATTCTTAGTTGCTTGAGAGGTTGAGATCAACTTTCGCGCATGCACCAGGAACAGAACACTCCTATGGGATCATAGGCACCATAGATTCCGAACAAAACCAGCGGCTCAAGCCCCTTCTGGACGAAATAGAGCTACAACCTGGGAAGCTAGCTTTCCACTCCCTGGAAACAGTGATAGATCAATCACAAACTTTGCCGCGGCTTCAAAGACTGGGGTCCTGATGGTCGACCACCTTGGAAGAACCCACTTCGTTCTTCGCCTTCTGTGCCCACGCCAACGACCGTCGGCCTCGAGGAAAATGACAGTCTTCGTCAATTAGCCGTCCAGTGTTTGCGGAAGCTTTCCAATTCAGGGCTACCTGAATCTATGGAATTCATCGCCAGCACGACATCTCACTTTCAGTCCGGTCTAGATGATGATTATTCCACAGTCGTAGAACAGTTGCTATGTTGGCTCAGATTCCTGGTTTCAATCATCCTCAACACCGAGAATCTTCGACAACCCTGCGCAGGTGCTTCCCTGGCATCATCGCCATACATGTAAGCACATGCAGCTCAACGCTACAGCGCCTGCAATCAAGTACGGTTGAGTAGTGAGCATCAATAAATGTCAGCCTTGAAAGACATGGAAATGACAATCTCTGCATTTACATGATGTAATTCCTCAGAATGACAAATCTAGTTTTGACACCATATTAATTGTTGAAAGGCAAGATGTGGTAACTTTTTTCGGCTTCATTTACGGTACATGTATGCTGTAGGTTTGGAGTGAGATGACTCCCCTGTGGATGTGGCCTACGATGTTGGGGACGAGGTCCTGCGGGGCTCCTTTGATCTCGGGCGAGCCAACCACACCGCAGATGGTGAGTTGATCACGTGGCCCGCCAAGAAATTTAGCGCCAAGGACTCCCAACCTCCCTGTTTTCCGATCGTTGCCTGTTCATCTACGACGGAGACTTTGCATCTCCCACTCCATTCCATATCATCCCTTCACACAACACCACTATGGGACGACGTCGCACATGAGCGCTCCCAGTTCAAAGGTACTCGCACCGGCGGGTGACCGCGCATGTCTGCTCAGCGCTGAGCGTCGATGGCACCGGTGACGCGCGCCCAAGACCAGACGCGACTGGCTTCTTACCACTGCTTACGGGCAGTGGAAGACCCAGGGCCTTGGTGATAGCCGTACTGGATGCTGTTGAACTAGTGCTGGGCGAGACATGCGGGAACGGTGCCCTCGTCTCTCCGGCTCTCATACTGTCGTCTCGATTGATTTGACCACCTCAAAAGGAGTCAAGGCTGCTCTGCCAACCAGAAGCCTGGGCGGGCGGGGATCCTGTTCTTCATCGTAACAGGTGATATAATACAGGGGCCAGAGTCTTCTCGCGGTTTGTGTGCCGTGAATGTCCTCCAGCTGACCACATCCAGGCCTCGCCTTCCGTCCAGTTCGCAACCCTGCACTCCAGCGACCGGATCGGCCTTGTGCATCATGAGTTCCTCGGATCTCATTGATGTTACTGCTCAACCAGCCATTGCTTCCTGGACTCACGAAAACGGGGCGTTCCGTTATCTCGAAGCCCTTCGATTCCATATCTTTCACGATCCGTCGACTAGCACCGCATTCTTCAAGCTACGGGCCACGGTGACGTTCAAGGCAACTGGCGGGAGACCAAAAAGGACAACAGCTGCCTGGCTCCACATTGCTCCCGAACGAGTTGAGACGATTGCTCTGGAAGACGAGAAAATGTCGATGAGGCTATGAGCAAGAAGCTTGGATCGAACACCGTCTGTTGGCACTTCTCTTTGACTCGACCGGGCACGCTAGTTCTCCCACCGGATTACGATATCAAATCACAGCACCAGCAATCAGATGATCCGCTCAACGGTCTCTGGGCTCTATCTCGGGCCACCAGGTTCTCTATCTCAGCTTGCCTCCCTGCCCGAACCGTTTCCAGGAGACGTTTGATTTCATTGTGTACGGCTGTGTTAGGAGGGGATCTTACCGCCGACAAAACGGTCGGAGACGCGTCTGCGGATGTCAAACTCGCCAGCAACAAGCATGCTGCTGATACAACTAGTTTATATGGTGGTAAAGGCGGGCAGGTTGTTGAGCTCGACAGCCTAGACCTTCCAGGCCCTGCTGGCAACGAGGCATCCCCGCCACCGTACGCAGATATTGGACCTAGTCCTCCCTTTGTAACGGATACTCCCGTGGGGAAAAAGCGGCGGAGGACCAGCTCAGAAGCCAGTGCCACGCCGTGTCGGGAAGACGACAGCAAAGCCATCGAAGACAAGACGGCCTTTGCTAAGGCTCTCAAGGACGACTTGAAGGCAGAGCTGAAGGCAGAGTTGATGAGCGAGCTCAGGGCTGACGTGAAAGCCGAGCTCAAAGACCAGGTGAAGACTGAGCTGGTCAAAGAGGTAATACGGGAGATAGAGGGGCGAATTCTCCATCGCGTTGAAGAACGTCTGCAGGAACAGGCAGATGATTTCGAAAAACAATTATACGATCTCCGGCACGAGTTTGGAGCCACGATCTACTCCGAGGTCGAGGATCAGACGTACACGGCTCGTAAAGAACTGGAAGATTTTGTACAGGAGGAAATGGAAGAAGCCCAAAAACGAGTCGAGGAACGCATAGTAGATAGATTAGAGTGTGCCAGCATGAATATAAGATTCAATGACCGCTAGAACTCGAGAATCCGTTCCCTGTGTAACCGCTGCGCGAGTTCTGCGAGACTTCTGAACTCCGTGGCTCTGCTGCTGCTGTGGCCAATATGGTGACACTCGCTGGCTATTGAAATTCATGACCTTGCCCACCCAATGACAATGCACAAGAAGGCTTGGAGGTGTGCAATCACTTGTGATGGCCTGGGCCGAAATAATTGAGCACCTCACATCTGAAGACAGCACCGTCACAACGACATCAGGGTTAGGCTTCAAGGCCCAACCAAAGTGACGCAAGTAACACTGGGCAGGCCCAACTTTCAACACAGCTAGCTATTCGAGACACCTTTGCACTCGCTTCCGGCCCAGCACATCAAACCATCGTGACCCAACCAGTCTGAATTACTGGCTCAAAGACCGGACATCATGGCGCCAAGCATCCGCATCCCCAAGGCCGAGGACTTCGAGTCCTTGGAACCAGACCTGACCGTGTCTCTGCACTTCCCCTCGCCGCCAGAGTCCACCACCGCCATCCTGATCCTCTTCCACGGTCTTGGCGACACGGACGCGCCCTTCGCCGGTTTTGCGCAGAGCATCAACCTTCCAGGCGTTCTCGGCATCTCAGTGCGAGGCACCAGCCCGCTGCCGCCAGCCTTGCTTGGGTTGCCGCTTGACAGTGGCCCACCCAGGAACTTCCACTGGGGCGACGACTTGAACCTGGGAAGCTCGGGTGGACTGGATGCCGACCCCGGGTTCACCAAGGCGGCAGATCTTGTTCTCAACAGACTCATCAGGGAGACCTTGGTGGACAAGTGCGGCTGGGAGCTGTCTGACGTCCTCTTCTTCGGCTACGGACAGGGAGGCTCACTGGCATTGGGCCTGGCCTCTAAGATACGTGAGGGGCCTCAGGTTGAGGAGGTGAAGGAGGACAAGGATGGGAAGCCTGTTGAGACAGGCAAGGCGTTCAAGGGTGTCGTGTCTATCGGAGGAGACCTGCCGCCGTCCATGATCCCATCGCTCAGTGCGAGGCCCAAGTCAGAGACGCCAGTTCTGATTTGCCGCGGCAAGTCATGCGACACCGTGGATGAGGATGCCGTCGATGTCCTCAAGAAGGAGTTCTCCAACGTGCAGGATGTCAAGTGGAACAAAAAGGACAGCACCATGCCCTCGAGCCAGGAAGAGGTGTTGCCGATGATGAAGTTCTTCGCGGACCAGCTGCGGACTGATGCGCTTTGAAGGGGCGTGGGTGGCACTTTCTCAGATCGGTCATTTGTACCTTCACCCTGACCAGAAAGGCGGATGCCTCGTGGGCCTCTCACCCGCCAGCGTGCGGCTTCCTGTTATCTAGGCCATCTACCAGCACACCCGGGTCGTTGTTGCAGAGTCTGCCAGAGTTGCAGTAGAACCCTTGCCACGCTGCTCATAAGATAAACAACACAACCTTCTTCTCCGGTCACAGTCTTCTTCCTATCCGCTTTGTACCGGAGGTGATTACCGTCAAACCTATCTTCATCCGTCTCTGCATTTCATACCAATATCCAAGCGCAACTCGTTTCCAACAATTTGTTCGACATGTTCTCCACAACGTATCCAAGTCTCGCAGGTCCAGGGCCAGGGGACCACGCTGGTCCATCGATTCCCCTCGAGGATCTCGACCCCAAAGTCAACCCAGCGGAAGGCGACGATTCGCTGGATCTCGGTGCTGGCAGCACCGGCGACAAGGGAAAGCGTGCCATCCCTCTCGACGACCTCCGCAAGGCCGTAAAGGGCATCGAAAATCTCCAGGCGGGGTCGCCATCCAAACTCCATGACTTTGTGGCCACTGATAATGGCATCGTTGGCAGCGCAATGGCGGCACTTCCTGATACGTTCCAGCTCGACCGGTCGAGCGCTCTCAAGGTCATGGACAAGTCTGAGGCCATCGAGGGCTTGTTTTGCCCGTGCATCACTTACGGCAAAATCAGGCATGAGCTGGACAAAGCCCAAATGGACCGTGTCGGTGAGATATTAGGCGAAGAGGACGAATTCAACGCTTGCAATCGGCCCTGCTGTGGCTACGCAGCTGTCACCATCTTATTGCTTTGTGAGTCTGCCTCGTGACAGATAGTGCTACCTACGGCATGAACTGACCTGACTGGTGTTCCAAGAGTTTGGCGGCGGGATCTTTGCGACCAAGCAGACGAAGGCGATCAGTCTCTTCTACAATCTGGCAGCGCACGAGGGCAACAAGGCGCTGAACGTCGTCGCCCACAATGCCACCAATCTGCGCAACCTGGCCGAGGTACGGATACGTGAGGAACTCAGAAAGAGGCTTCACCAAGATACCATGCAGAAGGCCCAGCAATACGTGTCTGAACTGCCCATGGAAATGAAGAAGATGCTACCGGATCAGCTCCCTCAACTTGATCTGCCACTGCCTGAACAGCTCACTCAACCTGACCTGCCACAGGTGCTAGAGGATGCGCTCCAAGACGGGAAGCCAAGAGCCGTCTCTTTGGTCGATCGGTTCAGAGACTTGTTGACGAGGAAGGCCTCGGAACAGGCTGAAAAGGCACCTGAACCGGGTCTCCTGACGACCATCAGCCCTTCCCAAAACTTGAGCACTGATGTTGCTCCTGAGTCAAAGGAGGACGAAGAGAAGCTCTCCTCCCTTGCCGTCGGAGAGAAGAAGAACACCAACAAGGACGAACAACCGAAGAAGCCGAAGACCAAACTCGGAAGCCGGCTCAAGAAGAGTCAGAAAGGAAAGGGGAAACAAGTAGATCGGGAGAACGAGCCTCCGGTACCTGTAGGCCCGCAGCCGGAAGACGAGGCAGACAAAGTCACACAAGAAGCAGACGGCGCGCAGGAAGCTATCCCCGCAGTCCGACTAGAGCGAGGACAGTCGATCGTAGAAATACCTGCCAACGCTCGAGTACATTCGTTGTCGGAAGACACATTCCTCATCGAAAAGCCATCCCATCTGCCACACGATCTGGACTTGGACAACATTGTACCTCTTGACAAGGCACGACTTTCCCATATCCTCGAGCACGACCAGATGATTCAGTTGAAGCCAGCCCCTGAAGAACACCGCCTCTCAGCAGATTCCATGATCCCCACGACAGCCCCCGCGCCTGGCCACTTCCTCGAGGGCGATCCTGTCGTGTCTGGGCCACGCCAGATCCTCTCCCACGAGCTTCTGGACGACCCCATCGTCAAGCGAGCCAAGGCGTTCCTGCCTCACACGCTCGAATCGGACAAGAAGGTCGCAGTGGCAAAGGCAGCCAGGGCGCACAGCCTCGCCAACGACACGATCCTCCCGCCTCCGCCCACGCCAGCCGCCCACGACCTCGACAGCGACAAGATAATCGCAGCGCTGGTCCCCGCCGGGCAAGAGCACGATATCAGCCGCGACGTGCGCATCTTGTCGCCGTCGGGCCAGGTGCGCGCGACGCACATCATCGATGCCGACGAGATCATCCGCGAGACGGCGCATTTTCGCAAGTCGCCGCGTCCGGACCCGGCTACCATGCCTGGCAACTGGGCGTCCTCGTCCGCGTCCGAGGGAGGGGCTGAGAACAACAATAACAATAACCTCGTGGCTTCCCTCAATGCCGTCGTGAACTCGGCCGACCGGGCGCCGGAGGAGCTTGGCCACGAGCAGCCGGCCGAGTCGGGCAAGGAGAATAAGGCTGCTGGTACGTCTTGAGCGACTCCCATGTCCACTTCGTGGCATGGCCATATCTTGCTTATTTACTCGTCTTGACTGACCCGGGCTCGCAAGGACTAGATGCGCCTCCAGCCCGCGGCTTCTGGGGCAGGATGTTCCCCAAGCGGCAGGCCCCTGCCGCCGTCGCCACTCCTGATGCTACTGCCCCTCCTGGTGACCAGCCGGCTGCTCCAGAGGCGGAAGGGAATACGGAGGGTCAGGCACAGGGCTGAGTGTTTGTACACTGGCGTTATGGAGAATACGGAACTCTGAGTGGGATTGGGCATACAAGAGGTACGGGCGTCGGCCAGTTTTCTCTTCAGGTATCCATGGGTGGATGAATCTTGACTTGCGCAGGGACGGTTAAACGGTGGTCTCATACTTTTCTTCAGTCGCATTGACTAGTCTTACAACGAATCTCCTAAATCGACTACCACTAATACGGCTCTGTACAAATGGAGTAATACAGACAAGATGATGTTGCTTTCTCCCTATGAGCTGGCACAGTTGGGCTTGGTCACTCGTCTTACGCACATTTCTGTGATTTGTGGCTGAAAGTCGAGCATCAAATCATCCATTGCCTGCCAATTAACAAGCATGTAGCAACAGCTCATATTTTTCTTTCAATGACATTTTTATTCGACTGGCTGGACTTGATCTGACAAGTGGTGGAGGTTAAAGGCATGCGCGGAACTGCGTGTCGCGGCCCAATGCTCTTCTTGTAATGTACATTGAAAGAAACAAAAAAACGGTAGGTCTTGCGTGGCTCCCACTTGGACCCCAAAGGCTTGCTTCTTGTGTGTTGATGGTTTGTTGAAATAGGAAATTACGGGATGAATGTGATGTGATGTGATGATAACCCGGGATAAGGGCCCCAAGGCAAACCCCCCGTTTTGCAAATTCGCCCCTTGGTCGATATTTCTGCTCCTTGCAGCTCTTTCACGCCTTAACTTCCAAATTGCGCAAGCAAAAAGTCAAAAACAAAGGGAAAGGCGAAAATCAGACCCCGAGCGACAAATCAGAAGTCCAGTTTCCGTCCGGTGTACCAATACCGAGAAAACAACCCTAATGCTTTATGTGAATCAATCAGCCCTGTGTCTCTTCTCTTCCCCCTGGCAGCATACATGCGATTACAGCTCTGGAGCAAATCTTTCGACGCGCTCTTTTTTCCTTCCATGGAACAGTTGCTCTGATCCTTGCCGATGCAATACATTCTCGTACATGCCTCTCTGCCCCTCCAGCTCGGTGGCTCTGTCGCACAGAGACTCAATGTATACGCATCATTGTGCCTTGTGTTCTGACTCTTCAGAGAAGCCATATAATTTCATCTTTCAATGGGGTGCACAGCATGACCAGGGCGAAGAGAGAACCGGTTGCGACCCAAGTTCCGACAAGTATGGAGTACTTTGCTGCGCTCGTGCGATGAGTGGTTTGGATACGTAGTCGAGCGAGATGACTGTGGTGGCGCCCTCCATGAATGTAGATGAATTGCGGCGGCCAAATAATGTCTGCCCATGCGAGCGACGCAAGCGGGCTATGACTAGCAGTTTTGGTAGAGGAGGAGTGGCTCGCCGACGTTCTCGATCTCGGGTATTGTGCACTTCAAGTCGAAAGCTTTGGACAGCACAATCTTGAATATCTGCAGCCAATTAGCACCCTGAGAATTGACATTGGTTGCGAAAAAGCACGAACCTTTTGCACGTTGATACTGTGACTAGTGCTACTGAAAATCAGGGCAGCGCGCGCATTGCCTTTGCGAAACGACGCGCCTGTGTACTCGATGTTAGCCTTGCCATGGCCGGTAACTGTGGTTGACACGAAGCATCCGTACCTGATTCGATATCTCCTCCTGGTCCTCACGTGGGAAGTTCACAAAGTGGTCGTACTTGGTGCCGACCAGGATAGGGATGGCCGTTTTGTTGAAGCCACGTCCTTGGCGGTACCACTCTTTGATGCTGTTCAGAGTGCTCTTGCGCGTCAGATCGAACATAAAAAGGATGGCGACAGCATCATTGCAGACAAGAGGCAGCATGTTCACGAACTCGCGCTGTCCGCCCAGGTCCCAGATGCTGAATGTGATCTCCGTGTTCCGGATGCTGATTGTCTTCTCCATGAAGTTGACGCCCAACGTCTGAATGTAGTCCTCATCCCAGCTGCCCTCGACGTATTTGACCATCAACGACGTCTTGCCGATCTGCGCATCTCCCACCATCCCGACTTTTATCACGACATGGTTTCGGCCGTTTGCGGCGCCTGGCTCTGAGGGAACGCCTGCGGACGCGCGATCCCCATAGCCCTGGCTGGACACCTGTGAGGGCGGTCTGGAGATATTCGAGCCTGCTTGGGCATTCTGTGGGATGGGAGGAGTGGTGTACCGTGCTGCAGGGTCCATTTCGTCTGGGGAGTAGGGTGCATCAGCCATGGCTGAGTCGAATGATTGCGACGGGTGTGGACGGTGGTTGCCGTTCTCGAAGCCATGTCCGCCGGCCATGTTCGGGGAGCCCTCGATGCCGCCGAGAGTGTCCTCTTGGCCGTCCACGGGCGGCTGATCGTCCATAATGTCTGTCGCGTGGTACAAGTGGGCTGGGGACCCTGCCGTTATTGTTGATGATGAATCTGACCGAGGGGGGTCGGGTCAGCAGATGTGAAGGGGGCGGCGGGCGGGAGTAGGTGTGCCGAAGTGAGACAGTCTAATGAGGGTTGCGTCCTGGAAGCGCATTGTTTCGGAAGGGTGGCGGCGACCTAAGCGCCGGGGGTTGACTTACCCAGGTTGGCGGTGGTGATTGTGCGGCGGCTGTCACCGGCGTCGGGGTCAAGGAAGGGTGGTGACGGAGTTGGGGAGCAGCGCGAACTGGAACCGAGGGGTTCAAGGAAGGGAGGGCGGCCTTATCCCAGCAGCGGCTTCATGAAGCAGACGGCTGTCTTACTGGGAGTGAGACCTAAACGCAGGTGGGGGATGGGGCAGGGCGTGTGAAGCGGAAGGGAGCCGCTGGACGGTGCTCAGCTGGCTCTCTCTCTCTCTCTCTTTCTCTCTGGTCAGAGTTCAGTTAGTTGGAACGGGAGGGCGTGAGCAAGATCAAGGTTGAGGTCGAGGGCCAAGTCCAAGGTGGTAGAGGGAGGATGTGGGAGGGTTGATTGGTGACGGGGAGTTTTGGTGGTGCAGCGTGGGCTGAAATGCGACATGGATAAGCCCGTTTGGGGACTTTCAGGTACAGACACATACAGTATGGATTTGCCGGGGTGGTCGATCTCAGATGCAGGCCGGGCTCGAAGGGGTCTTCTTGTACGGGAAGAAAGGCAAAAACAAGGCTGAAGGGTGCTGCAGTCTGCAGAGAGCTGGCAGTTGTCGGCTTGTCGGGGTCAGCGTCACTGTCGCTCACACCGACTGGGACTGGGGCCAAGTGGGCGCAGCTATCGGCGATGCGGGCGCAGGGCAGGCAGGTAGGGCAGCGCAGCGCAGCGCAGGGTGCGGGACAGGGTGCGGGACAGGGTGCGGGACAGGGTGCGGGACGGATTCGAAGCCTCAAGAAGAATGGAATAATCAGCAGTCGGATGCGCTGGCGACCATGACAGAAGACGGTGGATCATGGACCGTGGGCGGTGGATCGTGGAGCAGCAGGGTGGCCTGGCCTGGTGGGCACCGGCTGAGATCGTCTCTCGAGTTGGGACCCAGTCCCTCCGTCAGTCCTGCCTGGCCCAGGCAGAGGAGGATCGACGTTGGCTCGAGGTTCGATGTGTGGAGGTGGGTGTTGGTCAGTCGGGTCGACTCTCTATCATCGATGCCGTGTGCCGGATGCCGGATGCCAGTGTGTTTGGAGGTTGGCAATGAACAAGTTGGTTCGGATCCAGTTCGCTTCGACTCTGGGACGGGATATTGGGCAAGCAAGCCAGGTCAATCTCCCAGGTTACCTGGACACGAGTAAACACCGCGGAGCACCCCTCGTGGCTGGCCTGACCCTGCAACTCTTTCTGACCTGTGCTGCACTGCATGCTGTGCCCCGTGCCCTGTGTTGTCGTGCTGAGCTTTGACCCAATGGCACGGCTCCGTTGTGGACCGCAAGACCAGGACGGGGCTCCACTGAGGGGTCGGGCTGTTCGGGTCAAGTGGCCCAGGAGTTCATAGCGCGACAAGCTTGCTGCACGCTGAAGGGAGAAGAAGATCGGAGTGGACCAAGGCACGGGCGACGCGACGCGATGCGATGCGAGGCGTGTTTGTTACTGCAGGCGATTTACAGCGCAGGCTGATCACACACAACACATCCTCGTAACTCTATCTGCCTCCTCTCCATCATCCGATTGCTCTGTGTCTCTAGCTTCTGACCTCATGAAACAGCAACAGCTGGCGGTGAGAAGCCGTCACCAGAGCAGAGGGGCCCGAAAAACGGCCAGCCAAGCATCAGCAGCACCAACTGCACAGAGTGCATGGATGGACGGATAGCTGTGACTATGGGAAACCGAATCACCGTCGCCAATTATTAATGGCACACCACTATGGCCATGCTGCGTTGTCCATGACCGTTTCCTTCATGCGCCGCGTCCTCCTCGACAGCTCATGCCTGTCTCCCGCCTTCCAGAATGTCTATATCACGGCCGAATATCGCAATCCCCCTTCTCTAGCCACGGGACGAGTATGGACTACCCGTGCTGGCGTACCGAAGAGACCGCAGGACGATAAATTTCTGTTAAAATGCTCATTCGTGAACAACCCTTCGCCCGGTACTCTGGCGTCTTCCTCGAAGCTTCCCACTGGCGTCCCGGAAGCCCACAGTCCAGAGTCTAGACGGCTAACAGTGGGCGGGGCGGGCTTGTGCTAAGCATTACGATGACGAAGTTTCAATCACGTTTGCCGAGTACCTCGACCAAGTCATCAAATCGTCATCGCATCTCGTCAGCCTCGTAGGCCTGGGCCTTTGTCTGCCTGTGCCTATCCGCACCAACGGTTTACCCTGTAGGAAAGTCTAGCATGCAAATATGACAAAGTGCTAGAATGCATAGCTGGATATCTTAAGAACTTCCAAGTTGTTCGGGTCATGCACGACATTGCAACGGACGATACGACTTTCACCCAAACTTCCATCCTAGCTCCTGGCAGTAATAGTATGTCCAGACGGTAGATAATGTCAAAGGCCCACATCGTTGAGTGCGCATGAAAGGGGCACGCTGAACAACTTGTCTTGTTCAATCGGCAGCCGGCCGAGTGGTCTCATTCGGACTACTGCGACCTGGTGTTGGGAAAAGTCAGGTAGCTTAGTGCTATTGAACAAATGGCTTCTAGACAGTGCAAAGGATCCAGGAACAGCCGTCAGACCACAAAACTCATCCAGTCATCTCTAACCTCCTCGCTGTGAGGATTCGACGTGGGAGCGATGCCCTTCTAATGCCACTGTGTGTGGAAAACCAAACGTTACCCCCCCCCCTTGCAAATTTGACTCAGTCGCCCCCCCCCACCGGGCACAAAAAAAAGCCCTCTTCGCGCGCGCGACTACGCAGCGTTTGCGCTGCTTCTTTCCTCCTCAATTTCCCTCCCCATTACTTTCCTCTTCCTCTTCGCCCTCCGCAAGTATTTCCATAGCGCGTGCAAGCCGCTCAAAGGCATCCACTGCGCGCCTTGCAAGTGCTAGATATTCATCTCCTCCAATTGGAACTTCTGGTGTTTGAATTGGTTGACGAAGAAGCCGCTGAATCGCTTGAATTGCTTGGTTTGCTTCCTCCGTCTGCTTATTATCGCATAAACGAAGTGCTTCTTGAAGAGGCTCAATTGCAATAAAAGGGAGAGGTTTGCATTTGCGATTACCACGTGCACACGCAGCGCAACGCCCTCCTGCGCCCTTTTGGTCGTGACAGCGATGTGAGTGATCGCGAGAGAGGCGAGAAATGCAAGGTGCGCACCATGTGCGAAGAGGGCGCGAAAACGCTACGCGGGCGCGCTTGGTTGGAGGAGGTTGTGACATTTTGAGAGTATGCAGAAGACGCGAATACGCTGCGTTGGCGCGCGCGCGCGAAGAGGCTTTTTATATGCGGGGGGGGCCGACTAAGTCAAATTTGTAGGGGGGGGGCAAACGTTTGGTTTTCCACACACAGCAAGTACAAACCGCATGCCCTTCCCGCCTCCCTAACACCCACCCCCCTCCTGCAGCCAAGTCCGGGTTAGGGCCATGTGCCGGTCTCGCTTTACCTAATATGCATTAGCGCTGAAATGCCAATCGGCGCCCGGCTATCAGAGGCACGGCAACGGCGACTCGTCGGGAGACAGGAACGATTCATCGTGCTCCGAATCGCCAGCGCCATTGCCTCTTGTTTTTTCCCTCCTCATCCCTTCTGTCCAGGTTCGTCAAAATTGTCACCGCCATGGCTTCAGTCGCACGCTGCATGCGGGTCGCAAGACCATCCGCCCTCTCAGCCTTCCGTCAGACGACTGCCGCCCGCCCAATCCACAGGTTCAACACGGCCAGGTCCTTCTCCGTGACAGCTATCAGTACGGTCTTCCCCCCCTCCTCCCCCAGCGCCGAAGCCGGCCGGCCACTGTTTTTTCAACGTCAGCCCTTTTCCTGTCGCTCGTCTACAGAGAAAAATACCAGACTAACAGATTCGTGCTTTGCTACAAACAGACCCCATAAGGAAGTACACCAAGGACCACGAGTGGATCGACCTGTCGGCCGACAACAAGACGGGCGTGATCGGCATCTCCGAGTACGCTGCCGAGGCGCTGGGCGACGTCGTCTACGTGGAACTGCCCGAGGAGGGCCGCGAGGTCAAGGCCGGCGACGCCATTGGCGCCGTCGAGTCGGTCAAGTCCGCCGCCGACATCAACGCCCCGATCGCCTGCCGCATCACCCACGTCAACCTCGAGCTGGAGGAGAAGCCCGGCAACATCAACAAGGTCCCCGAGGACGACAGCGCCGGCGGCGGCTGGATCGCCAAGGTCTCCGTCGACGAGGAGGGCGTCAAGGACCTCGAGGCGCTCATGGGGTCCGAGGAGTACAAGGCCTTCACGGCGTCCGAGGGCGACCACTGAGGCGGGAAGAAAAAATGATGGGAATGGGAAAGGGGCATGGGGGCATGGGGGCATGGGGGACATGTGATGTGATGTACATATAGATACATCCAGGGGGCTTCGCGGCATGTGCATGGCAGTTCAACCTGGTGGAACAGCAACTGATTTAACATTTGCACAAGGATAGGCGTTTTCGAGCTGGCGAGGACGGCCCAGGCCTCGCGCGGTTGGCATTGACAACAAAAGATTCTCGGCTCGCTTGCTTGCTCTCTGTATGCGTTAGAAATGAGGCAAGGTATCTAGGTCTAATAGAACGTGCAATGCAGCCAAAGTCCTCTTCGTTGTCTGTCCATCACGTCGTCGCCGCAGTAGCAGCAGCAGACGTGGTCCCAGCCGCGGGTGTCTCCGCCCTCGTTTTGTTGATGGCCTCAAGGATCTTGCCGGCGCCCTTCTCGACGAGAATTGATGCAACCTTGTGGCCCAGCTCCTCCGCGCCTTTCGCATCTGATACCTCCTGTGTGACCTCAGTCTCGGCGCCTTGTGATCCGTCCAGGCTGACTACTGTGGCCCTCATCCTCAACACCTGCCCTACGCCATCCTCGCCAGGCACCCAGTCCGTCTCGACGCCAATCGGCACGCTGCAGCCACCCTCGAGCGTCCGCATGACTGTCCTCTCCGCCTCGCACGCCAGCATCGTCTCTGTGTGCAGCACACCCTTAAGCAGCCCCAGCGTAGCCTCGTCGTCGGACCGCACCTCGAGGCCCAGGGCGCCCTGGCCGACGGCGTGCAGCATGCCGCCGCCCTCGCTCGCGGAGTCGAGGTACTGGCCTATCCGGTGGCCGCAGTCCATGCGCAGCAGGCCCGCGGCGGCGAGGATGATGGCGTCGTAGCCGAGGCTCTCGTCGTCGCACTTGCGCAGGCGCGTGTCGATGTTGCCGCGCACGTCCTTGAACACCAGGCCGGGGAACTTGCGGCGCAGCTGCGCGGACCGCCGCACGCTGCTGGTGCCGACGACGGCCCCCTCGGGCAGGTCTGCCAGCTTTCGGTACCTGCCGCCGTGGGACGCGCGGAAGACGACGACGTCGCGCGGGTCCTCGCGCCGCGTCACGCAGCCCAGCACGCAGCCGTCGGGCAGCGAGGTGGGCATGTCCTTGAGCGAGTGCACGATCATGTCCAGCTCGGGCGGCGAGCTCGTCAGCATCGCCTCGAGCTCCGACGTCCACAGGCCCTTGCCCAGGTTCGGCAGCGGCGTCGTCTTGTCGCGGTCGCCCATCACCGACACCGTCACCGTCTCGAACTTGATGTGCGGGTGCGTCTTGGACAGCTCCGAGATGACGATCTCGCACTGCTTGAGCGCCAGGCCCGACCGCCGCGTGCCCACGCGGACGGTCGTGCCGGAGGAGAGGGGCACCGGGGGTGGGGCGTCTACCACGGCCGCCATTGTGTCGTTATTTTGCGGGATTTGCGCGGGATGAGAGGTTGTATTGGTGAGATGAACAACTTGCAAGGGTCCGCTGCTCAATTGACAGCTAAGATGGCTCCAATAGGCTGTTGCTGTGTGGCTTGTGCGACGAGGGAGATGCCAGCTTTTTGACGTCGGGCGTGCATCGGCGAGGAGGAAGCTTACCGCGATGGAGGGGTCCAAAAAAATCCCAACCCTGGCGAGCGAGCGTGAGTCGACGGTCACTCTGACTTCACATTTCCTGTCTGCAGGTGGTATTCTCCAATTTCTCTGTCATTTACTGTACAGTCATCATTGAACTTTCATCACAGGTGTACTGGCATTTCCCGAGCTCTTACACTACTAGCCTTGACATTGCGTGCGACAAAGTCCTGCAACGATATATCGTATCCTCTCCATGCAGCATTTACACGGGCGCTGGAACTGGATACGCACCACGATTACACATCCGTGACACATTTCAAGGATATTGTTTTACAGCCATCGCCCTTTTGCTATCGATTTTCCTAGTTTTGACCATGAGTGGCCCTGATTTGCTTCGGCGTTGGGTACATCAGGACTTTGGAGGCATAATGTCACCACACGCCGTTTCCTCGATTTAGTCATGCAATGGGACAACAATGGGGATTCCGAGCAAAGGCCCAAAGGCAGTATGGCTAGGCCTGCAGCCATCGGACATACCGATGGCACATGAAAGAGACTGAGCCGTTTCCATGTTGCACTGTATCATGTTCGTGTCCCTCCAAATGGACCAGCGAAGTCGTCGCAGTCATCACAGGAGCGTCGTCATGGGCGTCGGCTCGAGCACAGGTCTGTCACTCCTGATGTCGAACATCGTGGGACGTGGAGTACGTGGAGTACGTGGTAGGCCTCGGTGGTCTCTTCACCTCCACTGTGAACTGGTCGTATCTCGCAAACTACAACACTGTCCGGTCAACCGTTGCAAGTCTTACATGTCCAAGGTCTCATCGTCCTACTCAGCCCTTGCAGACGGTTCAAGACCATTGGCCTTAAGGATCCCGCTCGCCTAACATCACGTTCAACATCACAGACGGTGGGCACATTTACCTGAGAGGAAACGCGTTGTGGACGCCCGGCTTCCTTGGTGGGAGCCATCCTGAGCCTCTTAGAAACCCTGCTCGAGACCTGCCAGCTTCACACAGAGACTGGGCCGTCCAAGCTCGCCAAACTTGTGAACACATGCAACCTGACATGACATGTCCCTGTGGAGGCCAACTGCTCTCAGGCTGGTGATCTGGATCTATAAGACATGAGCACGTCATGCTCAATAATCTTCCATCCCTAGTTATATGTGCTAGACACTGAGGCCGTAAATCCAGACCAGTCTCCTTTTCAGCGAATTCCCTGCCAAAGTACCCTCACATCACCACCAAGATGAAGGCTGTCATTTCCCTTCTCTTTGGGCCTGTGGCACTTGTGCAAGCTGGGCTGAGGCACAACGAGATCGGCGACCCGGCATCAATGGCCAAGGTCACCAACGCATCCGCACCTACGTGCGGTGTCGGATACACATACTGCGGGTACATTCTGCAGCAGGAGAAGCGTGGGCTCCTCCCTCCTTCCAAGCTCCATGACAGCTACCACTGACACAGATATTTCCGGCAGACTTTGAGATGGGCGCCATCCTCACCGCGTACTGCGGCGGCGGCGACTGTGACTCGGCGACAGGCACAACGAGAACAGATCCCCTGCAGGCCCTGTACGTGTGCCTCCCGGAGAAGGCAGTCCCCAGGAAGCGCGACGCCGACGATGACAAGCCGTACTCCGGGCCGGTCAAGCTTGAGCTCCTGTGTGCCTGCAGCGGGGATCCGTTTGATGGCGAGGAGAATGTGTGCCTGAACCCTGCTGGAGACCATATTGGTCGGTGCAGCACGCCTTGCGTGAACACCGATTGTGTAGGGAAGGCTGATGCTCCTGCGTCGGATTAGTTGATTGAATGTTCTTGCGTGCTGTGAGGCATTCCTGGGTCTTGGTTCCAGTGGGAGCGGTAAACAAGCATGTGAATAACCTCATTCATTATCCTCTTGACCCTTTGTGTCAATTAATTGGGTTTCAGCATCCTCCAGACATGACTTCCACTCTAATTAGAATCTGGTCCAGCTTGTGGCAGTGAGCAACACTAAATAGAGACACTCAGAGGAGACATTGACTATTGTATTCAAGAGAAATGTGAATTTGACGTGCCAGTGATAAAACTTTTAACAAAGATCTCTGCTCACAAGAACCTAGGAGATACGTTCCATATTTGTCAATATCCTCGCTCATGTTCCTTATAAGTATCATGCAGAAGGGAATTAATATTCCCCAGACCGGAATTGTCAAAATGAATGCAGCTAGTGACAATAGATAGCGGGACCCAAATTCCAATTACCACAACTGATAGTTTCTCAGACAGTGCCTGCCCTTCAGCTGTGGACATTCCTAGTATTCATTCAAGACACACACACATATCATCATGGCACAGAGTTAAATCTTCTTTCGAGATCAAAATAGTAGTGAAAACAAAAGGATTCACATGCACTTGGAAAAATAGTTGTCTGCCCCATGAATCGAACATGGGTTTCTTCGGACCGTCGAGTTCTTTGAAGAAACCACAACGAAGTGTACTAACCACTATACTAGGCAGACGTGAAATTTCAGCAAATAACTATTCTGATGACGTAATTTTGACTGAGCCCCACACCCCTGCGGCTGACTGTAGTATCCCAACAACATCAATTCATGAAATCTTTCAGACCACAGAATGCGTATGGAAAGAATTGAATGCCAAAGATAAACAAGAGAAAGAAAGGAAACAAGAAGAAGAAAAAAAGGGGGGGGGGGAGCTGGGGAGGGGTGGAGGGATGATAAGGAGATCCTGAGAAGGAGTTTACTACTTGCTGGTGTAACTGCCCCTGACGTATCAAAGTCTGCAGCATGCGCAACTTGAATATAACCTGCTGGAGAAGCTCTGGCTTTGTCGATTGCGGCTGTGTTGATCAAGCTATCTAATTCCCTTGGATAATACTTTATATCTTTCCTCCTCTCTCCCTCTCTCTCTCTCTCCATCTCTCCATTCTCACAGAATCCAAAGCTATGCCAGCCTGGGGTGTTCTTGACTAAGATTGTGCTCTAAAGGAAATCCAAACAATTTCAGGCTGCAACAAGGGTGAGATCTATCAAAGTCCAAGGTTAGGAGATAGACAAGAGCTGCTACGTATCTTGTGCATGCTCCATGTGCGGATAGTCAAATGAGTGGTGTGAAATGCTTGCCCAGTCGAAAAATCTTCTGCATCCCCTTTTGCACCCACGAGCCAATTCCAATTTGTATCAACTTCCTTGGCCTTTAACCTCTTCATATATGATCTCAGCCAACCCCTCAACGGTAAAACTGCTTGCCAGAAGCTGCTGAAAGGGAAGCTCGACACCGAACTTGCAGTACAGCCAGTTCCGCAGCTTAATGCCGATCACGCCGTCCAGCCCGTGGCCGGCTATTGATTTGTTGATTGAGCGCAACACCTCGATGTCGATCATCAACAAAGGTTGCCAGATGCTTTCTGACATATGCGGCCAGCTCATCTACCGCCAGCTCACGGCTCTGGGCCTGGCGGACCCTGGTCATGATGTTGGGTCCCTTTGAATGGCTGCCTTTACAACTGCCGTTATTGCTGTCGAAAGGGCAGAACAAAACCAAGTAAAGCTGTGAGAGAAAACCATACCACCTGTGGGGAGAAACCAAGAACCAACTGCATTTTGACCAGCAGGGTGGATGGCAGAATGTTCCTGGGAGTATGAACGGCGGATGCGGACACTGAGCCATTATTGTTACCCTATCTCACTAGTTTTATTGTCTAAAATGTTGTAGTACCTTTCCAGTACCCGTATAAGGGATCAAATCTGCTGCGCGCCTGCCGGCCTTAGTGTGTAGGAGACGGTCTGACAGCCACTGTTTGGGCTCCACAGGTATCTCGACGCTCCTCGGCTGGAATGACTGTGTGTCGAGCAAGAACTTGCCTGACTGGTTACACTCATTTGCATTCCACACCGCCAAAACCACGCTAGTGACACCGCCGTGTTGACATATACTAAATTTATATGCATATTATCATTTTAATATTATATTAAATATTTCTTAACATATATTGCTTTAATTTAATTTAACGTAATAAAAATATATAAAAGGTATTTTTAATTATTTAATGCTTTTTTAATATTAATTTTAAAAGTTTAATTATATTATAATTTATATTATAAGTAAAATTTTAAATAATATTATAAGTTTGCTTTTAATTTTATAAAATTTAATATAAAAAAATATAAGGTATTTTTAATTTTTAAATGCTTTTTTAATAATTAATTTAAAACTTTAATTATAAAGAAATTTATATTAAAAATATAATTTTAAATAATATTTATTTTTTTTCTTAAAACTATTAGCTAGGTCACGTATTGCAATACAACGTTTAGTTAATATAATAGTTAATTATTATTAATTATAAAAAAAAAGAAGGTAAAAGGCTTAACTATGCTAGCTATTTTATATGCAGCGCTAAGGCTGCTACCTGCCAGGCATTCTAACGAGCCAAAGCTGCCTAATCCCAAATAATCCTCCATATAAACAACACCCATTATTCCTACATTGGCAATCTTTATTTTATGGATGCATATCACTTTTAAAAAGTATAAAAAAAAGAAAGGTATTAAGTTAAATTAAACTTAAGGTTAAAAGATAATTAATTAATTACATATATAAGTAAATTACAAATGCGCTATTATTTCACTGCGCTATACTATTATAAAAGGTAAGTATATAAAAAGGCTTAAGTTATTATTAAAAGGTTAAAGATTAATTAATTCATTAAAATATGTAATTAATAAAAAGAGATTAATTAAGTATGCATATGCATTAAAATATTTTAATTATATAAAGTTAAAAAGCTTAAAAGGTTATAATTATTATATAAATATTTTATTTGCAATGCATTTTATAAATTTATGCTTTTATTGCTTATAGCGCTTAGGTTAAATAAAAATTAAATTAAACCCCTAAATTATTAATATAATTATTTAATCTTTAAATAATTAAAATTTCTTAATTTAGCTTAGCCTAAGCTTTGCCATACTTGATATTGCTTATTAAATAAAGAAATTAAAAAGTATAATTAAAGAATAAATTATTAAAATAAGGGTTAAGTAAATGAAGTTAATAAGTTATAAGGATTAGTAAATAAGGTATTTAAATAAAGGGAAAGTAAGGTATAAAATAAAAATTATTAATTAAGTTAATAAATAGCAATACTTTTAATTTTAATATATAAATATTAAATTATGAAATTCAATTAAGGATGCTTATTAAACATAAGCTAGCAACTTAAATACTTATAAGATAATAATAATCCTTATTACTTAAACCCTTAATGCATAAATACTATTATAAAAATCTTAAATATAAAGTTTACCCTTAAAAGAAATATAATTTAAAGTTAGCTAATTATATTGCATTATAAGGTAATTCATAGGTAATTAATAAATATAAATTAAACTTTTATACTTTTGCTATGCATTGCCTTTAATTAAAGAAGTTATCTTATTATCCCTTATTAAAAACCTTTAGTAATCTTTTTATTTTTATAATTACGCAATATATATACTTAAGTTAATTGCATTAATATTAATATAACAACCTTATAATATATAATATAATAATAATATTCAAGGTTATATTAATGCGATTTACTAATAAGTTATTAAATTATGCTTTAATAATTTAAATTTAAGCTTTAATGCATTATAATTTTCTTAACTTTTTACTATATTTAAATAATTACCTTATCTTCTTAATTGCAATTTATATAGCCTTATATCTTAATTATAATATTATTTATATTTATAAAGCATTAAAAAGTGCTATTAAAGGCACTCTTTATAAAGGCGTTAGCTAAGTTATAGTTTTTAGCAATTTAATAAATTTTAAAGATTTTACGCTTTTTATATAATTATTAAAGAGCTATAATATTAATTATAAGGCGCTTTTTTTTTATTATATTAAGCTTAATTAAGCATTTATATAAAGAATATAAGTTAATATATATTATAAGAGGAATTATTATAATATTTAAATATATAGTAATTTAATATAAAGTAATTATTAATATTATAGCTATATTAAAGCTATTAATCATATTATAAATTTTTAAAGTTAAAATGCTTTAAGTTACTTTTTAATACTTAATTAAGGATTAATAAATAATATTGCCTTTAATATTTTACTTAAAAGCTTATTAAGTTTATATTTTATTTATAAGTATAATAATAAAGCTAATTTATAAGCTAAGGTCCTTATTATTAGTAAATAAGTTATTAATAAAAACCATTAATTTAGCTTAAGATAAATTTAAGGATATATATTAAAATCTACATTTTAAGTTATTAGCTTATCATTATAATTAGCAATTTAACTTATTATAATTCTTATAAAAAGGCTTTTAAATTTAAGCTATTATTAATAAGTTAAATGCTGCCTTAAGTTAATAAATAAAAGCAAAGTATGCTTTTTATATATATTACTTTATATATTATTAAATATAATTATTAGCCTTGCTATTAATAGGCATAATCTTCTTACCTTAGCTCTTTTAATAAAGATATAAAGTACCTTTATTAAAAATGCTTATAATTATATTATTAAAAATAAGTAATTTATTAAAAGTAAGTATTTCTTTTAACTTGCATTAAATATTTACCTTCTTAATCTTTTATTCTTTTAGCTTTAAAAATATTAAAATATTAAGGAATAAAGTATTATTAATTTATATAGCAATAATAATAAAAATATCCTTTCCTTAATTTATAATTAGGAAATATAAATTATATATTAAGATAACTATACTTAAATCATTATAATAAAACTTATAATAAATTGCTTATTAATATATATTAAATTTAATAATGCTATAAAGCGATTTAATAACTTATATAATAATCTTAAAAGGGTATTTATTTTAAATTTTAAAAGGTAAGTAATATAAAATAAATTGCTTAAGCTTACACTTTAATTAAGAATATGCTTAAATAATATCTTAAAGCTTTAATTAAAAGCTTTATATTAAAAGAAATAAGGTTAAAGTAATTAAAAGCCTTTAGCTAGCTTTTTAAATAATTAAAGATTATATAAAAATATTATGCTTATCCTTATTACTATATTTAGCAATAATAAGCTATAATTTCTTATATAGCTTTTTAATCTTACCCTTAATCTTATAAATAATACATAACTTAAAGAGCTAAATACCTTTATATATTTTAAAATTAAAGCATTTAAAGTAAAAAACATTATTACTAATTAACTTTATAATCTCCTTATAATTAAACTCCTTAAATAAATTACCTAAAATATTAATTATATCATTATATTAAAGCTTTAAAAAAAAATTATAATTCTTAACCTTTCGCTAAGTAAGATATATTTCTTTTAACTTATTCTTTAATTCCTTAAGCTATTTATATTATTAAGGTTATAGCGATTTTAATATTATTAGGATTAAATTTAATTTAAATTAAATAGGCTTATTAAAAGCATTATTTAAATTAAAAATTAGTTAAATATTATCTTTATTATTTTTATTTTAATAATATAGCTAAATTAATATTAATTAAAAAACTATTAAGCTATTTAAAAAATTTAATATAAGATTATATTTATTAATGCTAAGCAATTTATATAATTCTTATTAATTATGCTTTTCTCGCTATACTTATATATTACTTTATAATAAAAAACTTAATACTTTTATAATATTTAAGCCATTATAAGTATTTAAAGCTATATTAACTTATTATTTAGCATAAACTTTATATAGCTTTCTTATAGCTTTTTAAATAATTATTGCTTTCTTAAAAGTTAAAAAAGTTAATATAAAGTCTTTTATAAGTTTTAAATATATACTAAAGATAAGGAGTATTAAAATAATGCTATTAAAGCTAATTATATTATTTATTACCTTAATAGCCATTTATAAAATAGCTTCCTTAATATAAATTCTTAAAGGTTTAGCATAAAGAATATTAAAAGCTTATTAAAGTAAAGCATAATACCTTTTAACCTTATTAATAAATTAATATACCTTTATTAATACTTACTTGCAAGTAATGCTTATAATTCATATAATACTTTAAAATTCTGCTAAGGTAAAGTTAATTTCAGCATTATAAATAATAAAATTTAAAGGTCCTAAATAAATATCTATTTAGCACTATTAAATAACCTCCTATATATCCTTTATAAAAAAAAATTAAAAAACATTTAACTTAAAAAAAATTGCCAAATTAATAACTTATAAAATAAATAAATTAAGCAAATATATAACATCCATAATAATCTCATAATTAAAGTTAACATTATCCTAAAGGTTAAACTTAAAACATTATAATATTACGAAATAAAGTTAATAATAATAATAAAACTTAAAAATTACTTTTAAAATAAAAGGATTAATATTACCATAATTAATATTAATAAAGAAGCGCAAAAAACAATTAATTAAAGGGTATTTAAACCTATAATAAAATTATTAAAGCTTTATTTTTATTAGGAATATTATTAGCATATTATTACTTCCTATATTAAAGAAAATCCATAAATATCCTTACTTTTAAGTAATTAAGAAAGTTTTCTTTAAATACCTATCTTTTTATTAAACCACCTTATTAATAATATTTTAAAAAAAAAGAAAGTTTTTATTTATATCTTAAATATAAAGAAGAAATAAAAAAGGCTTATTTATAATATAAAATATTAATAGCCTTATTAAAGTATTAACTTATATTATATTAAGTAACTTAATAAGTAAGCTTAAGCTAAATTATACTTATACTTTACTAACTTATATAATATTTAAATATATAAAAAATACTTAATATTATAAAGCTTAAAATTGCTTATATTTAATTATTAAAAACATTATTATATTTATATTTAGCATAATGCCTTAATATTATTAATAAAAGTATTAATCTTAAATAATAAATATCTTTACTAATAAATAATTTTTAAAGTTAATATAAATATTAAAGCTGCTTATATTATTAAAAAAATTATAAAAAAAAGCTTAATTTATTAAAAAGATATAATAAATATACCCCTTCTTGCTATTATTAATAACTAAAGTTATTATAATGCTAATAGCTTTAAAGTTAAAATCCTTAAAGCTAATAAGAAATGTATTAAATTTATTATTATTAACTTATTATTTAATATCCTTATATATATAAATATATATAGCTTTAATACATTATTAATCTTTAAGTAAATAATTTATTAATTAATATCCCTCTTTATAGCATATAAAATACTTTTTTTTCTTATATTATATATCATTATTATTGCCTTTATTAAGCTAATATTTACCATTATAATTACCTTTATAAAGTCCTTTATTATAGCTATTACCTTTAAATTAATAAAGCTAACTTAAGTAAAAGTTTAATTAAAAACCATTATTTTTAAAAGAAGATTAAGGGTATCTTAAGCATTAATTATTATTATTATATTGCTTATTAAGATAATATTGCTTTTTAATATTTATAATAACTAAATTATTATTATTTTAATTATTATAATTATTAATATAGCCTTATTTATAAGCTTATTAATTATTTTTTATAATTATATATTATAATATAAGGTTTTAAGCCTTTAATACCTTAATATATTATTATAAGATAAAGTAAAATTGCTTAATATTTATTAACATTATTAAAATAGCATAATGAAATTTAAGAATGCCTTATATTACTTATAAAATTATATCTTATAAAAAGCTATCCTTATAAATAATATATTTAAATACTTTATAATAAAATTATATCTTATTAATAAATATTTAAAGAATATTTATATAGCTTTTATTTAAGTTTTTTTATTAAAAAGTAAAAAAAGTTAAAATATTTTAATTTATAAAATAATTATAATAATTATTATTTATATTAAATTAATTCTTAAGTTTTTTATATATTTAAGTAAATAAGTATTTTTAATTAATAACTTAAATATAATATATTTTTGTTAATCCCTTAAGCATATATAAAAAAGCTGCCTTAAACTATTAAGGCTAAATTTATAAATTACTATAAGCTTTATAAAAAAAAAGAATCTTATTATTAAGAATATTATATAATTTTTTAATAAATATTTTATCTTTATAATAATATTTACTTAAATTAGCTATTATATTTAAGTTAAGTAGGAAGTTTTTTATTTTTATTAAAGGCAAAAAGGTATAATAATTATATATTATATAAAAGTTATTAGCTAAAGGAAGGTTATTGCCTTTTCTTAATAAATTAAAAGGTTTTAAAGGGCTATTATTACCTTTGCTATTATTATTAAGTAGGCTAGGCGGTTTAAGTAATTTAGGATTAAAAGAATTATTATTATTAAGTAATTCCTTAGCTTTTATTAAGGTATAATTAAAGTTAGGAATAATATAAATATTTAAATTATGGCTTTAAATTTAATTAATTTTAAATATAATGTAATATTTTTATTTTTAATTTATTAGCTATTTAAAATAGTTTAATGCTTTAAGGATATATATTAATTCCCTTAAGGTATTTGCTTTTTAAGTATAAATGCTCTTAATTTAAAGAATTTTTTTAATAATGCATAGCAAGTTTTTATTAATTTATATAAATATTAACTTAATTTAGCTATAAAAGTCCTTAATAAACACTTTATATACTTTATTACTTAATATATATATTATAGCTTAAATTTAGCTTTAAATATAGATATTTAAGTATTATTTATTATTAAGAAATCTTAAGGAATTTATTTATATTAAAGGATTAAGTATTTTAATAATGCTTTTAAGTATAAAAGTATAATTTATTATAATTAATATTAATAAACCATTTTAATTAATAATATTGCTTATTATATTTACTATATTATTATTATTTCTTATTATTTTAATAAAGTAATAATAGGGATATATTTAATTTAAAAAAGGGAGTAATAAAAAGGGGAAATAAGTGGTATTAAGGGAAAATAAAAAAATTAAAAGTTACTTTTATAACTTAGCTATTAAGAGGCAAATTAATTCCTTTCTTTATATTTATTTATATAATAAGATATAAATAAATATATTATTAATGAGAATAAACATTAATTCAATTTCTTTAATTATAACCACTAAATTTAAAAATTATTATCAAGGTTATTTAAGGCGTGATAAATATGCGTATGTTAAGGGTAGGGGAGTTTGCCATGGTTTCTTGCTATAATAACTATCCTTTTATATATTAGGTATTATTATTATTATAAACTGCGCTATGTAAATTTATAATATTAATAATGCCAATTAGCATAATTAAAAGGTTATTTCTTTAAGCCTTGCTAATTTATAATCACCTTTATAACTATTAATTAATATTAATTAGGTTATATATTGCAATATAATGTTTAATTAGTATAGTAATTAATTATTATTAACTATGGAAGAAAAGAAGGCAAAAGGCTTGATTATACTAGCTATTTTATATATAGCGCCAAGGCTGCTGCCTATTAGGCATCCTAACGGGCTAAAGCTGCCTAGTTCCAAACAGTCCTCCATATAAACAACACCTATTATTCCCATAAAAACTATAAAATAATATTTTTAATATTTTTTTTAAAAAATATATTATTTATATTAAAAGTATATATTATTTATATACCTTTAATAAAAATATAAAATTAATTATCCTTAAGTAATTATTTTAAATAAAACTTATAATATAAATTACTTTATAATAAAATATTTAAATTAATTAAGAAAAGAAGTATTTAATAGCTGGAAATTCCCTTTATTCTTTTGTATTAAGTTTGATTAAATTGAGTTAAATTTATAGAGTTAATTAATTATGCATATAACTTTGGTGTGTGTTAATATGGCGGTGTTTCTAGCGTGGTTTTGGCGGTGTGGAATGCAAATGAGTGTATATTACATTAGGCAATGATCGCCCATGTCGATTTCGTTGCACCGTGAATATGCAGGAGGTACTTGGGGAGAGTCTAAACTATTTGACATCTGATCTTTAAGAATGGTAGGATCGTATGATATATTTTCCTTTTTCATCCAGTCCACACCTCAGGTACGTGGTGAAGAATACCATTGGACAATTAATTTCAAGGGAAGAACAGGTCACGGAATAAACATGCCTGGAGTTGATATTGTGGATATCACCCCGCCTGCCTGCCTGCCCGAGTAGATGTGATAAATCACAGCCTATGAGAATTATTCTCGTGTTGGCATTCATCGCAATTCCGAAACTTTGTTGGCTGTCTGTGCCTGCAGCTGGCAAGGGTCATTCCTAATATAATATGACCATCCCCTCCTGTTGGCTTCCTTCTTCCTGGCTTTGAACCAACATTCGGATCGACCTGGAAGAGTTTTCGGAAATTCGACTTGGAGGAGCACGCAGCTTACTATCCTGTGCCCACTGAAACGCTGACCAATCCACCGTTGGCTCCGGAACACGTCACTGACGGGCAACCAACACCTGTTCCTCCCTGCGCCGCAGCGAGAGGCTGCCTCTAGGACAAAATGAAGACCTACGATGTTGTGATTATCGGCGCCGGTCTGTCAGGCATCAACTGCGCATACCGGCTGCAAACCGAGACCCCGGAAACGAGCTTCACCGTGCTCGAGGGGCGAGAGGATGTCGGCGGAACCTGGGACCTATTCAAATTCCCCGGGGTGCGTTCGGACTCGGACCTATCCTCCATGGGCTTCGCGTGGCATCCGTGGCCGTACAAGCAGGTCTTCGCCGAGGGAGCGCTGATCATGGAGTACATCAAGGACGCCGTGGCCAAGCACCACATAGACAAGCACATCCAGTTCCAGCAAAAGGTCGTCTCGGCCAGCTGGTCGTCACAATCCAAGAAGTGGGAGCTTGTGGTGGCGGCTCAGGGACAAACGCGACACATCACGGGAAGCTTCCTGGTCCTCGGGACGGGGTATTACGACTATGAGACACCACTGCAGACGATCATCCCCGGCCTTGACAACTTCAAGGGCAAGACAATCCACCCACAGTTCTGGCCGGAGCAATACGACCACAGCGGCCAGAAGCTTGCCGTCGTCGGTAGCGGGGCCACCGCCGTGACCCTGTTGCCCCGCCTAGCCCAGCAAGCTGCCGAGATCACGATGGTGCAGCGGAGCCCTACCTACATCGGCGCCAAGCCAGACGCGACGCCGCTCTCCTCGTGGGCCCGGAAGCTGTTCCCCCTCTCCTGGGTGGTGGTCTGGGAGCGCTTCTACCACATCACGACCTGCTACCTGCTCGTCCTCTTCTGCAGGGCCTTCCCCCAGGCCGCGAAAGGCGCCATCCTGAAGGAGGCCGCTGCCGCGCTGCCGGAGGACGTCAAGGTGAAGCCGCACTTTGAGCCAAACTACATGCCCTGGGATCAACGGCTGTGCCTGGCGCCGGACGGGGACTTCTTCGGGACCCTCCACCGCAAGAACGCCCACGTCGTCACGGGTGAGATCGACACCGTGACGGAGCACGGCATCCGGATGAAGGACGGCACCTCTGTCGAGGCCGACGCCATCGTCACGGCCACGGGGCTCAACATGAAGCTCGGGGGAGGCGTGGAGCTCGCGGTCGACGGGGAGGCCGTGTCCTGGGGGAAGAGGATGGTCTGGAACGGCGCGATGCTGGACGGGGTGCCGAACCTGGTGTTCATGCTCGGCTTCACCGACGGCGCCTGGACGCTCGGGGTCGACGCCGCCGCCATGATCCTCGTGAGGGTCCTCGGGAACATGCGCCGGGCCCAGGCGGTGTCGGTGACCCCTCGTGCGCCCCAGGAGGTGACCTTGGAGACGAGGCGCGTGTGGACGACCGATGCGACATACCGCCAGCTTGCTGATCATCGCTTGCCTGTGTACGGTGTCAAGGGGCCTTGGGGGCCCAGGAGAGTGAGTCCGTTTGCGGATTATCTTCATTCGCGGTGGGGGAACGTGACGAGTGACCTCGAGTTCCGAACGGCGAATGCTTGATCGGGAGGGAGTCCTGGAACGAGGTCAGTATTGGACTCTCTGTTCTTCCTGGGGTCTGGGCTAGGTCATCGATTTCAGCACTCGTAGTGAGGGACGTGCAGCTAGGCAAGAACTTGGATCGAACAACCCCGCAAGTTTCGCATATGCAAATGCATCGACGGCTATAATGTGGCAGATAGACAGTTCTCGAGATACTGCCTCCTGGTGACACCAGCACTGTTGGCTCACAAAGTCCAACCTACATGGCGAGGCATCCCCTGAATCACCCAAAGGTGCAACTTGGTACCTTGTGGATAGTAAATTAAGTAATATTTAGGACTATCGTCGTGGAGTTACCTCAAGTTGCACGAGAAGCAGCCGGAAACAAGGAGACTGTCCACTCTTGACCCTTCCACCCTGAGAGCAACTAGAGCGAAGGGCCTGGTGATGAGGTGGCGAGTCTCACTGCAGGTACGCACTGGTAAGCTTTTCCAAGACATGTATCTTGCAAAAGGAGCAACAGCCCGACGAGGATCCACACGATACCGCACAGCCTTGCATGTAGACGGCAACACAGCAAAGCAGCAACACGACATCTTTCCAGCAACTGATATCATAATGCAGGTAGCGATACGTTCACTGCTAGTAGATATGCGGCGCGCGGTAGGAGTGTTCACAGCAGAGTGTGAGAGTGATCCAGAACACTGCTCCAGTTCTATTTGGCGTCGATGTTGTTGATGATGCACAGAGGTTCGAGTCGCTCGGCCCCGTACTCGGCAAGATTTGGCCGACGACGGTAGCAAGCTGATGGCCCAAGCTCCGGACAATGCTTCAGTAACAAGAACCAGACCCGGCCGAGAGTGCCAGGCCGAGGGTACCCAGGCCAAGAGCTCCCTTCCCCGCATTCTCCCCCACAATTCCTAGGTGTCACAGACCAGGGATGGCCAAGTCGAAGCGCGTTTCCTGGTTTCATCCGCCCCGGCGGCTGCGTAAGGGGGGTGGTGTTGTGTCACAGAGAGACGGCCATATTTCTGGATAAATGTCAAACACGGCTGCCCGCGGGGCTACCGTGCTGTTGTGCTCTTGTATGTGCCTCATTGACTTTGTATGATACTGGCACGGTCATGGCATGCATTATATACGTGTAGCACACACAAAGCTCCAACAAGGGCTTGTTGCACCGTCGAGGCAGAGTGATCCCTGGCCTTGTAACAGCTTCGCGAAGAATGCGGGGGTGGGCCCAGCCGAGCAACGCTCGTCCTCTTTTGGTAGGTGGGTACGGCGGGCGCGGTGGATCCAGTGGCCTGACTGCTTCATGATCGACATGTCACTTCCATTCCGCGGCCCTGAGTCACTGATGAGGGGCAGAGGGGGCAAGCTTGGAAACCTTGGGTTGCTTCGACTTGAGATGCACGTTACATGTCCCAAGCCTCGAGGCTCGCCCAAGATTTGGACAAGGCCCTCCAGGTGCTGCTACCCTGTAGGCTTCTCGGCCCTTTCCTCCTTCCCACCCGCCCGAAAATCTAAAACGGACCCTCTCCGTCCTGTCCTGGACTTGGTGTGTGACCTGATCCGTCCTTCACAAGCCAGCTGTTCCCCAAACCTGGCTCCCGCAACTGTGTCCTCGAGGCCCTCATGCGCGCCTCCCTGAGCTTCTGACGAGGCATTAGACCCATCGAGGAGAGTAGAAGCATCGTGCAACTGTGCAAGCGTACAATCCTCCAGTCTCGCAATCCTCCAACCGCACAGCCTGTCTGGTGGCTGGCTGGGGAGTCGGGAATCCCCTCGACGTCACGCCCCTCGTTCCCTCCCGGCAGATGATAACACCAAACTGAGACGCTCGTCGCGCAGACTGCGGGCAGTCAGTCAGGACTTCATCGCCCATCATGGCGTGGTCTGTGGTCCGGCCAGCTTTGGCCCACAATAACCACCTCTCCTCCTCGGGGCCCGCTGTCGAAGCTCTCCTGCAGCGGTCCTCACGTGTACTGGGTAAGCTTGCCAGGACAAGAACACGAGAACAAGCCTCAAAGCCCGAGTCAAATAAACTCCATCTGTGTGATCAAACCTAATTCGCTCCTCAGATCTTGTGCCTGTCGTCACTGCTCGCAACCGCCCGCTCTCCCACCGCTATCAGCACCACTGGGTCGCGGCTCGCGCGCACAAGAAAGCCACCGCGCCCCCTCTGGCAATTGCTATCCGGAAGCAACAGCCGCTCCAGCTCGTCCGCCATGCGTCCGTGCTGTCCAGCATCCCGGCTCCGCCGCCTGCAGCTCCGGGCGCGAGCTACTCGACCGCGGTCGTCCCGCCCACTACTCCGTACTCCAAGCTGACTGTCGGTATCCCTCGTGAGACCTTTCCCAACGAGAAGCGCGTTGCCATCACTCCTCAAAACGTCGCCCTCCTGCTCAAGAAGGGCTTCTCTAAGGTCCTGGTCCAGCGCGGCGCTGGTGCCGAGGCTGATTTCCTGGATGAGGCCTACGACAAAGCCGGCGCCACCCTTGTCGATGACGCTTCTCCCATCTGGCAGCAGGCAGACATTGTGCTCAAAGTCCGCGCTCCCTCCACCCCTGCCGAGACAGACAGCCTGCGTGAGGGCCAGACAGTCATCAGCTTCCTCCAGCCCGCCCAGAACAAGCCCCTGGTTGAGAAGATTGCCGCCAAGAAGGCTACTGCCTTTGCCATGGACCTGATCCCGCGCATCAGCCGGGCGCAGGTCTTTGACGCGCTGAGCTCCATGGCCAACATTGCTGGTTACAAGGCGGTCCTCGAGGCTTCCAACAACTTTGGTCGATTTCTAACTGGTCAGGTCACAGCTGCTGGCAAGATCCCGCCCTGCAAGGTCCTCGTCATCGGCGCAGGTGTCGCCGGACTGAGTGCTATTGCGACAGCCAGGAGACTTGGCGCCATCGTCCGGGGTTTTGACACGCGTTCGGCCGCTCGTGAACAGGTTCAGTCCCTTGGTGCTGAGTTCATCGAGGTGGAGCTCGAAGAAGACGGCTCAGGCGCTGGCGGTTACGCCAAGGAAATGTCCAAGGAATTCATCGAGGCCGAAATGAAGCTCTTCACCGAACAGGCTCGCGAGGTTGACATCATAATCACCACTGCTCTGATCCCCGGCCGCCCAGCTCCGAAGCTCATCACAAAGTCTATGGTTGAAATCATGAAGCCTGGTTCAGTCGTCGTCGATTTGGCGGCTGAGGCTGGCGGCAACTGTGAAAAGACCGTCCCTGGCGAGCTGACCACATATCACGACGTGAAAATCATCGGTATGTTCGGCCTACATGACATCACAAATGCAGAGGATCTAGCTTGCTAAAATGCATCTAAAAGGTTACACTGATCTCCCGTCAAGGCTGCCCACGCAATCGTCCACTCTGTATTCCAACAACATCGTCAAGTTCCTGCTGTCCATGGCCCCTGCTGAGAAGGAGTTTGGCATTGACCTCAACGATGAGGTCGTCAGGGGTTCCATTGTCACCCAGAAGGGCGAGATTATACCCCCGGCTCCACGTCCTGCTCCGCCACCCGCTCCGGCCGCCCCGTCTACAACAGCCGCGAGAGAGGAAGAAGTGGTCGCACTGACTCCGTTCCAAAAGACATCCCGAGAGGTTGGCTTTGTGACAGGTGGCATGGCTACTGCTTTAGCCCTAGGGAAACTGACAGGCCCAGCCTTCATGAGCAATGCCTTTACTTTTGGTCTGGCCGGCTTGATCGGCTACCGCGTGATCTGGGGAGTCGCTCCTGCTCTTCACTCTCCTCTAATGTCTGTCACCAATGCCATCTCCGGAATGGTTGGAGTTGGTGGTCTGTTCGTTCTGGGAGGAGGTTACCTCCCAGAGACCATCCCCCAGGCTTTCGGCGCTGCATCGGTCGTCCTCGCTTTTGTGAATGTTTCGGGAGGCTTCGTCATAACGAAGCGAATGCTTGACATGTTCAAACGACCAACAGACCCCCCTGAGTACCCTTGGCTCTATGCAGTTCCCGCAGTGCTGTTTGGAGGGGGCTATCTGGCTGCCGCATCGACTGGAGCAGCTGGTCTCGTCCAGGCCGGGTACATGGTCAGCTCTATCCTGTGCATCAGCAGTATCTCTAGTCTCGCGTCGCAAACCACGGCCCGGATGGGGAATGCGCTTGGAATCCTCGGAGTCGGATCCGGTGTGCTTGCATCCCTCCTTGCCGTAGGTTTCTCGCCCGAGGTTCTGACCCAATTTGGTGTCCTTGCAACCGTTGGCAGCGTACTCGGTCAGTACACCCCGACACAGGTAATACGAAGAATTCAGAATGTGCTAATATGACTAGGCTTCTTGATCGGCAAACGCATCACTCCTACCGACCTTCCCCAGACCGTGGCTGCCCTCCACTCAGTGGTTGGATTGGCAGCGGTCTTGACCTCTATTGGCAGCGTTATGGCAGATCTAGACCACGTGTCGACACTGCATTTAGTCACTGCCTACTTGGGTGTCCTGATTGGTAAGTCAGTGACGAATTGTTGTAAGCATCATTGTTAACGTATCTCAGGTGGCATCACTTTCACTGGATCTATCGTCGCATTTATGAAGCTCGCAGGGAGAATGTCGTCACGACCTACAATTCTTCCGGGTCGCCATGTTATCAACTCGGGACTTCTGGCAACTAATATCGGTACTATGGGCGCTTTCGTGACAATGGCACCCGGGTCGCCAATGATCGCCGCTGGCGCGCTAGCAGCGAACACCGCCCTGTCGTTTGTCAAGGGGTACACTACCACCGCTGCGATTGGCGGTGCCGACATGCCCGTGGTGATCACTGTTCTCAACGCCTATTCTGGTTTCGCTCTTGTAGCCGAGGGGTTCATGCTCGAGAACCCGCTTCTGACGACCGTCGGCGCTCTTATTGGCGTATCTGGTTCCATCCTGTCGTACATCATGTGTGTGGCCATGAATCGGTCTCTCACGAATGTCCTGTTTGGCGGCATCGCTGCACCTCAGCAGAGCGACTACAAGATCGAAGGCAGCGTGACGCAGACCAACATTGAAGACGTGTCGGATGCGCTCGTCAACGCCGAGAACGTCATCATAGTAGTCGGTTACGGCATGGCCGTTGCAAAAGCGCAGTACGCGATATCGGACATGACCAAGATGCTCCGAGCCAAGGGGGTCAACGTCCGCTTCGCTATTCACCCTGTTGCTGGCCGGATGCCTGGTCAGTGCAACGTGCTCCTCGCAGAGGCGAGTGTGCCATACGATATCGTGCTCGAGATGGACGAGATCAACGATGACTTTGGAGACACGGATGTGACTTTGGTCATCGGCGCCAACGATACCGTGAACCCCATCGCCTTGGAACCAAACAGCCCGATCGCTGGCATGCCGGTGCTGCACGCCTGGAAGAGCAAGCAGACGATCGTCATGAAGAGAGGAATGGCGAGCGGCTACGGTGAGTTTCCTGGAGTTAGGTCACCGATGTGCACATGCTGACTGAGGATATAGCCGACGTACCCAACCCAATGTTCTACATGCCTGGTACACGCATGTTGTTTGGTGATGCAAGCAAGTCTACCAATGGTAAGTACATCCACACGATACGGTTCGTTGCTGGCATGCTAACCTGATGATAGCCCTGAAAGCTGCCATCGAGGCCAAACTGTCGTAGATTCTTCCGTGGGGTTCAAGATTTCTCATAGTTGTGAGTGTCCAGGTTTGAGCGCAGCTTCCCCTCCCCCAACGAGAAATACTGACATCGGAAACTGTTAGTTTTTGCACTTTTGTATGATTGAAAAAGATGACCTTCGCATTACAGTCCCGGCGATACAGCTTAGATACGAGGGGGTCGGCATCTTGCATCGGTTCACCGCTGTCTTGAGCATCGTATGGGGTTAAGATTGCGATGAATTTGTGTTCCTCTTTCTGAAGAGACCATTGTGCCATCTCCATTTCAGGACATTCGCGGGACAGTGGCCGGGTGGTCCGGAGTGATCACTCGGTTGTAGTTATCGGCTCCTTTGAGGAGTCATCCGCCGTCCATATCCTTTTTGAACACAGGGCAATTGCATTTCTTTCAAGCTCACTAGTACTGTCTTTAGGGCTTTTTCTGGCGTGTGCTTGAGTGAGCGTGTGAAACCTCGCCTATACCCGGGCTAGCAGGCGTTGGACTTATGCACCAATCACCTATTGTAGTGCTGCCACTTGGGACATCACGACGGCGACGCGTCTGCCGGGCCCTGGTATGATTCATGATGAGTGCTGTGACTCCTCGCCGCGGCAGGAGATAGCCCCGGCATTAGCGCCAAGGAATCCACTGCGGGCTGTGGAAATGCAACTCACTCCACTACTTTCCTTCCTAAAGCAGTTCATGCCATCAACCATGCATGTAGCATGGCCGGCCTGCTCCGGAAGGAAGCATCGCAACGGTTCTTCAATCCAGTTCATATAAAGGGACGCTGCGACAATGCAACTGACATGCAATAGTCCTTACCTGGGTCGTGGCATCGGGCACGAGATGCTCTCTCTCATCTTATTATGCTGATCTCATAGCCAGAGATACACCACCAACTCGTACCGAACTGATCAGACAATGACGTCCAAACCATCTTCCCGGGTCATTTCCCGCCAGCGAATCTTTCCCGCGGCATTTCCACCAGCCGAACAAGCAACGGTCACTCGACTGTCCATTGTCGACGCCTCTGTAGCGCGATTTTCTACCTGCGCAGCGGTATGGCTCTACAACCCGGCGCAGGCGTCGCAGGACAGCACGCTGCGCCACGAGCGCCTGCGACAGGCCCTGAGCGAGACCCTCGACGACTACCGCCACTTCGCCGGGCAGCTGCGGTGGGCCACCCGGGACGACATCCCGCCCGGCGACCCCAACCCGCGCCACGTCGGCCGGCCGCTGGTCTCGTACGGCACGCCCGCCGACCCGGGCGTCGAGCTCGTCTACGCCGACCTCGACCGGCGGCTGGGCGAGGTCGTGCCCAGCGCCGAGGACCGCAGGACGTCCGGGAAGACCTGGGCCGCCACCGACTTCCCGCAGGACGAGCTGCTGCCCTCCCGCTGCAGGCTCGCGTTCACCTCGAGCCTGGCCGAGTTCGACGGCCTGCCCGGCGTGGCGGTGCAGCTCACGAGGTTCGGCTGTGGGGGGTGGGCCGTCGGCGTCATGATGAGCCACTGTCTTGCTGACGCCGTGTGCCTGCTGCGGTTCGTGCACTCGTGGGCCGCGAGGTCGCGGGCGCGGGTCACTGGTGGTGAGCCTGCGGCGCCTGGAAACACACTCCCGAAGCCGTTGTTCGAACCCGGCCTGCTCGACCAGCACGCCGGCCTCACGGGGAGCCCCGAGCCAGACGCCGACAAGGTCGCGCTGGCCCGGTCGCTGCCCATGCACCGCTACGACTGGTGGGCTACCGATGCCCCAGGGTATCCTTCTTGGGCGACGGCGTCGTCGGACGCCACGAAGCCGCAGGGCCGGGAGGAGATGGGGAAGCTGAGCCCCTCGAGCTTCCCGCCGTGGCCGACTTGGGATATGTCGGCGCCGGTAGAGCACGTGCAGATCCGCTTCGGGGCGGACGAGGTCGCGCGCATCAAACAGGCCGCGCAGGCCACCCTGCCCGACGAACAGCAGCAGCAGCAGCAGCAGCCGCCCATCTCCCGGCTCGACGCCCTCCTCGCGCACATGTGGATCCTCATCAACCGCGCGCGAGGGCACCACACGACGCAGGAGCAGGTCTACCTGGACGTCACCCTGGGGCTCCGGGGCCGCGTCAGCCCGCCGCTGCCGGACTCGTTCGCCGGCTCGCCGATCCTGCTGGGCCACGTGTCGCGGCGCGGGTCCGACGTCGCAGGGGCGGTTGACGGGACCGGGACCGGTCTCGGGGCCATCGCGCTCGAGATCAGGCGGATGACGGCGCTGTTCACGCCGCGGGCGGTCGCGGCGTACCTGCACGACGCGGCGCACGAGGTCAGCCCCCAGAGGCTTTGGCAGGCGTTCCTCGGGGGCCGGCACACGCTGGTGACGTCGTGGGTGCGCGCGGGGGCGTATGAGGTTGATTTCTGCGGGGGTGCTGGTGGGACGCGGCCGGTCTATGTCCAGGGCAAGATGCCGCGGATGGATGGGGTATTGCAGGTGATGGACGTGGGCGATGAGACGGGGGGCTTTGATGTCAGCTTGTGTCTTGAGGGGGAGGCGATGGGGAGGTTGCTTGGGGATGGGTTGTTGAGGAAGTATGAGCGGTGACAGCTTCATGTCATAGATTCCGCGTGATAGAACACACTTTAGACGATCGCTCGGGACTGCTTACTGCTTGTTCTCAGGTGTTTCAGCAAGAAAGATGTCGGTAATTATATTGATTCATTGTACTGTTCAGAGATTCTGTGGAAAATTTTGGCGCAGAAGTACGGAACGAACACGAGTATAACTACTATGTGGAGTGGAGTTGTTTTAATCGGTGGAGTCCTATTAGATACTCTACGACAGCATGCTGTGTTCTCTAAGAGCCGGGTCTATTGTATCGAGGTGGAATGCACTGATACGCTGCAGCGACCAGTCTGAGTGGCAAGGCTTTTTCCTCCCTTTATATATACACATATATATATGTCTCTCTGTCTCTCTTTCGTTAATAAAAGGAGCGAAATGCACATGGAATCATGTTTTCTGTACCTGTGCCAAAGTCAGGATACCACAGCAGCACAGCCCTTTGCTGTGATCTAGCTTCAACATCCCATCCTTTGCATAGTGCCCCGGAAGGCAGGCCGCTCCAGTATCCTGGGACCAGTTGTAACTTTCTTGGAACCGAAGAGGGTGTAAACATGATTATGAATACCTCAGTGATGTAAAATCAGACATACGAGAAATGACCAATATCACATGGCATATGTATGTACCTTGGTAATCTGGCACCCGGCCGGACGAAAATGTCCCATAGCGTGTATGCCGGGGCTGGTGAAGATCAGGCCATTGGCATCATGCACATGTTGGTCCTATTCTTAGAGCTGATTTCATAAACCAACATCTACCTCGCCCCCTTCCTGCACATCAGCTTAGGCCCCATTAGGCAGCTGGGCAATCCCTGATCTCAGCTTCATGTGATGGATTGTATTTGTGCACTGGACGTCTGTGGCCAGAACCTGGCCTTGAACTCAAAACCGTTGCGTGGGTCCGTTTTTTCTGCCATTTCAGAAACATCAGTTCAAATGAATGTTTCGAGTTCAGTTTGGTCTTACTTCTTATGCTATATTCTGCTCTCTCAGGTCAACCTTAGGTCCAACAGCTTTGTCATCACCATCATGCCATTGGAAGCGATAACCAAACGATTTGCGTTGAGGGTCGGCACTGCTTTTGTCGTCTCCCTTATCATAAAGTTCACCTTTTTCGGTATCACGTTTAGCACCCCAAACCCATCATTTGACACTTGGTGGACCTATGTACTGTCCCTGCTAGAGTTCACTGTTCGTGAGTCACTGCCAGTCTGCCACCCCTCTTGATTTTCAATTCCACTAACACATACTACCTTGAGTCCTTCTGACCATGGCCATTCTCCTGTCCTTGCCATCACTCAACGAGTGGGGTCAAGGGCTGCCAGGTCCACCAGATGGGTTCCCAGCGTCGGGGTCTCGTTCTGATTAATATGCGAAAACAACATGAATCAGCATCAAGGTTGTGGAAGCAGTTTTGTTATGAGAATATTTGTAACAATGAAGCAAGACATCATCTATTCAGCCAGTAGAGGAGATGAGGGCTTTTGTGCGGGGAATATGCGGCTGGAAACGCTTAGGAGAAGGGGACTGTGCAAATCACAGGGATCTCAGCCGTTGAAAGCTACCGTGAACAGCCGACGCCCATACAGGCTGTCGACGTCGAGAATCAATGTTGCTTTTCCTTGAAGCCCTTGGACTCCTTCATCGCCATTGTAGTCTCATTGGACCATTAAAGAGGTTGTGATATGGCGGTATGGGATGGCGTTCCTCAGCCCGCAAGCCAAGACTAGCGAATGTTCCTTCTCCTCAGGTCCTGCCACAATCTAATCTTTCTACTTTCCAACTGTCGTGACGGTGCACGCCAGCAGAAGCAGGCCGACAACCTCGAGTATCCCGTTCCCACGAACCAGCAATGGCTGTCTCGTTGCTGGGCGGCGTGGAGCCGAGCGCGTCCCTAGTGGGCAAGTCCCTCGGGATCGCAGCTCTGGCCGGGCTGGCGATGTTCTTCACGCGTCTCTATCAGGCCAGGACCCGATTCCGGAATATGATGAAGAAGCACCACATTGTGAGAGAAATCACTGGGCCCTGGGGCTGCATTTATGAACCTGGGACTGACGTGTTTTGCAGCCCACCTTGCCTCACTCGTTCTTGTTCGGCCATCTGATAAGTAGCCGTGGGCAAAGCCCTTGCTGCTTTCCCTGCGGACTTGTAAGTGCGCAGAATATGCTATGTGGACGTCCAATTGATGATTCCTCTAAACTGTCTCCATGGCACACACGTGCCAGGCTCTTCTTGGGGTGCCCCTGAGCCCAGAAACTCCTTTCCGCGAGAGCAGAACACAGCTGCTGACATATGTTACTCAAGCTCTAAACTCGGAATAATATACGCCATGACCAAGGCGTACCCAGAAATCTGCGAGACCGGCCTGGTATATTTCGACTCGTGGCCCCTGAGCGAGGCGACACTTGCTGTCTTCGACCCTGATCTGATGGCCCAATTTACCCAGGACCAGGACAGGTCCTACTTGAAGTCACCCATGTTCAGCGTCGAACTGGAGCCCCTGACAGGTCTGAATGATCTGGTGACAATGGAGGGTCAGGAATGGAAGACCTGGCGTAGTGTCCTTAATCCGGGCTTCTCAGCCAAAAACCTCACCGCCCTCCTGCCCGCCTTCCTGGAGGAGATTCAAGTGCTCAAGGAGAGGCTTGTGAAGGTTGCTGGGTCAGGGGAGGTGATCAAGATGGAGGAGACGATCCAGCGGGCTACCGTCGATGTTATATGCCGGGCAGCATTGTAAGTCAATCGACCAGGTCAGCTGGTTTCCCTCCAGATGGAACGCATCGCCTTCAGGAGAATTAATTTCCAGGGCACCTGAACTCTTACTGACCACACTCGATAGGGGATTTAGACTGCACAGCCAGACAAGGGAGACCCCATTTGTCACGACGCTGCAAAGTCAGGTTCGAGAATGAAACCCCGTACCTCCTGGTGACCATGAGCTGACTTGGAATATCGTAGATATGGTGGCTTGTCTGTGACACAAGCCTTCCGAACCGAATCGAGACCATGATCCCATTCAGACGGCTCATTCTGTGGGACAACAACCGCAAGATGAAGAAGTTCCTCGCCCCCTTGATCGAGGAAGACATAGCCAGGCTGGACAGGGGCGAGGTCTCCCAGGCCAAGACCATCAATTACCTCGCCATCAAGGCTTTCCAGTCCGAGGTGCAGCAGTCAAATGGCTCGGCCGCCACCACCAGCAAGACGCCGCGCGTCGACCCCAAGTTCCTCGACTTCGCCATCTCACAACTCAAGATCTTCATCTTCGCCGGGCACGACACCACCGCCTCCACCGTATCCTTCGCCTACAGCCGCCTCTACCGCCACGCAGACGTCCTAGCCAAGACCCGCGCGGAGCACGACCAGGTCCTGGGCCCAGACCCGTCGCAGGCCTTCGCCCGGCTGACCGAGAACCCCGAGCCTCCTCAACCAGGTGCCGTACACGACGGCGGTGATCAAGGAGACGCTCCGCCTGTACCCGCCCGCGGCGACGGATTCCTGACGCACCCGGCCACGGGCAAGGTGGACCCGACCGACGGGCTGCTGCTGTGGTCGACGAGCTTCGCGACGCACCGCATGGGGGCGTACTGGGCGCGGCCCGACGAGTTCCTTCCCGAGCGGTGGCTGGTGCGCGACGAGGGCGACCCGCTCCACCCGCGCAGGAACGCGTGGCGGCCGTTCGAGCTGGGGCCGAGGAACTGCATCGGGCAGGAGCTCGCGCAGGTCGAGGTGCGGGCCATCCTGGCCATGACGGTGCGGGACCTCGACATCGAGCCGGCGTACCCTGCTGGTGCGCCCGAGGCGCTGGGCGAGAAGGCGTATCAGGCGATGGGCTTTGGTGACATTACTGGGCATGTGAAGGATGGGTTCCCTGTGAGGGTTAAGTTGAGGGCTGGTGGGAAGTAGGATGGACTGGTGGTGGTAGTTTGAATCGCTGCTGGTTGTCATTTCCCCCTCAAAACCGACATGATATCCTAATACCTATCTCCCACGGAAGGATCAACACGAACACGTGGTTGTCCTGAACAGCTAGAGACTCCTCAACTAGACGTATGGGGGAAAACAAAGGCATGTAATAAAGGCTCTCTTCAGAAATACGAAATACATACCGGTAATGGTCTACATACTCTACCTCTACTCATATCCAGGTCTTGTATCCAGGCATTCTTACGTCTGTGTCTTGCACACCGCTCAGAGCTCTACTTTGACATCGCCGTCAATGCTGCGCTTGCCAATGCTAGATGCTCCAGGCTTCATAGCTTCCCATTCGAGGTCCTTGTCCCACACTCCAGCCTTGGTGTAGTCAAGACTCCTCGTCCCAGACACATACGCGAAACGGAAATACTCCTTCACCTCGGTGTCGACTTTCCTATTCCACGTGAAAGCCTTGTCTTCAAAGTCCTCGTCATCGTCGAAGAAGCCCCTGAACCGCTCCACGTCGTTGACGAGGAGGCTGATGCCGTCGAGCCTGATGTTCCTCTTGGGTGGCGATTCCCACTGGAAAGTGATGTTTGACACAGAATTCCCGACCTGGATGTCTGGCACGCTTGCAAGTGTAGGCAGCACGGAGCCGAGTTGCCCGTCGCCTCGTAGAGCATACGACGTCTGCAGGATGGGATCCCAGCCCCAGCGGGCGATCCCGTTGATGAAAAGCCCTACCAGGAGACCTTGGTAAAGAAGAGCAGGGCGGGTCTGCATGCTTGTGCCAGTGAGCAGCAGGAGCGCGAGGAAGTAGTGATGGAGTCGGAGATTGAGGTCCCAGATCTTCAGGAAGACGCAAAACAGGACTCCCCCGACAAGACCGAGATAGAGGGCTCCGTAGGAAATGAGCCGTCCTTCTTGGCGGAAGAACCAGACTTGCTTCACCACGATCAAGGCAATGATACCGACGATAATAAGCAGAGCGAGCACACCGCCAGGTTGCTGGGAGATATCATGTGCGTTCAGCCTGTTGATAGGAATGTTGGGGCTTAGGGTATAATTATCCAGCGCTCCAACCCAGCATGCACCGAGCCACAGGACAGTCTTCTCGATCTGTGCTGTCAGTCCTGTGAGGGTACGTCGCACTGCCATTTTGTCAAAGATGACCCAGGTCACAAACATGACAGGCACGTATTTCCCGACGATGATGGTGAACAGTTCACGGAACGAGCTGTGGGTAGGAGGGTCCGAAACTAGGCCGACGTGCCAGAAAATACCGGAGAACTCGGTGAAGAAGAAGAGCGCGGGCGAGGTGGTGAACAAGGATAAAACGGTCGTGAAGATGACGTCTACCACGAGTAAAGGCCACCTCATATCTCGAGCTCTGCACTGAACGGACTTCTCGAAGAGGAAGGATTGAGGGAAATAGGAGTCGAAGCCGATGCTCTCGATGCCATGTCGAAGGGTGCTGTTGTAGTCGCTCCTTTTGCCGACAAGCTTGATAACGCCGCAGCCCCCTTCAGCATTGGTGATTGCACCAGCATGGATTGCAGAGCCACAAATAATGGAATCACCCCGGTAAGCGCCGTGTTCGTCAGTCTCGTTGACAGGTCCACCGATGACGAGCTGTCGGTAGTTGACTTCTTGGTCACCCACCGCACGCGGCTCACTCAGCTGGTAGCTCGCGCAGTTAGCCGGGCACCTAAATGGGAACTCGCTGCCCTTAAACGGCCGACACTTATTTCCATTCAAGTCGCAGCTGTTGCCCCTGCCCCAGAAGTAAGCCCCGCAGCCGATCTCCTGTGGCCTACCCCAGGGCTTGAGCTCGGTGATGCGGCTCTCCTGCCGCTTGACGATGGAGAATGTCAGGAGCCACAGGAGCAGATACGCGACAAAAAGCAAGGACCTGTGCTTTCTCCTAGGCAAGTACTTGTCAAGAAGAACGATAGGAAGTTGCTGGACGGCCGGGAAGATAGGGTCGATATGGTAGGTGACCGGGTTGGGAGGCCCCTTTGCCCATCTTGCTGCAGTTCTGCCGAATTTTCTGACGGGATAGGGGATCCATTTCCAGTGCTTGCTCAGGCTGTCTTCCTCAAGAAACCTTGGTAAGGGGGTCGGGTTGCCCTCTTGCAGCTCGTGGAGCCGAGGCCCTTCGATGGGCGCGTCAGGGTGAGACCCGAGTCCGACTCCCTCGGAATGCTCGGAAGCATCAATGCCTCCATTTGCATTGTCTGCATGTCCATTCGCAGAGCTCATGGCAAGCAACGAGGACCGTCAAGGCCGGTGTCGATGAGCGAGATTCAGTAGTAGTAGGTAGTGGTCGATAGGAGCGAGGAGGAGATGTGCAGTGAGAGTATAACAATTTAGGTAGCGATGATTAGCAAATCAAAGCAGATAGAAGCGAAGGAGTGGACATTGATCAAATTGAGGAAGCTGATGAGGTGAGGCAATGATGGGAAAGGAAACAAGAGGTCAAAGGTTGAACGACGACGTCAGCAAGTCCAGGCGGACCCAGGCGGAGGCTCACTCATCAGCCAAGCTGGGGTGCATTACGGCACGGCACCGCTGATCGACGGAGTGCGAGACAGGCGTCCGTCCCAGCAACGTGGTTCGGCGAATGGCCCCATTGGTGGGTGACACAGGCCCCTGGACCCACCACACGGGTGTCCCACCCTGGAACGGGACGGGCAGGGACCCGTTTTCTGCAACTTGATCGAGGATTGGATATCATCAACCAACCAGGCCAACCAGCGAGTCACATCTCGAGTCTGGACTGCACCACTCAGCCGGATCACTTCAAATCCATCCATCTAGTTTTTCGGTTTCTAAACTCTTACGACTCTGTATCAACAGGATTTGTAAAAACAAAGTTGGTTGCACTGGCCGTGACTGCTGGATTTGAGTCATGTCCTTGTGTTGCTGACCAGCCAAGCTCCTCATTTGTCACTCTCTGAGGACTGTCGGAGTCCACCATGAGTGAAAAGAGTAGGCCTGAGGCTATGAGGTTCGAAACGCTGAAGGCGGCCGGGGGCGAAGGACTGGCAGCGAGGCTGGGCAGGCTTGTGCTCCCACAGCGTCAGGCCGTCGACACGCCGAATTACTTTGCCGTAGCGTCCAGAGGAGTGGTGCCTCACTTGACCCAAGACACCATAGCAAGGCATGGCGGGCTCTGCGGGGCTTATATGGCCATGGAAGACTGTGGGTCTACCTCTATCAGACTGTGAGCAGAGTGTCAGGCTGAACATATGCGCACAGTGGTCGAGAAGTCTCAGAAGAAGATCACGAGGATACCAGCCGTACAGAAAGTCCCTGCGGCAGATGGGAAGCGTCTCCATGCCTTCACAGCATTACCTTCGTCTTCAGTCACGATATTGGGACCACGCAGGGTCCCTCCAGTTAAGGCCCCCATCGGTAACAGTGACAACTACATCCAGATTTTCACCTCCAATGGCTTTCAGGCTCTGAGAAATCCAGACTATGTTGACGCCATCCAGGCGTTAAAGCCGGACATCGCAATCCCCCTGGCTGATATCAACTATGGCCAAGAGAGGACGCCACAATCCAAGAGCCTCCACAGGATGTGCGAGCGAACAGAAGAGTGGATATCTGAGCTTCATGCGTCCGTGGATTTGGACGAGCTCCGGTCGTCGGACACCTCCATCTTTGCGCCAACATTACCCGCCCCATATCCCATGCAGTGGGAGTACCTGAACCGCCTGTCAGATGACATTGTCGACATACTGAGCGGCCTCGCCATCTACGACGTAGACATCCTCCCGGACCTGGTCAACTACCCAGCCCTGACGCCCCTCGCCCGGCTCTCCGTCGACCCCCCAGCAACCCCACACGACGTCCTCCGTCAGATCGCCCTCGGAATCGACACCTTCATCCTACCCTTCATCAACGCCACTTCCGACGCGGGCGTGGCCATGACGTTCACCTTCCCAGCGCCGACAGGGCAGCCCAACAACAGCGACGCAGCGGGCGGGACCGCCCTCCTCCCGCTGGGGACGGACCTCACATCCCCGGAGAACACGACCGCCCTGACGCCCCTCGTTGGCTCCTGCACCTGCTACGCCTGCACGCACCACCACCGCGCCTACCTGCACCACCTCCTCAACGCGCGCGAGATGCTCGCCTGGACGCTCCTCCAGGTCCACAACCACCACACCGTCACGACCTTCTTCGCCGGCGTCCGCGCCTCCCTGGCCTCGGGGACCTTCGAGGACGACCGCAGGGCCTTCCAGCGGGCGTACGAGCCCGAGTTGCCCGCGGGCATGGGGACGCGGCCCCGGGCGAGGGGGTACCACTTCAAGACCGAGGGCGGGGACGAGAAGAGGAACAAGCCCACGTGGGGCCGCCTCCATGAGGAAAAGGACAAGGACAAGGAGGCGGAGAAGGCGGTGGCTGTCGCGCAGAAGCTGCGGGCGGGCGGGATGGAGACTCCTCTGGCGCCTGATGCGGATGTGGATGCGGCTGACCTGGTCCGGGAGGGGTTTGCCGAGATAGATATTAACAAGGCGCAAGCCGGCTAGACGGGGTGGTGGGACTCAGGACTGGTGTGCCGGGCGGGAGCGGTACGGGCGAAAAGTATACTGTTGAATGCATTACTTATCATGGCTGCCAGATTATCCGTGGAGTGGCTGTGGATGGGCCTCTTGATGATCCACCTGCGTCCGTCAGTGGCCGTCACCCGTTCCCGTGTGCAATTGAGACGCAAGGGACACGGTCGGACAGGGATGAATGCACTTTTCTCTTGCCACGACTGAGTCTCTTCTTTATGACAGTCTCGGGTATCTAAGCAGCCTCCTGTATCTCGGCTGGCGGCTTAGGTTTCTTCTTCTTCTTCGGTTTCACCACGGCCTCTCCAGCCTCACCGTTGCCCTCTCCGTTCTGACCGCCCTCATCGGCTGGTACAGCAGGCTTCTTCTTCTTCTTCTTGACCCTGGTCACAACGGCCTCATCGGCCTCGCCCGCCTCACCTGGGACGGCTTTTGGCTTCGCCGCCTTCTTCTTCTTCTTGACCACCGTTCCTTCCACCCCTTGAGCCACATGTATCCTCTCATTCGCCCTCTGCATCTCTAGGCGCAACCGCTCGACTTCCTTCATCGCTTGGACCATCTCCGCCTCCTCCCTCTTCTGTCTTTCAAAGTCATACCCACCGTCAGCGTTCTCTCCATCCTCACCACCACCTTCGAGGCTCAGACTCCCAAGATTACTTGAGTCGACTTGAAGGAGCGACTGCTTAATCTTCTTGACACGCGCCTTGGCTAGGCTATCCGAGTTGTTGGCCTCCGAGTCGTAGTTGCGCGGTGTAGACACGCCACTGCCACCAAGGTTCTCGTCTTGGGCAACGACAATCCTCTGGCGTGGCTTTGGCCTAGGCGCAAATTGTCTTGGTGATGTTAGCGCGGGTGCGTTATCGACACTACCTAAGTCAAGCTGCATGATAGGTATGGCGTCAATGTCGAGGTCGGGGCCGTTCTCGTTTTGCAAGATGCTGTGTATGGGGGTCGACGTGCCGGTGCGACTAGAAGGTTCGCCGATGTAGAAAGGGTCGTCCTTGTTTCTCTCGGCGCGCTCGGCCTTTCGTCTCGCTAGGATATCGGCATCCAGATAACTCTCCTCGCTTGCCTGGTACGAAGTAACAACTTCCTCAGGAGTATCGGCCAGTCGGTTGATTGCCGGCTCACTGGACGAGATGTTTGCAGCCGGTGGCTTTTGGTGGTAGTAGACTTCAAATTCATCCTCGTCTTCCGCCCCGAGGTGAAGGTCGTCTGCCAATGACAAGAGATTGGCCAGATGAGGATGGATCGGCTCGTCTAGGTCGAGACCTTGTGGCAGGGGGACGTTTGACTGCGCAGCAGGCGCCACAGAGTTCAGTTCCCACCCGGTGAACAGAGACGGGATAGCCTGGGTGAGTAGGAGCGGTGGGTCTTGCTGAACCTCGTCTGTGGATGCATCCTGCGCGGACACAGCCTCCGAGGTCAGTTTGAGCAGCTCCGTGAACTCAACTGCTCTTTCCTGAACTTCCAAGTTCGGGTGAAGCACGAGAGGCTCCAGCACGTGTATTATCCGTGCCAGGAGCAGTGATGTCTTTGCTTTTCGTTCCGAGGTCCAGAGTTCCAAATCACTGCCTGTGGTTTGAGCGAATATCTTGATAGTTGCTTGAAGGCAAGATGCAAGGACATCCGGGTCCTTTGCGCGTGGCATCAGCTGCAGCAGAAATCCTAGCGTATCTTCGGACGACAGCAGCTGGTCGGAATACTCGCCCACGATCCATGCCACAGGTCTCAACGCTCCAGACGTAATCGGTTGTGCGGAGGAACTGCAAAGTTGGCGCAGGATCAATTCGGCAGCGCCAACTACAATTTGTCGAATGGCCATCACCTTCACTGCCACGCTTCTCAATTCGTCTCCGATCTTTGCTGAAACGTCTCCAGATGACGATTTGGAGTTTGTTGCAACTTGGTCCGCTGCCTCATTTGACGGCCCGGGAACAGGAGCCATCCGTGCAAGTTGCGTCAAGATATCGATGTACCATTCGAAGTCGACGAGGTTGCTATAATTGTCATGAGAGCACATTGTCAATATCCTATTAATGACGTCGACTTTGTAATCGTCCGGTAGCGGCGGCGCCTGGTCGATTTCGTGTTCTGCCAGATCAATGTTGACCTCCGCGTCGGCGTCCGAATCAGAATTGCCTTCCTGTCTCTGAGCAGCTGACCTGCCAGCCGAGGAGGAGCTTTTCAATTGCCTCATCAGCCGGCCGACGATGGACATCAGGTTGTCGCTGCTGACCATGCCCTGCACTAGATTCAGAGCCTGAACGCGTATTGTGATATCAGGGTTGTCTATGCACTCCATGATAACATCTTCCTGTTGCGCTACCATGAACGGATGTGTGACCACGATTTTGTTGAATGCAAGCAAAGCAACATATTTGACTGTTTGGTACTGTTAGATCAACCGTTTCTTAGCAAGGGTCCTTCGTTTCTTACGGTTCGGGTCTCCATCAACCATTATCATCCCACGAAGCTTGGTAACACACAGTGACGCGATCTCCTCGCTACCTGAAACATCGTCGTCGCTCCCAAGAATGCCTCCTTGGATGATGCCATTGATACATTCATATAGTAATGACATGGCTGGCGTTGTTCGTATGAGGTCTGTCAGAGGAGGTAATAGCTTACGAACCAGCCGTGGCTCAAGTGGCGTCAAAGTAGCAAACTATGGTCATTTAGCATTCAATTCCACGATCTTTTGCAGGTAATTCTCACCAGCTTGATTAACTTTATAGCCATCCAGTTGTTGCCACCGTCCACGAGAAGCTCAAAAAGCCTCGGGGCGAGGGGCAAGAAGTCATGGGGCCGCCTCCATCCAAGCTCACAAACGACATTGACGATGGCGGCCGTGACACTCGGGTCTTCATCCTGTGCCATAAGACGTTCCTTGATCTTCGGCCATGCTGCCCTCAGAGTTTCGGGGTATACAAGGGCGAGTCTGTACAATGTGACTATTGTTTTCTTTCTTATTGAGGGATTCGTGTGTGTCAGTCGCGGAAGAAGGTCGGCCAGAGTCGAGAGCGCCAACGACGGCGTAATGAAGTGAGGCAAGGCGTGTATCGGTAGGGATATCGTATTTGTGGTACCGGAGGTGAGGTCCTGCAAAGACACGGATCAGTCGTACGGCACATCTTGCTGGAGAGACTGGACTCGGCGCAGACCTTCTTCAAGAGATTCGTGGCCAACATGAGGACCTCGGTGTCTGGACGGTAGCTCTGGACTGCGCCTAGGTATCCAATACGCTTCTGGTGGTGCTTGGGAGAGGACATGACCTCAAGGACGTTGAAGGAGGCCCAGGACATGTCGTGACCCATCATCTCGAGGTATATAAGCTTGAGCAAGGCGGTGGCCTTGATGTCTATCTCGATCGTTAGACCTCTGCGAGCAGCAACCAACCTAGAGACTTCATAGACTGACCCATGTCCTGGCCGCGGATCTCTGCGCGGCATTCTTTCAGGCAATTCTGGATGTATTCCTTCTCGTGGCCCTTGTGATTCCGCAAGCCTCGGATGAGGTCGTAGAGGGATTTCTCGAACCTGCGATGGTTTCAGCGGGTATGTTCTCCCATTTTTATACCTGTAGCCCAGCGGCTTTGCGTACATCTTGCCTAAATCACGGCGCGACCACGCCCGTCAAGCTGTCACGGCTGGTAGGGAGGGAGGAGGAGGAGGAGGAGGGAGGAGATAATCGGGCTCAGCGCGTGAGACAAGACAGACAGTGACGCATCCCTCCTTTTGGCATGTTGCACAGTCCCTGTCAGCCCAAGTTGTCGTTGTGGATTTTGGGCTGGCCTGTGAGGTATGCGTGGCGTTGTGTGTACAAGTATTGGGTGTTGTCCGAGAGCTGTCTGCTGGTCGTGGTCGTGACAGTTACTATGGCTTGTCTTGGGCTCGCTTCCGCCTAGCAGCACATCATCGGTCGGTCTGTAGCTGCCCCACGTAATGAGTGCCGGGCGGTAGACGGCGCTATCGGCAGGGTAACCAGGTACCCAGGTACCTTGGTAGCTTCGCTTACCTCCCCTAGCCACACTGTGCCGCGGCAAACATTACAGGATTACATGCACAGGGAAGCTCTCCTGTCCCTGCCTCCGATCAGCACAAGCGCGTGCGTACAGTGACAGCTTCGGTCCCCACAGCTTCATCCTCTCTGTCCATCCATCAGCCGACCACATCTGGACAGAGATTCCGTCAAAGTATTGCCTTCTCAAACCGCACAGCAACCGTGCCCGTCATTTGGCAGCTTGACCGATCAATTGCATTGCTAGATAATTCATAATGGCCCCTTCGCTCCTCCATCCTCCCAGCCACTTGTCGCCAGCGCAAGCTCTCGAGCTATCGCAACGCGCTCCTGCAATCCTCCAGAACTCGCCGCGCACGATCTCGTCCTCGCCGTTGGCGTCCTTGTTCTCGGCACCAGAGAACACCGAGCTATGGATCACCGTCGAGAACCTGCTGCTCTCATGCCTGCGCACAGGTGACGAGAAGGCGGCCCACGAGTGCTTCGAGAGACTAATTCTGAGATTCGGCGACGACAATGAGCGCATAATGGCCTTCAGGGGGCTCTTGAAAGAAGCAGATGCTCCCGACAACGCCGCGCTAGAGAAGGTGTTGAAAGAATATGACGACATCTTGGCCAAGAACGAGACCAATATTGTCAGTGGTCCCGAGTTTTGCTGTTCGTGAACCGTGCAAGACTGACTTTATGCCTGCAGCCCATCACGAAACGACGCATCGCATTGCTCCGCACGCTTGGCCGGCCCGCTGATGCTGTATCTGGCCTTTCCGCCCTGCTGGACTTCTGCCCCGTCGACGCCGAATCCTGGGCAGAGCTGGCGGACATATATTGCTCCCAGGGGATGTATGCGCAGGCTATCTACGCCCTTGAGGAAGTCCTAGTGCTGGCTCCCAATGCCTGGAATGTTGGTGCACGCACGCCCGTGTCTGATCACGAACAAACGCTGATGATTTGCGGCAGATCCATGCTCGTCTTGGCGAGGTCGAGTACATGGCATCGACATCTTCGGGTGCCGACGAAGCTACTTCGCGCAAGTGTCTCGCAGAGTCATTAAAGCGGTTCTGCCGAAGCATTGAACTTTGTGACGACTACCTCCGCGGATACTATGGGCTGAAGCTGGTAAGAAGCTTGAATTGACAGAACCTCTTGCACGGTCTGTATTGACGAATTCCAGGTCACTTCGAAGTTGCTGGACTCGGCAGCAAAGCCTGGCAAACAACCAGACCCAGAGGATTTCGCAATTCCGCCTACTGCCACCATTGAGAAACTCAATGAAAAGAGTACTGCTAAATTATCTGAAATTGTGCGCCGCAGTACGGCAAAGGAGAGAGGCTGGACCGGATTTGAAGAAGCTGAGGTCGAGGCGGCCCGCGAGCTTCTCTCCAAAGAATCTTCAGGCATCGTCAGATGAATGCAGCTCTTGCCAGCACAGCTTACACGGGGTAATTTCTATGAGGCACCGATGTCTCTGTGTCTGGATCTCACCGTTTGTGAGTCACACGGAGCACGAGCATGTCAGTGCTGTCCGAGCAGATTAGGACCAGTCAAAGGGCACTTGGGCCACTATTGGTGCATGGCAACATCAACTTGCATGACCGGTGGATACTCAGCTTTGCGAGCTGGGCAATGCCATGGCACGTGGCGCCAGTCGAAACCGGCATAAGCAGTCCGAAGGAACGCAAGGAGGCGGTACCAAAACCTTTGATGCTCGTGGCACAAGCTCATCTGAAAGTACGCCCAGTCAAGATGCGGTTATTTGATCAAGATGGGTTGCAAGCGAGGCAGCTCGGCTGGAGCTCCGGATCTTCTTCAAGACACAGGGAACAAGCTTGAGCCAAAGCCGTTCGCCCGCCCTCGATTGACCTGATCCCTTGCATCTCGTCCGTTGCCGTCAGCGTCCCGTCAAGCGGCAATGCAACCATGAGGTTGGACTACTGTGAGGTATCGCAATGCGGCTCCCCGGCAGCGTGTGATATGTTCGGCTGTGCCTTGCGCGCGGTCTAATTAGACAATCCACATTCAAATCTAATGCATACGTGCTTCCCAGGCTATTTGGCATCCTGGAGACTTTGACGCAACTGCGAGTGGCAATGGAGGATCGCAGACGAGACTAAGAGATTTATTTGCATAAGTGTGGCTGCAAGCTTGCATTGTCATCATCCCACCGCCTTTTGGCTGCGCGGAGGAATCGGGCCTTCGGACAACCATCTCGCACTAAGAAGCGTGAAACAAACACGGACAAGATGTTCGACTTATTTTGGCGGCATAACTTGGTACAAGTTCTGGCCCAATTCGCGATGCTGCTGTGTCCTCGTGCCCTGTCAAATACTGACATGATGCGCATGCACCTGCAGGGCTTCCGCTTCTGGCCGCGCCCGAGCATATCATTGTCCTAAGCTGCGTCAACATGCAGGAAGGATTTGCCCCGGCAACTGCGGTGGCACTGCCTCTACACAGGCTGCGAGGGGCTAGACCAGGGCATCCACAACAGCTTCAGGACCTGCTCAAACGCTGGTTGCTTAGCAAGACCGAAGAAGAACAGACAGGTAAACGAACAGATGTCTAGCCCAGAGCTCGGGGCTGTGCGCAAAATGCGACCTGGTAGTCTAGGCCTCGGGATCTGGCTAGCGCGATGGGTACGCCCGGTGTCCATTTCACACCGTTGTAACGGTTCTCGTGCGGCAGACTGGCAGAGAGCATGGCGCCTCCTACCGAAAGCTCGGCTTACACGGGAGCTCGAGTCCGTTGTTATTGGAGAAGAGGTCAGCCGACTCATCTGTATTGCCAGTCTGATGGCGCGCCCTTCTCCCATTCCCTTGGGGCAACATGTCCCTACCGATGTTTGGAGGCTTTCCCTCTGCGGGTATCCGCCCCGAGTTGACATGTTTCTCATGGCGATACTGCTGCCTCATCCCATCAATCATTTCGGGAGGCTAGGAAGGAAGCGCAAAGGGTGGGGCGGCTTTAATGCCTCGCCGATCTGAGCGGACCCATCCGAAGACGAGGGGTCGACGTTTCTCGAGCCTCTTCTAAGAAGTTCTAGCCTGACCGTTGGGCAACCACATGGACGCCAGCAGCTTGACAGACCGGCCACCTGACTCGAAGTCTACCGTCGTTGGGCCTTGACCATTATCGTCGGTGCCGGATCGTATGACGCAGAAGAAGTGAAGGGGTGCAAGATCTCTGATAAGTTGTACCCTGTCTAGAGGGCAGGGACATCACACAAAGACCTCCAGAATCTCCCCTTGGGCCAGCTTAGGCGCCCCTCCCTTGGCTCCCTGCGTCCGCTGTGGGATTGGAGCAAATACCCTGGGGCGTAGGAACACAGCAGTTGCTCCAGTTCCTAGTGCTCGAGCCAACACACTGCCTCGGGCCGCAGCAGGGTGTTCTTTTCCTCGTTTGAGACCAAGAGCCAGGGGACAGCATTCCCGCCTAAAATCAGCTTGTGAATAAACTTGTACGTGCCCAAGACAAGTCCCGGCCAAGGCCTAGTTGGTACTTCGGGAGTTCCTCACCGCAACCCCAGCTGAACGCAACCCACTCCGCCCGTTTCTTGTTCGAGCCCAACGTTGTTTTGACGCTCGTCCTGACCAGGTCAGCCCGGCCAGAACCTGGCCGTTTTGCACGAAAAAAACGCTGTGCAGGGAGATCTTTCTGTCGCACCTGAGCGGACTTACACGACAAACCTGGGCAATACCCACCCACTCATCACGCCTCCGTCACTCGCCCCAAAAACACTCGCACACGCACACGCACACGCATTCTCCCACACACCACCACCCCAATATACACAGCCTTTCTGCCTCTCACTTGCCCCTGCGTACAGCTCCAGCGCCATCATCTCGTGACGGCCCCGAACCACAGCTTACGCTGTCAGGCAGTGCGCCTACACACCGGTCTATTATCATTACACAGCACCCTGGTCTACCGCATCGCGTCCTGCGGGGTTATTTCTTGTACACAGCAGACGCTGTCGCCGCCCCCCACCCCCCCCCTCGCGAATCCTGTCGCCACGATATCGGCTGGGTGTCATTCCAGCTGCACCAGACCAGGGCACTAGCTTGCAGCCGCAGTCCAAGGGAGAGCACCTTTGCTCCGGCCATCTCTTTGCAGATTGTCCGGTGCAAAGGGTTTCACTCCAACACCATTTTCCAAATGTCGTCCCGGTGAGCCATCCTCTTCTGATCTCTTTGCGACTCCGCGCGCCGGCGGCTGTCTCGAACCAAGAACTCGGACTCCTTCGCAAGGCTCTGCCTTCTCGGCCCCTCCGCCCTCTGGGGTTTCCCGTGAGCTGACTCTGTTGCCGCTCTCTCATAATTACAGAGAAAGAAGGACGACAATTACTGTAGATCACCCAACGTCATCCTCCATTACAGACGGAGAGGACGAGCAATACAGCACCGAGCAGAGCGACTCTCAGGCGGACGAGGCGGAGTGGTCGCAGGACGACGACATAGACCCTAGCGACTCGGCTTCCGCGGCGGCAGACTACCACCCTCAACCCCAGCGACCTCACAGTCGGGGTGCTGCGCGCAACCCTCCGCGCCAGCACAGCATTCCCCGACAGCAAAGGTTCTTCAGAGCGGCGCCGCCGCAACCACCACCGCCACCGGATCACATGCAAACCATGAGCAACGATACATATGAAGAATCGATGTACAGCTCGCGAGGCGGCCCCTTTGCGCCTCCTCACCCGGGATATTATGGAGCGAGGGGTGGTTTCCCAGGGCCTCAGAGCATCGCTAGCGGATACGGACCCGCGCATCATGGCTACGGAGGGCAGATGGTGCCATTTGCCTCGAATCCCTTCAGTCCGATGGCGCCTGGGGGAGCTGCCGGCTACTTCCCGGAGCAGCGGCCGTACGACATGATGCCTTATCAGCAACCCGGATTCTTTGGCGGTGCTGGCCCCGTTGCTGCCCCGAGCTACGGCATGCCGCCACACCACGTTGCGCAATACATGTACTCATCGCCGCCGCCTCCCCCTACCGAAGCGCCGGGCCCGCCCAAGACTCCAGCGCCGGCAGAGGAGAAACCAAACCCTCAAATGGTGCAAATGAAGCAGCAATTAGAGCTCCTGCAGGCGGAACGCAAGCAACAGGAGGAGTCGAAAAAACAGGCTGACATGGAGAAGAAAATTAGGGAGGACGCCGAGCGCGCCTTCAAGATCCGGATGGAGGAGATGCAGCGGGCGCAGGAAGAGGCCAAGAAGGAGATCGAGCTTGCCAAAATCGCAGCCGAGAGAGCCGCCCGGGAGCGCATCGAGGAAGAGCGCAAGGCCGAGGCCGAGCGCCAGAGGCAGCACGCAGAGATGATGGCCAAGGCCGAACGTGACGCCAGGGACCGTATCGAGAAGGAGAGGAAAGAGGAAGCTGAGCGCGCGCGCCAGCATGCCGAGGCCATGGCAAAGGCCGAGCGCGATGCTAAGGAAAAATACGAGGCTGCTCTGAAGGCCGAGGAGGAACGCAAGGCACAACAGGAGGAAGAGCGGAAGAGGGCGGAAGAAGCGGCCAAACTCAGGTACGAGGCCGAAGCGAAAGCCAAAGAAGAGGCGCAGAAGCTGGCCGAGAAGCAAGCGGCAGAGGAGGCTGAGCGGAAGAAGTTGTTCGAGGAGGAGATGAGAGTCAAGGCGGAGAAGGATCTCCGTGACAAAATCGCGGCCGACAAGAAGGCGGAGGAAGAGAGGAAGACAGCGGAAGAAGCGGCCAAGCTCAGATACGAGAATGAGGCGCGACTGAAATTCGAGAAGGAGCGCCTCGACGCGGAAGAGGCCAAGAACAAGGAGGAGGCCGCCAAGAAAGCTCAAGAAGATCTCCTTAAGAAGATCGAGGAGGAGACCAAAATCAAGGTGGCCGAAGAAGCAAAGAAGGCGGCCGGCGACGACAAGGAGCCCATCAAGTTTAAGGACGCCGTAGGGAGGAAGTTCAACTTCCCCTGGAATCTTTGCGCAACGTGGACTGTACGTACACCACCCCTGACCTCCCATCGCCCCCTCCCCCCTGAAGACGTATTTAATTAACCCCATTTTCTCCTAGAGCATGGAAGATCTCATCAAGCAAGCCTTCACGCACGTCGAGGTTATTGGCCATCATGTGCAAGAAGGCCGCTACGACCTGATAGGGCCCGACGGCGAGATCATCCTCCCCGTGGTCTGGGACAAGACGATCCAGCCGGGCTGGCAGATCAACATGCGCATGTGGCCAGGGACAGACAAGGCCCCGATGCCAGGTCCGCACCCTGGCCAGCACATGACGGCGGAGCAATACCGGGCTCATATGATGCGGCAGCAAGCGATTCGCCAGGCTCAGGCCGCGGGGCGCGGCGGGGGCGGACACGCGCACGCACACGGTCACCACGGCGCCGGACGTGCCGCGCCTATGAGACCGCCTGGCTTCACTGGGATGCCATTTGGAGGGAATCCCCCGCCGCCGCCCGGGATGGGCCCGTTCAGGCCGCCGGGTGGCGAGGGCCGGCCGCCTATGGTGGAGGTTGTCGACGCACGGCCGAAGAAGGACAAAGGCAAAAAGTCGAAGAAGGCGTTGGGTTTCTTTTCCGGTACCAAACCTAAGAAGAGCTCGAGTTCAAAGAAGTTTGTCTATACTGACCCTGTTGGGTATTCCATATAAACTGACGGAACGAGTGGCAGGCATCATTAGGGGAGGATTTCCTTCTTCAGCAACACTATTCCTGGGTTCTGGCCAGACCTCCTGGCTGGCTTTTTTTGGTTGGACATTTGCGCTTTTTCTCAGCCTTTTACCCAGCGATACCTTTTTGATTACAGCATATCTTTTCTTTTTCTCCCTTCCCCGCCATTTTAACATTTATGCAAACTCTTTTGGGCCGACTTGCAGGCATTCTCGATCAACGTATGGGGTAATGAAGAAACGAAGGACGAGACACGGATGCGGCAACGAGAAGAGACGACGATACCGACGCGACGAGACGACGAGGCGAGGACGCGAGACGAGACGAGACGAGACGAGACGCCACGGCGTGAAGCGAGCTGGAAAGGGAAAGCGGAGTGCGCACGTACACCAGGGAAGGAGGAGAGGCACGGCAGCCTGTTCGCGATGTTACTTATTCTCTTCTTAACCATGACCTCTGGATACCACACTTCTAGCGACGAAAAAAGTTTCCCCTCGGCGCCGTCTGGGCCATTTACCCTATGCTAGCAAGGCGCAACTGAACATGAATGAATGGGGCTGGTCTTTTTTGTTTAAGGCGTGGTGGCTTGGGACCCTGATTGGAGGGTGCCCTCCCACGGCCTTCTATAAGTCTATACAGCGCTTGGATCTATTTGTCTTTTGTCTACGTGCGAGAGTCTGATTAGTTATACACACATATTTGACCGTCTCGCCTTGCTCTTTGAGTGGTGTTGAATCTATGTCATGGGCCGACGGAGCGGCTCGGCGTGGATGCCCTGTTCCGGAAGTGCCCGCTGCTGCATTTGTCGAGTTGAGGCAGCGATGCCCAAGCTCACGGACAACCTCGGGTCCGTTGAATAGTATTGAAAGCAACTGCTGTGCGCAGGCGGGTATCGCACAGCATGCCCCACTGCAATCACCCGTCTGAGTCCCCAAACAATTCCCTCGCCCTCTGCTCAAACGCGTCGACCATCTTGGTGGCCGTCTCGTCGACGACTTTCGACAGCATCATCTGCACAAGCGGGTCGGCGAGGCGCATGGTGAGGTCGAGGTCGACGGTGGACCAGGTGCCGATGCGCTTGACGATGGCGTCCCCGACCGTCCACTTGGTGACCAGGCTCTCGAACGGGCTGCCGGCGGGGGCGCCCTCCTGCTTCCCGCTCAGGGCCTCGATGCTGCGGCCCGGCACGCAGACTATCCTGCTCGTGTACGACTGCGTGATGGGGCCGAAGCCGACGGTGAGCTCGCCCTCGGTGGGCCACGCGCGACCCCCGCCGGTGGCGCCGTCTGCGCCGGGCTGCTTGGACCACGCCGTCACGCGGCTGTGCTGGCAGTAGGGGAGGAAGCTGGAGTATGCGTCCACGTCGACTATGAGGTCGTAGAGCTTCTCGCGTGGGTACGGGAGGGTGCGGGAGACGTTGATGGTCAGGGGCTTGTTGGCTTGGAAGACGGAGTCGAGGAAGGTCCGGCGTGGGGTGAGGATCGGAGGGTTGTGGCGGGCGAGCAAGGCCCTGCTGGCCAGCTTGAGAGGGCCAGGACCCTTGGCAGCCATCGCGAAAGGAGAGATCGAGGCGTGTTGTTATTGTGCGACCATGGTAAATGAAGTTGAGACGGTGGGCCGTGTCTTGCTTCGGGTGGGAAACGGTGACGATGTCAAGACTAAGACTTGGACTAAGACTTTCTTGAGATTACCGTCGGTTCCGACCTCGGCATTCGGCCAGGTCCATTTTAGGCCCCACCTCTCAGCTTGGGCCACATTTTTTCCAGGGAGGCTCCATAGCGCGCCGGCATCAAAAAGCCTGCTGAAAATTTCAACATCACTTTCACTTGACCCTCGCAACCACCTCACCCGCGGCAGCAAGACTCGTGCTCTTGCAACACCATGCTGTGTCGCTCCCACGTCCGGCCAGACCGTCTTCGATAGCACTCGAGGAGTGAGCAGAAATCCTCACGGCCAGCAGCCATGGCCGCAGCACCAGAGGTCGCAGCACAGGCGGCTCCTCCTCCATCAGAGCCTCAGGTTAGGGCTGTTGATGCGCAGGAGAAGCTTGCCGAGGACGTGTCGGCCCTCACAGTCACTGGCAATGAGGCCCTTCCACCGCACCGTTCCCACGACCCCCAGTACAACCAGAAGCGGACCGACCCTTTCCAGTTTGGGTCTCGCTTCCTCGAGGAGGGCGATGACCCCTTCGAGTTCAACGCCTGGGACCACGTGGAGACTGACGACGCGTTCAAGGAGTTCGCCGAGCAGCAGTACGAGCTGCAGCGTCAGTCTCCCGTCTCTGACTTTGACAAGAGTAAGTCAGCTCGCCACGCACACACCACGCGTCTGTCTTCTGCATCCACGGCCTTCTGTGATGATTTACATATCATAGCATAGTTCATCTGACTTCATGATGACTACATTGTACTCGTTATTAGTCTTTCGCTCCCATCTGACTGGCCACATCTACCTTGCACTATTTTTGCCTCATTTCTCTTGGTATCTACGGCCCGCTGACTCCAGCAAACAGAACGCTTCAACTCAGACCCTGCCAAGTGGTGGAACTTGTTCTACAAGAACAACACCGCCAACTTCTTTAAGAACCGCAAGTGGTTGCAGCAGGAGTTCCCCGTGCTTGACAAGGTAACCCAGGACGGTGCCGGCCCCGTCACGCTCCTAGAGATAGGAGCTGGCGCCGGCAACACAGCGTTCCCAATCCTGGCGCAGAACAAGAACCCTCAGCTCAAGGTCAACGCCTGTGACTTCTCCAAGAAGGCCGTCGAGGTCATGCGCTCCCACGAGGGCTATGACACCGGGCACATGCAGGCTGACGTGTGGGACGTCGCCTCGGACGAGCTCCCTCCCGGGCTGGAGGAGGGATCGGTAGACGTCGCACTTCTCGTCTTCATCTTCTCTGCATTGTCCCCGTTGCAGTGGAAGAAGGCGGTCGAGAACGTGCACCGGCTGCTCAAGCCAGGCGGCGAGGTCTGCTTCCGTGACTATGGAAGAGGAGACCTTGCACAGGTCCGGTTCAAGAAGGGCCGCTACCTCGAGGAGAACTTCTACATCCGTGGCGACGGGACCCGCGTATACTTCTTCGAGAAGGACGAGCTGGCTTCCATATGGACCGGCGAGAAGTTCAGTTCCGAAGAGGAGAATAAGGAGGACGCGGAGAAGAAGCCGCTTTTCGAGGTGGAAGGCCTTGGCTTTGACCGTCGCATGCTCGTCAACCGTGCCCGCCGTCTAAAGATGTATAGATGCTGGCTGCAGGGTAGATTCATCAAGAAATAGAGTTGTGTTCTGCTACTTTGATGGCCTGACAGCTTTTTTCGCTTCAGGATGCACAATGGCCCCCTTGACTCGCTGCCAAAAGAATATTCATGCAATTTGCTCCTACCATCGCAGCTTCTTAAATGCAAACCATGTACACAACGATGATGATGAATGATGATGTGAGTGTACGAAAATGCAATCAAACTGGCCATCCATCCCTCACAGTCTGCTCTTGCCTCCCTCAACATAGCTGGTCCCCTGCCTGAGCATCTTCTCCGCCTCGGCCACCATCTCCCTCATGATCTCGCCCGCAGGCTGTACCTTCTGAATGGCTCCAGCAACCTGGCCCATCAGGTGCGGCAGGTCGACCTCTTTGCCCTCCTCGATGTCCTGCTCGAGCGGGACGACGCCGCTGTCGCACAGCTCCCGGATGCGGTCCGGCCTCTCGTGCCACTTCCGGATGTACTCATTGGTGCGCATGCGCAGGGGCCGCCCCGACATGACCAGCGTGCGCTCCGTGTCCTCGAACCCGCAGCTGACGACGGCCTCCTTGTGCTCCCTGCTGCACCCGGCCTCGTCGCTCGCCACGAACCGCGTCCCGACCCACACGGCGGCCGCGCCCTGCATCAGGCTGCTCGCGAGCCCCCTGCCGTCCGAGATGCCGCCCGCGGCGACGACGAGGGCCGGCCGGTCCCCGCCCAGCATCGCGGGCCTGTAGCGCGCCGCGACGTCGGCGACGGCGGGGACGAGGATGCTGTTTGCGACGTCGCCCGTGTGCCCGCCGCCCTCGCCGCCCTGCGCGCACACCATGTCCACGCCGAGGTCGAGCGCCTTGGCCGCGTGCTTGGGGTGGCCCACCATGTTCATGACCAGGATGCCCGCGCCGTGCAGCCTGTCGATGATGTGCTTGGGCGGGACCCCGACGGCACTAACAAAAAGCCGCGCGCCCGCCTCGATGGTGATGTCGATCAGCTCGTCCAGCTTGCCGCCCGTGTAGTCGTGGTTGGTCTTGCGGGCGTTCCCGCCCAGCTGCGGGAGGGCCAGGTCCACGCCGAAGGGGAGGTCGGGCCGGCTGAAGTTGGCCTTCATCTCGGCCACGATGTCGCGCAGCTGCTGCGGCGTGTACATGAAGCCGCCGATGACGCCCAGCCCGCCCGCGTTGGACACGGCCGCCGCGAGGCGCCCGCCCGACACGCGCGCCATGCCCGCCAGGATGATGGGGTGCTGGATCCCCAGCAGCGTGGTTATCGGCGTGGTGATGGGCCCGGTTGGCGCCATTGTGGGTGGTGGCGGTAGTCGTCTGAATCAGGTGGAGGCAATCAATTCCCTCAAACAGCCTCGGCTGCCCCTCGAGTTCGCGCGTTGCTGGTGTCGGGCTCGTTTGAGATGTATTCCCACTCTCCACAACAACGGAGTTTACTGGTGTGCAATGGGTACTCGGGGGCTTCAGGTACAGGTTAAAGTACGGGTTGACTACATCACTTTAATAAGTGAGTGCCGGGCAAGTAGCCTATTTGGTTGCTTACTTTCGCCCCTTCTGTCAACTCCCCCCCTCTCCCTCGGGGATCTTTTTTTCAAGAATGCGGAGATCCTGCCGAGGCATCTTCGGGATCGCACCCCACGCCCATCAGATCCGGGGTAGCTAGCTCTGCCGTTTGTACGAGTCCCGCGTTTGGGGAAGGCTATTACTGTAGTAGTGTGGGCCCCCCGGGATCTGACTTGAGTCACTTGTCATGGGCTTCTGCAGCCACACAACTGTTTCAGTCCCTACATGATTTTTGCCCAATCTGGCATGCAGCTCATGGCCCAGGCGGTAGTGCCCAGAGAGGACCAAAAGACTTCACATGTTCTTATGGCCATGACGAACTGCCAGGCCTGCTCGAGGCCCGGCATAAGGATGCCCACAGTCCTCCCAAACCAGCGTGGGTCAGTCACTTCGATTTGCCACTTTGATCAGCAGTCTTGCCGTTGCGAGTATGGCGAGCGAAAGGTAATTGTATGTATTGTATGCAAAGATTGTGTATGATTCGCTGGGAATCGTCTATCGGCGCAACAACTCTAGAAAGCAAAACACCACCGTTTTCTCCAAATTACTACTCAGCGAAAAGACCACTGTCTGTTTTCAGTATCTCACTCCTTTCCAATGATCGCGCCTTTTTTTTTGTCCATCACCTAGGGCACCGAAACCGATTCAAATGCCATTCTCCAGGACCGCCAAAGCACCAGGCTCGCTACAGACGTAGATCACGTCATGGTTGTCCGAGAAGCCGTTGAAGCGAGTGGCAGAGCACTTGGTGTAAGCGCCCATGTCCTCGAAGTACAGCCAGTCACCGACATCCAACGTCTGGTTGAATCGAATGCTTTCGCTGATGCGGTCAATGCCGTCGCAGGTCGGGCCCCAGATGCTGTACTCCATTCCGCCCGCCGTCACAGGTCGGCCAGCATTGGTGTCGTAGTAGTTCTGGCCCCCGGCCTGCAAGACGTGGGCGACCGGGTTCTGGTGGTCGAACATGATGCTGCTGAAATTGCCATAGACGCCATCGTTGACGTACACCATGTAGCTGTTGTCGTCGCCGGGCTGGTTCTCGACGGTTCGCCGCGCAATGATGTTGCAGGCCAGCGTGAACGCTGTCGAGGCGTAGAACCGGCCAGGCTCAGCAATCAGGTTGATACCCGAGTGTGCCGGGAAGTATTCGTCGAGTGCGGCGCGGAGGACACCAGCCATTCCCTCAAAGGTGGAGTCGCTGCAGAAGCCGCCACCCACGTCCAAGGTCTTCATCTCGAAGCCGTAGTCGGTGCCCTGCTGGAAGACGGCGTGCGCGTCTTGCACGGCCTTGAGGAAGGCCCTGGGGTCAGAAGCCCCGGACCCGACGTGGAAGCTCACGCCGACAACGTTCAACCCGAGGTCTCGCGCGGTGCGCAGCAGGCCATCGGTCATGTCCATGGAGGCGCCAAACTTCAGGCTCAACCGGCAGAGGCTGGAAGAATCGTCGGTATGGATACGCAGGAAGAGCTCAGCCTCCGGGAACAGCTTGGCGATCTTGCGCAGCTCGTCGGCGTTGTCAAAGGTCATCTGGCGGACGCCAGCGTTGGCGACGTAGCGGACGTACGAGTTGGTCTTGCACGGCTGGGCGTAGATGACACGCTCAGGGCTGACTCCCAGGTTGAGCACCTGCTCAATCTCCGTCTTGGAAGCGCAGTCGAAGCCTGTGCCCAGGCTGGCCAGGAGGCGCAGCAGCTGGGTGTCCGGGTTGCACTTGACGGCGTAGAAAGGCTTGACGCGCGGGAGGTTGAGCTTCCACCGCAGATGCTGGCGGTAGACCTCGCCGAGGTCAGCAACGAAGAAGGTATCCTCATCGCCAGGCTCGCAGAACTCGTGATCGATGTTCTCGACGCGCTGGCGAAGGGCGTCGCCAATCAGCTGCTTGGGACAGACATGGCTGTAGTGGGCATTGTCGTCATGGTTGAATACAACGCCATGGTCTTTGATGGACTTGGTCGAAAAGATCCGATTATTGATGTAATCAACAGGTGAGATTGTATCGACGAGGGTAATTGCCATAACCATATCCCAGGGCTTGTTTGAGGGACTTCCGCTGCTGGGCCTGACAGACACGCTTTGTGTTCTCGAGTGGTGGTCCGAGTAAAGGATGAACCTTTGTTGTTTGAATGAGTCTCGAGGATCGAGGCGAGTGTTAAGGTGGTCGGAAACGGTAGCAAACTGTTCCCTGGATAGATTGGCGAGGCCTCCGCGACTCTCCCTCCGTAAGAGAGAGGGTCTCTAGAAGACTCTTATTCGGCAGCTTAGATTGGGGGGTGAACTCGGGGTCCGGTCTGTGGTGTGGGAAGTCGAGGAGCGGTAAAGACTCGGGGCCTTTAGTTGACTTCAGCAGGTGGAGGTGGAACAACACAGAGGATGTGGAAGGGCTTCCGATGGGCGAAATCTTGATCAGATACAAAGGCTACGGCCGAGGAAGCCGTCTTAGCGACGAGCCTTTGTAAGACCAAAGGCAGTCCGGACTGGGGGTTGTCTGAGGGGATGGGAGGCCGCTGAGGTATTTTCTCGTCAGTCGTGTGGTCCTTTTCAGTTGCTTCACTGATGTAAGTGCGCGGTGAAGACACGATGGCTGGCTGGGGGGACGGGAGCGGAGAGATGATCTATGAGCGATTTGTAGACGGCCCAGGCGGAATAGGCGGTCGTGTAGATAGATGAGGGCGGCACGTCGCGAGGACTGTAATCGCCTAGGGGCAATGCTTGATGCCTAAGGGGGATCGCGATCGGGCGCAGAGGGCTGTGTTCCCGTTCCTGGACGCAACATACCTGCAGCTGGACAGCGGTGGAGAAGACTGAGTCACCGGCGCGGTTGGTACCGAGAGTGTATAGAAGCTGAGGGGCGAGGTTGGATTGCAGCACAATGTAGTGTCGGGAGGACAAGAAGCTGCAAAGGCTAGGTGGTATAGGGTTGGGCGGGTGAAGTTTTGTGGATGAAGCTGATGCTGATTGTCGTCGGATGATGTGGTAAGAAACCTTATGTGGTGGGGGCGGGAGGGAATTGTCTGGCAGGAAGTGGGTCCTTTCTCCTTGCTTTCTTGCCCTCCACGGTTCGTGGCCGGGTTCGAATTTTCTCAACTGTGGTTGATGTAATAATTGGCAAGAATCAGCCTGTCAGGAGCTGGCGGGGCCTGGGCTACGGCCTGGCTACACCTGGGGCCCCAAACCTTAGCGCGCCACTTGTGTCGGCCAAACAGTCACCAACAACAAGCCAAAGCCTCACTGCGACCACATGGCCCGTCACAGCCAGGGCGCACAGACTACCTGCAGCCATGAACGCCCTTCCCGCTTGAAACCTGGAACCAACCTCTCCTCTGTTTTTCTCAGCCAGACGAGGTCTTATTTAGAGTTCAACGATGTCAACCAAGACAAGAGAGCATCGTACATTGTAGCTCTCTCTTGTTGTATTGATATTTATGTGAGGGCATACGTGTTTTCCGGGACAAGGTGCGTTCCGTGACTGATAGACAGTTGCACCACAGCATTTCGCGCAATTCGGCAGCCTGAGCTTGGTTTTTCAACACACTTCCCTATGTCAACGGGAATCGGCTGCCCATACCCAAGGAATGCCGAACAAGTGCTTTCGAAACCTTTTATGCTTTTACATGTTCACAACGCAACCCAATTTCGTGGCTTCCCTCCAGCAGTTTACGCAGGCCTCCCCATTGATCCTCAAAGCAGACCGCGCATGCGCTCACCACATTTTGCAAGAAAAGAAAGCAGCCGCTTCATTACACGGCGGCAAACAACTTGAAAAGGGGACTTCTAACGACACTGTATTGTATTTCGAGGCCAACTTTTTGTTTCACCGATGCTGAAACTCGATGTGGTGGGCTGCCGCCCTGGGTGGTGATCTGCACGATCGCCCGCATCGAGCCCGTGGGGTCAGATTTCTTGGTCTCTCTGCCCATGTCCTCCATGACTCGAGCTGCTCGGCCTCGTCGTCGATGACTGATTTGTCCACCGGCTGGCCGAAACACACATACCTCGTGTCGACCATCTCATGGGAAGTCAAACGCCATCTTCTTGGGCACGACGCAGCGGATGTTGGCAGATGAGAGCTAGGATTTCCTGGCGATTTAAGGCTTAGATTTATATGATTGGAAAGGAAAAAAAGCCTTTTTTGGGCAGTAAACGGTCTAGACCGCTCTGTAGTGACACTACTTGTGTGATTAATCCAATACCGAATCTCAGTCTGGACTTACTCATCATCCCAAATTGGAGCAGCAGTTCAGCAGCTGACAGGACTTGACTTCTGCTGTGAATTATGTGTGACGGCCGGAAAGACCGACGATCAATCGTTCAGATTGGTTTTTCCAGCCACATGTAAAGCGGTAATGTCACAGCACTGCTCCCAACATTTGGTGCCCTATGTATTGAATAGATAATTTGAGGCATGGACTAAGTTTCCACTTGAGGTCGCTTTGCTCCAGAACGTCCTGCCCAGGACGTGTCTTAATACCGAGACGAAAAGGACTTTCCGAAATCTCAACAGAGTCCTCAACAGGCTTTAGAAGTATATCTCACTCGTCTGAGGATTTCATCAGTGCACACTTCGCTACAATGTTATAGGTAGAGACCATGTGGCTGCTAAGAGCACCTAGATATGTAGTAATAAATAACATGTAATGTGCGACGGATGAGGAATATCATACCCTCCACTTAGTATGGTCGTCAAATTCATGTAGGGCTGAACAACTACTAATATTTGATGCGTGAGAAATAGTCTACCTATGAATTGGTACCGGAGACTGAGCTGAGGTAGGTGTTACTCACCGTCTTGACTTGGCATTTTCTCGAGGCAGCTGCTGAAGGACACCATCAGCTACAATGTTGGAATCATTACCTAAGATTCGGTGAGAGCCTTCATCGCGAGCAAGTGTAAAGCGACAGGATCACCCACAGTGCAATGAATGCATTGGACCCAGAGCAGCACAGCTTCCACTATCTCTCATAACGCTCTTCCGCGAGTCACTTGCTAAGACCACTATAACTCAAATCACTCGTCAAAATGAAGTCCGTCGTCTTTCTCATCGCGACAGCCCTGGCTACGATCACCCAGGGCGCCTCCGTGCCCACTGCCGAGACAACAGAGCTCATCCACAGCGAGATCATGAACCTGACCGACACCCTCTGGTACAAGGAGCGCTACGGCGACGCAGACATGGCCACCGCAGCCCAGGACGGTGCCGTGCTGGCCAAGCGCGACTCCTGCGGCAGCAAGATGCCGTACAGCGTCAGCGACATGCGGGCCCTGATCAGCAACCTCCAGTCCGACGGCGGCAACGACTATGTCCCGGCCGGCCACGTCCATATTTGGACCCGTGGCACCGCTCGCATCTGTACCCACAACCGCTACGTCTTCGAGAACACGCACGTCTCGCACTTCGAGCAGGGTTGGGGCGCAGACCTTACAATGAAGAACTGCTGCAACCCCGACGGGAACCCGGACTGGTAAGCTGGCACATTGATCCCCCAAGGGGATTCAAGAAACAAGGGACACAGACACTTTAAGCTAACATCCCTCTTCACGCAGTGCTGGTGGCGGTGTTACCGGCCACGGTGACTCGGGCCTGGCTGTCGACATCATCACCAAGAACTCGGCGTTTAGCTGTTAAATGGAAGCCTTGGTCGACCTGAAGCCTAAGCGTAACGTACTACTTCGACAACGTACATATACCGGCTGACCTGTAAACTCGTCATCAGAGATAGCTATTTGCTAGTCAAAAAGGTTGATGGAATGAAATTATAACTCCGACCAGATTATTTGAGCATTTTGATTGACATGCGCCACTTACATGATCCCCCAACGTCTGCATCTGAGAATGCTCTGCTTTACGGCAGTTCTGAGGGATATCACGCGCCTTCGTGTGGACTACTTCCGAGTGACAATCATAAAATACCCCAGCGGAAAAAGCGATCATGCATTACTATCCAGATACTCAACCTTACATTACCAACCAAGAGCCTTTCTGGCCCCGTAGGCCTTTGCTACGAAGCCGTCCGACTCATACGGTAAGGGAAAGGTGGACCAGTTATTCTCATTTCTTTAAGTGGCTATGGCCCAGGGCTGCGTTTGGATTGAGTGGCAAAAGAAGTGGACTCAGCCTCAGAAGTCTACGGATGCCACGAAACGTTCGAAATGAAGCAGGTACAAATCCCCTGCGCTGTATTCACTTGGCAAGCTAGACTATAGAACGTGCCGGTACGGTGTAGGTTTGTGGAAGCTTTGGCGATCTGCGGCTTCAGGGCTGTCAACAATAAGTGCAGTATACCAGTTGACTGTAGCTGGACAAGATTCTCTCCAGATTAGATTATCCTGTCGGAAGCCAGCTGAACTCACTAGCTTGAAGCAATATATGATAAAACAGTCCCTACTCATGCGGAGTCCAGTGGTAGAAGTATTTCGAAATTTTGCGACTTTGTACCGCACAGGAGGATGTAGATATAGGAGAATCGAGTGTGGCGGGACTTTGGTCTTACCCTGCAATGGCCCTCAATCGTCAACACATTCGTTTGTGGTAGAGCGATGGCTGGCGGGCCTGGGGCCAGGTCACATTTTCGTCGCTAGTGGCTAATGCTACAACGCTGTCGATAGACCAAGGCTCCTCATTCGTCTTCAGTGCTGTGCCGCCCAACTGCTTGGTCTGGTTTCAGGCCGTCCGGAACTCTAATTTTGGGGGTGACTCCCAATCGGGTGTGACTCAACGTCTCCCAGATTTCATCCTTTGCTCCTTCTTTTGTGAACCTTGGAACTCAGCACCAATTGGTTCGATTTTCAATCAAAACTAAACCTCTACAATATATACTGCCACTCCAGTTCTAAAGCCACCGCTGACCATGCCGCCTATGACAACACTCAAGGGTCAGGTATTCGACCGCCCTCTGTTTGAATCGGTCTTGAAGCGGCGCTTCTTCTTCACCGAGTCCTTCGAGATATATCGTGTCGCCCGCAACTGGACCGGCGACAACAAAGGTCTCTACGACTATGGCCCACCGGGCTGCGCTCTCCAGGCTAACCTCGTGGATGCCTGGAGGAAGCATTTTGTACTGGAAGAGAACATGCTCGAGATCGACTGCAGCGTCGTCACCCCGGAACCGGTCCTAAAGACTAGCGGCCACGTCGACAAATTCGCTGATTGGATGTGTAAAGATCCTGTAAGGGGCGAGTATCTGAGAGCCGATCATCTTGTTGAGAATGTGCTCGAGACGCGGCTAGCCACCGGAGTCAAGGGCCCGGATCGGGACTCCCAAAAGTTGAGTGAAGCCACCGTGTCCGAGTACAACAATGTTCTCGCCAAGATCGACAACTACGACGGCGACCAGTTGGGTGAACTCATAAAACGGCTCGATATCCGCAACCCTCTTGGAAATGGAGAAGTCCTCCCTCCAGTTCCCTTCAATCTTATGTTCAAATCCACCGTTGGACCAAGCTCAGCAGCTCCTGTATACCTACGTCCTGAAACCGCGCAGGGCCAGTTTCTAAACTTCAAGAAGCTTCTGGACTATAATCAGGGCTTGATACCTTTCGCCTCCGCAAGCGTTGGTAAATCCTATAGGAACGAAATTTCTCCCAGGTCTGGTCTGCTCCGGGTGAGGGAGTTCCTCATGGCTGAAATAGAGCACTATACCGACCCAGACAAGAAAGATCACAGACGATTCTCTGAAGTCACAGGTATCGAGTTACCGTTGCTCGATAGAGCCACTCAGCTTGCTGGCAAAACAGCGCCAAAGATCTTGACCGTGCAGGAGGCTGTGGAAGCAAAAATGATCGATAATCAAACTCTGGGCTATTTTCTGGCTCGAATCATGCTCTTCCTTCTCAAGATAGGAGTCGACCGGTCGAAGATCCGGTTCAGACAGCACTTAGCAAACGGTACCCAGACCCCTCCTCATATCCCTCATTCTAGCACATGACAAGATGGACGACTTGACTGACGAGATTTGAAGAAATGGCTCATTATGCTTGTGACTGCTGGGACGCAGAGCTTCTGACCAGTTACGGCTGGATCGAATGCGTGGGCTGCGCGGACAGAAGCGCGTATGACCTTACCGTCCACTCGAAGTTTACGGGCACCGACTTGAAAGTCAAAGAAAGCCTCCACGGTGGCTCTATCAAGAAAGATATATGGGAAGCAACGCTGGACAAGAAGCTTGTTGGCCCAAGGTTCAAGAAGGATGCCAAAATCGTCCAAGAGAGCGTTGCCGCACTTGATCAGTCCAAACTAGAGATGCTGGCTGAAGAACTCGATAATAAGGGTGTAGTGACGGTTGACACATCAACACCGTTGGCTGATGGGGCGACATCAGTGGCGCTTTCACAGGACCTTCTAACCATCAAGAAAGAGACGCGTGTGCAAACGACACGAGAGTATACGCCGAATGTGATCGAACCGTCATTCGGTATTGGCCGTATCTTGTACAGTCTTCTGGAACATGTGTACTGGAATCGACCACAGGATACTGCAAGAGCAGTGAGTTTGGTCTTCTTTTCCCTCTCTATCGCCCCCTTCTAACGGGATCTCCCCCCTCACTCTGCTTTATTTTCTTTGGTACGACTATGCGTGTCTTTCGAGTTTCAGAGTCAGGTCTAATTAAGTCTACTAGGTTCTGTCGCTGCCTCTCGCCGTGGCGCCTACAAAGGTGCTCATAGTTCCTATTTCGGCGCAGCCACAATTCAGCACCATCATAAAAAAGCTGTCAGCCCGGCTGAGGAAGCTTGGTATCTCTAACAATGTCGACTCTTCTGGTGCCTCGATTGGAAAACGTTACGCTCGCAATGATGAGCTCGGCACCCCCCTCGGTATCACTGTTGATTTTGACACTGTGGCGAACGGGTCGCTCACCCTGAGGGACCGTGACAGCACATCACAAGTCCGCGGTTCAGAGGATGATGTGATTATGGCCGTAAAGGATATGGTTGACGGCACACAAACATGGAATGATGTAGCGAAGCGCCTGCCCCCTTTCACAGGCCAAGGCCAGGAAGACTGAATAGTCGGGGGGGGGGGTAATTGAAAATAGACGGAATGCTTTAGTCAGGCTAGAATCAGATTTAAATTCAAGTTCTCGCAATGCTCTGTTCGAACATGGCTTCTAGCACTGCGGAATGTGTTGGATGCCCTACAACGCATATTTTACTCCCATCTAACGGTCTACAAGTTTCGAAAGCCAATTACATACACGTGCTCCACGTCTTATCACACACTATTCACGTGCTCAGGGATCATGGCTTGCAAGGTGTTGTTGTGAGCCTGCTCATTTTTCTTACTATGCGAAACCCCGGGGATCTCTGTGTCCAGCACAGAGCCCTCGCCTCCGTCCCTCAGATGGTGACCTGCACTCATCAGTGGAGTACACTCTATGGGAACCCTAATCAAACTTGACCTTTCCGTGGCTATCTATCCTCACTCTAGGTGTGGATCTGATAGTCTCATTGTATCCGTTCCTATAAGTGCCATCGCAACGAAGATACCAGCTGTGATGACGAGCTTTTGTTAGCGATCTGGTTCCTAGAACGTGAACGCCAGTGATCATAAGTTAAAGCTCAGCAGGAAAGCAAGAGTCTGCTATGCTTTAAACGGATGTCGTTGCACATGGATTCGACTCGGGGTGGATTAGTGCTGCTGTTGGGTGGGGGTTGTTTCACTGACAGATCACCCCTTTGGTCCTTCCTGGACCCCCGTTGTTGGACGATCGGGTTCCTTGGGTCCACAATGCAAGTTTCGACGTAAGTCCTGCGTACATCGTCATAGTCCTTGAGGACCTGCTGCCCGTAATGATAAACGTGGGTCACATTTTCAGCCCCTGAGAGGCAAGGTCAGTGTTACTCTTAGATGACGCAGGTCAATATTTTGTGATCTTGTGAAGACTCACTTTCATCGTGACGATCAAGCTGACGGCGTGCTTCTCTGCCTTCACTGCCTGGCTGTCTGGCCTGACTCTTAAGGGAGTGGTGGATTTCACACCTGTGATGGTAGTCCTTGGGCGGTGATCTGTAAGACTGAGAGACGCGGAGGCAGAATTTATAGTGTACATTTTTGCACATCTTAGCAACTTCAAAACGTGAATAAAAAGGTATGAATGGGTGCTCGGAATAATTGATGGGGTTTCTGGCTCGATGAAGATACTGAATTGACTGATCTGGTTCCTCCAACTCACAAGATCCAGACTTCCACAACATTTTATACCTTCCAGATTTCTCAGTCATTTTATCATGAAGGCCACACAAATGACCTCGTTGGTGGCTAGCCCGTGGTTTCCTACTGAAGTTGTGTTTGAATGCATCCTGAAATAGCCAGATGGGACGCCTCTGAGACTCCCGCAACCAACAACCGTATGGTGAAGCAGGTGAAAAAGGCCACCTTTTACGGACCTAAACTTTAAATTTCTCGCAGGCCTCGATGACCTCAAGCAAAATTAAGCTCATCCTACAGGAAGGCGGCCCAGTTCGCTGAGCACGTGCTGGACACCTCTGGCGGATTCAACGTCTTTACTTGTTATGGCCGCGCGCGAGACCTGTGCCGCAAACTTACTAGGTCAACCCTGGGAATGAATATCGCTAGTAAATACACATATATGCTAATTTAGGATTATTTTAGTTCAAATGATTCTACCAGATGGTAATTATGAGACGGACGAAACAAACGCACCGGGCATCTAAAGGACCATCGACGACGTCAAACCTTGGAAGTTCCTTGAACCTGGCGGCGAAGGAGAGAGTCGCAAAAGCCGGGTCTCTTGGCCATCGCCTCTTTAGAAACCTTCCTCTAATAGATAGTACATGAGAATTGGCCTCGACACGCGTGGTCAGACTGCTGAAGTCTCAGCACACACAACGGCCGCGGCGACCAACTCGAGCGGCTGTTCCGGTCAACCACAGGTCATACCTGAGCCACACCTCCATGCTGTCTAGGTTTCGGCAAACCAACGGGTTCGCATTCACAGGTGGGGTTTTGAATCTAAGAATACATCGAAGTGATGGATTCCAGGGTCCAAGGCAAATCTCAGAAGTCAGGTCAAGACTGGCCTCCCTGAGATGCCTGAGCCAGCTTTGCCTACACAGGCTTCAACATTGTGATGATTTATCGCGGGAACAAAAATTGAAAATACGTCTATACATCATTCACATATGAATTTATAGTAACACAAATGTCTTTCAGGTCCCAGTATGTCGAAATGCAGGACATGACTCTTGGCACATGTGCACATGAAGATATAGCCCCTACTTATGAACATAAAAGGAAAACAAGATGACACTTGGTATATCTTTTCTATGGTCCACCACCAACATGGTATTAAAGATATTCACTTCTCCAGTGAATCAAGGCCGAAGAAATGTGCATACAATGATACAATAATTTCAACACGAGGAAACCTTGCCGTGATGTGGATGGTTTCCGTCAGCTTTGAGGTTATAAGAGCAATGCTTGCCCGTTAGATGATGCTTTAGTTTTGAGACCTGCAATTCATAATTCTCCCGAGATATTTTTGGCGCTTGTCAAGTCAACAAAACTTACCAAATGATCACTGTTAGCCATTACTGCTATCTTTTCCCTATGGCAGGTGTGCGTTTTCTTGGAGATGACTTTGAACTGTTGTAGCTCGCATGGCTGGGTTTCTACAGGACGACAGAGAGAAAAGGCTCTAGATCCAATTGCGCTTTCTTGAAATATCGCAGGAGCTCGAGGACGACGATTCTTACAGAACGCAGAGGGCTCGCCAGGTTGCTTCATTGAGCTGGTGGCTTGCTGCATGCTACAAGCTGAAGAATACCGAGACAAAAGAAAATGAACAATACACTTGCGGTACAAGACCTCCTGAGTATTAATCAAAACTTTTTTTTTGGCAGATATTCACCTAGACTCTGTCACCACTGTGAACGTTTCCAGACCGCCCACATAGGTCTATTCAGTAGCGGAGGTCAGACCGGACCAAGCCCACCCTCCAAATTCACCTCTTTATTCGACGTTTACACGATTCTCCTTTAGTAGCTGATGTGAAGAATGGGTATGGATCTTCATTATGCTCACATAAGCTACTCAAGTGGGTCCAGAGCGAGTGTGATATGTGATGTTCCAAGTGCGCATTATCCTTCCTTTTTTAGACTTGCCGGGGGCTGTAAGCTGCAGCCTCGTTGGACCCAGCTTTTCTGGAGATATCTCAGCCTACTCTAGCTGACATCGGAACACCTACCAAGACCAGCCGTATGAAAGTCGAAAAGCGAAAACGACTTCACTGCCATTCCGGTACTCAGCCCCCAATCGTACCGCACTTGTCGATCAGCCCGGCGTGGCCGTGGAATCATTCCCGAGGTCATGAGTTGACTTACAGAGTGAGATCAAGATAGATTCAGCAAGATTTTCAGTTGTCTTACGCATTGTCCCTGACGAGCCGTTCGTGTTTGGCCAACAGGGTAAGCACGCTGACGATGATTTCCAGAAACTCGACGAGGAAAACTTCTCAGGTTGGCTGACGTTGTTGATGACTACCTCGAGAGGATTTTCAAAAACACCGACATGGCTAAGATCAAGGCCGGGCGCCAACATAAAAGGAGGTGGATCCTCTCTCCTTGCCGTCTCTGAAGCTCGAAGTCTCCATGCACACATTGTTTTGACCGTCTTCCACCAACTTTGATCAAAAAACAAACTTTCAGAGCTCAATCATGCATTTCTCTACTGCCGCCGGGATCCTCTTCACTCTTGCCTCCTCCGCCTCAGGCTGGTTTGTAACCCTATACGATACAACAGACTGCGCACAGTCGGGAGGCCAATACGTACGTGTTGTCATTCTCAAAGCAATCCGTGTTCTGATCCCTGTTAATCTATGATCCAGTACTCCATCGAAGGCTCCGACGATTCGGGCTGTGTGGTTCTGCCAGGCAAGTTTGGTCCTGGCGTAACCTGCAGGTTCTTCAAGGACGGTGGTTTCGATGGGCCTCATGATTGCGGCCAGGACACCTTCACGATGCCCAAGAGCCACAAGTATAAAGACGCGTACTGTACCATTTGGCAGGACGGCAGCTGTGGGCAGGATGGCGGCCACATCATAGGCCAGGGACTAGGGAATGGCTGTGAAGCAGTCAATCCGGATGCGAAATGGGGGAGCATGAGGTGTGGCATCCCTTGAGGATAACAACATGGCAATTTGCGGAGGCGATAGATCGAGCTGGTCTCCTGGTATTGTAGACCATGGCAAGCACACAGGGCAGCTACGAGATGTCGGGAATCTTGGGCAGTGGGCCGCTGAGAGTGTTTAGAGGCTCGTGGGCAACTGAGCAGCACAGACGCTGTCCGGCTCATCTTATGACCGTTGTTTTCCAAATGAACCCATAGACAGCATAGCTACCAAATCCACACTCGTTTGACTTCTTGTTTGAGTGGGCTGTCCCACCGACCTGGATTCTTCGCCTCTGTTCACTAGAGGAGTCATACTCGATGCATGCCCTCTCAGGAGCAAACAGTCTTATCGAATTTAATTCGTAGTTTGAGCCCCCCAAAATTACTATCTGAGTGTCGGCCGATGGGAAGGCGCTGAATCATTACTTAAGTATACATTGAATTAGAGGTTTGGGAAGGCCAATGCCCTATGTGCTGACTAAGATCCCTTCCAATTTTGCTCGATGGCTTCAAGCGCCGCCGTCGAGATAATAAGCTAGGCTGTAATTCAAAAAAACACACTGTTGGACCTCAGGAAACGTGATCGTCTCGGCCGGATAATCCAGCTGCTTGGCCGGCCCCTGGTCACTAGTGACAGGATCCCAAGTGCCAGTCTCCCTTACCGCCGACAGCGTGTCACTGTAGCCTCGCGCCCGCAAGTAATCCTCACCCGGGTTCGGGGAGCCTGTCCGTGCGAAAGCGGCGTAGTAGCCGCTGATAAGCTGACTGGCCTGCAGGTCGCGCTGGTCGCGGAGGGGGTTTTGGTTGCCGTATGTGAAGCCGAGGTCGCTCCCGTGAAGTCTGAAATAGTTGCCTTCTGGATTGACTCCGCCGTTCAAAGCTGGACCCAGTTTCAGCGGATCGTAACCCTCGTATGTGCGGTAGATGTTATAGTAATAGGAAGCAGGGAACGCCCCCGAAACACTAGCAGCGTAGACAGTGGCCTCGTCGACGCATCGGAATTGCAGATCAGTAGAAACTCTTTGTGAGACATTGAAGGTATCCAAAGTCAGATTGCCCGTGTCAAAGTATGGAAACAGGCCACTGTCAATGACTCGCTGGGCCTGGGCTTGAGAGATGCTAAGTGAGGAAGCAATGCCCTGAACCTCGCTGGTGATATTGCTTGGCGGATATCCACAGAATGAGGCGCCGTCGTTGTTTGTAGTACCAAAAATGACCGAAACGTAGGCCTGGCTGCCGTTCTTGGCGGTGACAATAAGCTGCTCTGTGTCGACGATTGTACCATCCTGGACGACGTATCTTGCGACTGTTCCCAGATTGATGATCGTAGACGCATTTACGGTCTTTAAGCATGCGATCTGTTCGTTGACATCGGTCTGGTTGCAGCCGACGCCGCTGAAGATCTGTTCGCCAGCCCGATCAAAAGACTGCTCGATGGTCAAGTACGTGCTGTAGGTCGTGGCGTAATCGCCTTGCAGACCAAGAGCGACACCCCCGCCCAGGTTGGACATGGACACAGCTCCAGAGATGAGATTGTTCTCGATGACGGGCGGTGAACCGAGCAATGTCCGAACTGACCCGGCACCAGCACTCTCTCCAATGATGGTGACGTTGTTGGGATTCCCACCAAAAGAAGCAATATTCTTCTTCACCCACTGTAGCAAGCGATCCTTAGTACTAGCTTTCCAATTTGAATTGCGATATGAGATGCTTACCCCCAGCGCTGTAATCTGATCTCCAATTCCAAAGTTGCCTTTGACATCCGTTCCAGGTACGGCGAGGAAACCCAGGGTAGACAGGCGGTAGTTGAGCTCGACTGACACAATGTCTTCTCTTGAGGCCATGTTCCCGCCATCCAGCCCGGAATTTGCGCCCCCGTTACCGCCTGTGAAGCCACCACCGTGGATGCTGAACATAACCGGCCTGAGGTTTTCGCTCGACCCAGCCTTGGGTATGTAAGGTGTCTGGATGTTCAGGAACAGACAGTCTTCAGCGGAAGACGAGTCACCCGCTTGTGTACAGTCGGCACCATACGCGGTGGCATCGATCGTTTGGCCTGTAGCGCTGTATACTGTTGAGTAGTCGAAACGCTCGACCGGGTCTGCATATGGTATCCCAATAAAGCGGAAGGATTTCTGGTTTCGAAAGCCTACGTAGGTATTGCCCGCCGAGGAAATAGTCAGTCTGTTCGAAGCAGTCGCCTGAGCGTTGCTCGCACCATTCTGAGAGCTAGACTGGGTACAGAGAACCGGTAGCTGGCCAGTCCTATTTTCCGAAGCGGATGTCGAGAAGCCAAGCGTGCCTCCAGGCAAGGTGTTGACAGACAACACAGCATCCTCGATGTAATATTGTTGCCCAGGTTGTACTAAGCCAGCGAATGCGAGGTAGGACAGAGCATTCTCGAAGTCCTCACTGTGTGTTTCGACAGTCGTGAAGGGCAATAGAGACTCTCCTATTGCTATACACTGGGAGTCTCCTCCACTCTGAGTCGAAGGATCCAACAAGATGGCCCCGACATGATTCACGTCGTCGGATGCGTTCAGGTTGTTCTGATATATGAAGGTGAGCGATGTAGCGTCGTTGGAACAGGACGAATTTGCTATTTGTGCTCCGGCGAATCTCGAGAAGGTCATGGCGAACACGGACAGGGCCGTGAGCCCGACCTCAGAAAGAGAAGACATGCCGAGATCGTTATTTGGAGTAGCGGATGCGTTACATTCAACTTTGGCCATCTGACGGCCCGGGACCACGACATCTTATACTATCATGACACGCGTCGACCGTAACTCTTCAACCCTACCGGGCGTACGGCTGGCCAGTGGCCACCTGAAAGGCTTGGTGAGATCAGGCTGGAACAGATTTTCTCCAGGGTAGGGTCGTATGATCCACGCAATGGCGTGGCAGCTAAACTTTGCGAGGCTTACACCACTTTCCCGGAGAAACGGCCAGGGGAAGTGCGCGCACTATTGGTGCGGGGTGGTTCGCTAGCCGTGAACCGGTGCCGGATAAATGCAGGCGACCAAAGAGAAGTAACGCTCACAGTCCTGAAACGACTTCAATGACGGTAATCATCGAATCCGTACCTAAGGAGAATACCGCTGACTCTACCCTTTAGTAAGCACATGGTCCTTTTCATCCTCTTTCTTTTCGAGAGCGGGAAATGATTTCCAGGCTGAAAAACGAAGTCTTTCAGAATGTCCCTTGCTTGGTAGAGTGAAGACCGAAATCTGTCCTTCACACTTTCACATAGCGCATGGCTTTTCAAACAGCATATCTCCATCAGACTCCCACCATGTCAAACACTTCGCCTGTGCCCTGCTACCACACCTTCACCGATTGTATTATCTTGCCTCTCTGCAGACACTAAGTTCATCATATGAGTACTTCTATCCATAGTATTTAAATGACTTATACCTTATTGCCTGATCGGGTAATTCCTCAGATTCTTATCTCTTGTTAGAACGGTTTGGTGACTCCACTTGTAGCAAAAGGCTGAAAACATTCGCCTTTTGCGTTGCAGTGTTCCTCTCAGAAAAAAGTACCATTCTACATCAGTCTGACAATACATAACTTTTCTATCTGTATGAACCTGTAGGTAACATCTTACCTCGAATGGGCTATGAAACTTGTCTGAATAGGGGCAGGAGGTATAGTCCAGCCACCCAAAAACACCACAAATTCCAAACCAACTTGTCCGAAGATTCGTGTTGATGTGATGTAGTTAGTACGGAGATTAAACTACCGACTCCAAGTGGCAGCCACCGCACAACAGGAATCTGCACATTGCAGAGCACAGGAAGTATCACCGACCACACCACTACAAGGATAGCCAAAGACCACCGAGCCACTCTCTCTCCGTATACCAAAGGGAGCGTCTTTCTCTGCCGTGCCCGGTCACCCTTCATATCTGGCAAATCCTGAGCGTGCACAGTCGTCGCGACCACGGCAGCCGTCACAAGGATCCATATCCAGACCACCATGTGCGGCACCCTCAACAGGACGGCCGAGATGCAAGTTCCTGAATATGGCGTCGGGGATACTGCAGCCCCAGACAGCGCGGCCGCGATGGCGAATATGCTCTGAGGGAAGACGACGGTCTTGAAATCGCTCTTGGTGAACAGGAAGAGTGTATACAGGTGGAAACTAAGATTGCGTTTCCTACAAGAGCTGGATTCCTGGCTCTTGGCTTGAAGTGGTGAACTAAAAATAAGGCTTGAAGTATCTTGGGAGTCTTGTATCGCCGGGAAGGAGTGACAGCCGGCAGAGGCAGTAGAGGCCTTTTCTTTGGCAACTTCATACATATTGCAATAATCAAACTGGGCACAGCCGAAAACCCTGGTTGTGCAGCGAGTGGTTAAAGACAAGGGTCTGAACTTTAGAAGAGTTTCTGAGAACGATGTTGACTCCGACCACCACAGTCTGGGCTGCAGACCTCCTGAAATACGTGAAGGGAGACCGCTGAAAGGAGGCTGTAGGCTCTCTATGTTTCAATGATAAGCCATGATAGTCAAAAGGCCCTAATGTAATCCTGCTGTCAAGCACATCACAGTCATCAGACCGTATTTTGCGAAGGATCAACAATGTGATGGTCAAATGACCGCAGACAGCGATAATCACAAGTATTTCATGCAGAACTGGGCGTACAGAATCCACCAAGCTACCCGTATCTGACCTTCTCAGGCCGCTGATAGGTTGTCACCTATTGGGTGAAGCCATCGGTCTTCGATAGATCACCGCCCCGAGGGCTTTGGCTCTGGAAGCGCCCGCCACACCGCAGGTCCTCATGGTTTCTGTCTCCAGGTCATTATGATTCATAGCACATACACGTCCGCGACTTGTGCGGCGGCTGACGCCAAGCATCAGAAAACTCTGAACTGGGTCTTCTTTGGCGAGCTTCAGCTTATCGCTTACATCGGGGCCAGGGGCCATGGAACTGGCGTAGTCTGGTGGCTGTCGTGTTGTGTCTCGGAACATAATGAGGAAGTGGCAGTGCTGCACATGGGATCTCATGAGCCAGAGAAAATTGTTGCGGGCCGAGTGAGGCTGCGATGAACTCTGTATTACTGGCGGTCTGAATCCCGCGGCCTTGGCGGCGTATTTGTCTTCTAAAGCTGCACAGCTTCATGTATATCAGAACGGCAATTGGGCAACTCGGAATTCCTAAGCGCATCAGACTGGACAAGGAAAGGGACAAAGTCCACGGGTCCAGATGTGGCCCAAAAGAAGACAAGGACATAGCGTTTTGTTCTACGCCGAAGATTTATTTAGCTATTGATTGTGTTGCAACCCCTCAGAATCGAGTTCCTGCCGCCTGGCGGTGCAGATATTAGGTCTTACGAGGGCACTGTGATGGAGTCGGAGAAGATCCAAACACAGGGCATCCATGGGCGAACCAAATAAACATGGCATAAACGACCAGCGTCAAATGCACAGCAGGATCTCCTGTCTCGCGGGCATTCCGAGCTTCCCGAGAGGAGCTATAGGAAAGTCAGGCATGGCGGAGTCGTACGGAGCGTTGCACATGCCGATCACCGTGTGACTAGATCGTAATCCACGCATTTTCCCCGTCAAGCGGATGTTCCAGGATGGAATCCTCCTATGCAAAGGAACAAAGGCAGCAGTATTGGCATTTCTCGGCCGTCCCGTCCGACTGTTTGCCTACTTCAGATCTTTTGTAGATCTAATCCTGAGTAATGTTCACTCAAACAAAAAGTAGTGTACTATCTGTATGACAAATCTTCAAACTGAACACTTTGGTACAAAGTATAATTCAAGCACGACTTGTCCTCTTTACTACAATGCGTGTCCTGCTGTGCTTATGAGAAAAGCCGTCCACCCAACCCTGGCCAGCTCTCATACCCGCAGAATCTGTCAAAGTTGAGTGATGAGAAGGCTGTAGTATCGCTGCCTGAAAGGCTTGGCTTACACTGCTTCATGTAGGCAGTCGTTTGGTTCTGATGATACCTCTGAATCCTGTAGAATCCAGTGTTTATGCGCAGAGTAGTAAGTCAGGGTCTGCACATTCAGCCCACCCCCTGATTCAGCCCACCAAAACGGTCCTCCTCGCCACACCACCCCTTTAATTAAAGTTACTTTAAATTATTATTATTACCCATAATAATGCATTTTTTTGTATTTATAATGTCTTTAAAAGCATTTATTTCTATTAAGTTATTCTTAATTATGCTGGCGTTAATTTATACCTTATATATATGCTTAATTTTAATAAATATAAAGTTTAGGCTTATTTTAACCTTCCTTCTCTTTTAAGGTATTATAATTATTAATTTATCTTTAAGAATTTAATTTTCTTATAAAAGTATTATTAATTGCTAATTTTTCTTATTATATCCTTTTTAAACCTTTTTAAAAAGTAATTATTAAGTTATAATTAAGTATTTTTATAAGTTATAATTAATAAAAGTAACCTATATTTCTTAAAATACTTTAAGGATTAAAAAAACCCTTTTTTATAACTTAATAAGTATTAAAGTAATTAATTTAAGTTTTTTAATTCTTATAATATTATTAAAAATAAATATAAATATTATTTTATTAAAGTTTTTAAGCATAATTATACTTATTAATAGTTTAGCTATATTAATTAGCTATAAATTAATTCCTTGCTATTTAAAAAGCATATGCTTTTCTTTAAGTATTATAGATTTTATTTTTTAATAGCAATAAAGGAATAATTACTTTTTAATATAAATATTATTAATATAAAGATTTAAAAAATCTGCTTCCTTTTTATATGCTGCCTTAAGGTTAAAGAATACCCTTAAATTAAGAGGTTATAATATATATAAGGTATATAGCGATAAATAAAAATAATAAATCTTATATAAAAAGCATTTTTATATAAACTTTAAAATATAATAGCTTTTATATCTATTTATTATTAATAAATGCTATTCTTTAAGGGCATTTAACTTTATTTAAAGGATAAAGATCTTTTATAGCTACTTAAGTATTATAGCATTATTTATTTAGCCATTTAGCATTACCATAAACTCTTAATTCTTATAACTCTTAAAGGTTTTAAATTATTATTATTAAATTAACTTCCCCTTAAAGATAATAAGGGAAAAGCATAATTTACCTATTATAAAGATGTACTTAAGGAAAAAAGTTTATATGCATAACCCATGGCTTTTTTAAGTAATAACCTTCCTTCCTTTAAGTTTTAAAATAATGCTATTCTTCCCCTTGCCCTTAGCTATACCCCCCTTATTAATATTATAATAATTTTCTAAATAAATATTTATAATTATTAATAATTAAAGGAGGTTAAATTACTCCTTAATTATATTTATTTTTACTTTATTTACTTAGCTTAAAGTTATTTAACGGCTTTATATATTTTAAATCTTAAAATTTTTAATAAGAAAAGCTCTTAATTAATGCTTATTAAAGGGTAGTTAATATTTTTAAAAAATAGCTACTTAGGCTATAAAAAACTTTATTTTAAAATATATTATTAATAACCTTAATATTACTTAATTAATTACTTAATTAAATAAGTATATTTCTTAAGTTTATAATAATCTTATTTAAAATTCTAAGGCATTTAAATAGCTTTAGGCATTATAACAATGATTATAAAGTATAATCCTTAAAATGCCCTAATATAAAGAGGCCTTTTAAATATCAGCGCCAACCCAAATCGCCTTAAGTACTATATCTATATCTTCTTCCATATATGGCTTTATAATTAATAGATAATAATATATTAAAAGTTTAAAGAAAAGAGAAAATTCTATTATAAAGAAAACGCATAATATATAATGGGGTGGATCTAACGCGCACGCAAGTATGGAGTGGGCCGAATCAGGGGGTGGGCCGAATGTGCAGACCCTGACTTATAACCCCTTCAACACCCAACAGACAATGGAACATCCAATAAACATAAAAGCCATGCAAATTTGAAAAGTCTCCCACCTACTTTTCGAACAGACGGCTCCATTCCATCTTGTTTTCTTATCTCTCCATCTACTTGTTATTGTATTACAATCCCTCAAAATGGCAGCGGGACTATCAAAAACAACGAGCGCCATACTTGGCCTGGCGTTTTTGGCTGTCCGACCATCTTCATCTTTGCCGGGCAGCTGCTGGGAATAGCCACCGTTGCGCCCGCCTGGTGCTTCCTCTCCTTTGTCCTCAGCCCTTCGCCGTCCGAGATCGCCCGCTAGGGCCGCGGCCGCGAGATCAGGACCGGGGAACTGTCATTGCTGCTCCCGATCATCTTGACCTTCCACACCGCGGAGGTGTTTGCCATGTTCTGTTCTGCCACGCCCGAGGCGCGCCATTACTGGACTTGGGCGTGGCAGATGGCGCACCTGGAGATCGGCGTGCTCAACTTCATTGTTGCCAGGCTCTCGTCGACTGTTTCACCAGCCAAGACCAATTCTCGCACCGGTGCCGTCTCTCTTGAGTCTTTTCTCGCCGTGTTGGGCTCAGTCTCGTCAGGCGTGTGGATTTACATGCTCCTATCGGCTCCTCACTCCATCTCGGAAACATTTGCGCTCGAGAGCGGTGTGCACTCTGACTTCATTTCGCACACCCGGTGGGCCCTCCAGGCCGACGAAGTGTTCGCCTTCGCCAGCTCTTTCCTCTGGCTTCTCTATTCCCTGCTGGATCTTGGATTTGCTGGAATCGAAGGAAAGAAAATCATCATCCCGGTTGTCCTCTTTCCAATTGTGGTCGCTTGTCTGGGACCTGGTTCCGCCTTCGCGCTGGGTTAGTATTGGCGAGACTCTGATACAGGCCGTCAAGGTCAAAACCACGAAATGATGTAGCTATAGTGTTCAACAAGTGAGACTACGCGCCGAGGGCTTGTCCAGAATAAGGAACCAGCACGTACTTTCGCTGAAATGGTTGCTCGTCTTCAGCATGGGTTAGTCCAAGAGGGACCAGTGTGAGAGATCTGACATGCCAGTCTCTGTCCTGCGGGTGTGTCAAGGGAGTTTTGAATACATCCACGCACAGAGAACCGAAGATTCCTAAGTATGACCAAAACTTTTATAGAGGAGCTTGATAAACGTCAACTGGCCCAAGTATGTGCAATGTTCTGTGTGAGCTCCTTAAACATGGCATTGCGTGACACAAAACAAGCTCTTGTGTACTACCATGTTGTGTAATTCCACTGTGAAAAACACTTGAGCTTCAAACGCACAAGTGTTACTATAGCGTGTGATTCTACACGTCGTTTGCATACTATACTTCAGTCTACTTAGTCTGGAACTTCGACCCTGCAAATTAACGACTGGTCACACACACGTGGCGATTCCGTATTGATTATCATATTCGAGGTGTACATGTACACCGGTGGGACCCATACCAGCCATATCCAACGTGTTGAAACGCTTGTGGTATAGATATCCTGCCCTCGTTGGTAAATCATCCAGGGCCCTTCGTCTGTATATACATTGATGTCCCACCTAATTTTCCCTTGCCACAACGCCTGATGAGATGCAGCCTCAATTTTCTTCTTCACGTAGCCCGCGCTGTAACCAGCGGTAGACTTTGTGAGCCAACCTACGAGGTGGCAAACTTCTCGATAAAGGTAGCCAGCTTCTGGGCGCCCTCCAGCGGTACTGAGTTGTAATTGGAGGCCCGGATACCGCCCACTGACCTGTGCCCTTTGAGACCTGTGAGACCCAGGTCGGTGGACTGCTTCAGGAAGGCCTTCTCGGCCTCGTCGATGTTGTCACCCTATCGTTGTCACGTCAGATTTGTGCCCTGCGAGATAAAGCTCTACTTGTGGGGATATTTTTCAGCTCACCTTGGTGACCCGGAAGCAGATGTTCATCCTTGAGCGGGCGCTCTTGTCTGGAACAATCCTGTATGTCTCAGGGTGGGCCTCAAGTGCCGCGTAGATGAGCGCAGCCTTCTTGTTAGCAACGGCCTCTTGTCCGTCGACCTTGTCAGGGAACGTGGCGAGCAGCTTCTTCAATACCGAGCCGGCGACGTAGACGCTGCAGATCTGTCAGTATGTGGCCCTCTTCGTTAGTTTGTCCGGCAAAAGTACGTACTCAAATATGCTCAGCGTGTTGTACAAGCTGTTGTTCTTGGCGATGGTCTCGTAGGACAGCACGATGGGCCCGATCGGCAGACCAAGCTTCCGCAGCAGAGCCGGTGGCGGCTGGGGCGTCGTGGGGGGCAGGAGGGTCTTCTTGATGATCGCGACGGTGACACCGGTCGACCCAAGGTTCTTCTGCGCACCGAAAAAGATCACCGAGAAGTTCTTGCCAGGGAACCTCCTCGACAGGATGTTGGAGGACATGTCGGCCACGACGATAGGGCCCGTGCCGTCGGCCTTGGGCGCAAGGATCTCGGGGAAGCTGGGCATCTCCACGCCGTCGACCGTCTCGTTGTCGCAGTAGTACACCATGGCGGCGTCGGGCGACAGCTTCCACGTGCTCTGGTCCGGGACCTTGCCGAACTTGCCGAACTTGCCGCCGTTGTCGGTCCTCGCGTCGCAGACCAGGTTGACGTGCTCGGGCCCCAGTAGCCTCTGGGCCTCCTGGTAGGCCTTGAGCGACCAGCTCCCCGTGACAATGTAGTCCAGCTTCAGGCCCGCGACGGCCTTGGCCAGCTCCTTCTCCAGCAGCTCGGGCTGGGCCTCGCTCTCGGCCAGGTGGTTCGACTTCAGCAGCTCGGCCTTCTTGCGCGAGACCCACGCGCCGACCATGTTGTAGACGGTGGCGGAGAACTCGCCGCTGCCGCCGCCCTGCATGAAGAGGACCTCGTAGTCATCGGCGGGCAGGTCGAGGTATGTGGCGAGGTCGGCCTTGGCGTTGTTGATGATGTCGGTGGCCAGCTGGGAGCGGTGCGAGTGCTCGGCGATTCCCAGGCCGGTGCCATTGTAGTCGAGAAGGGCCTTGGAGGCCTGTTCGAGGACATCTGTAGGGAGCAGCGCTGGGCCGGCGCCGAAGTAGGTGATCTCGTCGCGGGTGGGCATCTTGCAAGGTAGGTTTCCAATTGCTCTGGTGATTCGGGGAGACAGGGGGAAATGATCAATTGGAACGGTCAAACAATGCCACAGCCGCGAGACAGCAACAGGAACCTCGAGTACGGCTGGATGGTATATGTTTGGCGAGTGTGTAGGTCAGGTTGACTCATTCTTATGAGAAAGCTCTCCCACAGGTGAGGAGGACATTGACGGTCGGAATCATCCCACCAAGAGCCCCCATACCCCCCACCTTACGTAGGTCCCTTGTTGGTCCGGCTGTCGGACGTCACCACTGAGTACAGTCACAAATACATGTACAGAGCTACGACGCCGCAATTTACCACGCGAGCACATCTGTCCATGCATTGCATATGACTGATATTTCAAATATCACCTGCCAGGGTGTATTTCAAATACGGACGGTGAACGCGCCGCGTAGAGCCAAGAAACACACATTTTCCCAACCAAGTCTGGCTTCGGCAGCCGAGAAATCCCCCCCTCCCCCATCACCCCTTCCGTTTCTTCTGTGGCCTTCCCAATGGGCCGAGTAGAACTACGACAAGATCAAGTTAATGGATCCACCTGTCGCATGGGTCGTCCATTCGGCTTGAATCCCCTTGTAATCCCAGCAGCTTCCCTACATCCTCCGGGTCTACATCAACTGTCTCTGCTCGGAGCGGGATTCCAGGGTGGTTGACAAATTCAGGTCTGCATCTCACTATCAGACCAGGAAGGTGACAATGGCACGCATGCATGTACTCTGTTGAATAGTCCGCACATCCAGTAAGCTTAGGAAGACGGGTCTGATAAACGAGCGCACGAAAGACAGAACCAGCCGCATGACCGCGGTTCGTCAATCGTCATGTGGATTTGATCTCGCGTCTTGTTGTGGTCTCAGTGCCATGGTAAGAGAGGCAAAAAGACGTATCGTATCTGAACGCTGTGCTCTTCGTCTGTGTGGTGCCCGATGCGCCGTCCTGTCCTGGCTGCGTTGCCAGCAAGGGCGGGCCGGTGTTGAGAGAAGGGTATCATTTCTATATCTTTGTCCTATGTTGTATATGCATGTTGTACAGCTGGGACGCCACGGCCTTCTTTGCGTGACGGTAACCCAGAGTCAAATGTGTTATACAAATAACCGCCTTTTGTCATCATAGTATTCACGAGGATGTCTCTCCACCATTGACATTCATGTCCTCAACTTTCCACTCACCGTCAACCCAGGCTTGCTTTTCGCCCAAGAAGACTGCCCTCTCGGCCTGCTTGTCGAAGGCCTCGACAACATATTTCTGCGCAACGTCACGCACCTGCTCTTTCGTAACATCAAGCAGCTGCTCTCTCTTGCGCTGCTTCATCTCCTCGTCGACACCGTAGAGGAAGCGGCCCATACCCTCCTCGTTCACGGAGACTGGCGCGTCGACGGATTGGAACACGCTGATCTTAGCGTCTTCCAGATCACGGTCGCTCCACTTCTTGTCGACCGCCCACCGCCCGGCGTTGCGCATGATGCCTAGCGTGTTCACGGGATTTGGGTCGCGGTACGAGTAGAAACCGAAGAGGCCTTCCATCGACCGGTGGTATGCACCACCACCGTACGCACCCCCCTTCTCTCGGATCTCGTGGTGGAGGTGTTTGTGCGTAAGAAGCTGCGACAGGATCTGAAGCGGTGCCCCATCGGCAGACGTATAGGAAACCGTAGGGACGGCCAGGGCACCGTAGTAGACCTGGTAGGGCAGGGGATAGAACGTCTTGATGTTGCGCTCGAATTTTCTTGGTGCTTGTGCTGGGAGGTTTGCTGGGCCAGAAAAGGATCTAAGGAAGTCTGAGAAGGCGGCTGAATTCGCCTTGACAGACTCGCTCCCGCACGTGATCGCTGCGCGGATGTTGCCACCCGTCATGGCCAGCTGCTGAATATGCTTGAGCTTTGCAATGACATCTTCCAACTGATCAGATTCTGGTCTGTTCGCAAGCGAGGTGATCAACTTGACTTGCGACAGGCCACCGATCTGCTCAGAAAGATATGAGTGGTTGGTCAACCCGGCCTCCGCGGCGCGACGTGCGTACGAATGACCAGAAGATGCAATGTCATTCACGACGCCGTCGGCCGATGCTTGGATAAGTTGCCGGATTTGCTGCACAGCTTCAGCACTGTCAAAATTGGTCTCCACTACTAACTTGCGGAGTATATCGAACACATGAGGCACGTTGCGGTCCAGGGCCATGCCTGTGAAGCCGAAGCCCTCGGTGGCTCGAGTGAAATCGGTCGCTGACGAGGCAGAATGATAGCTGACAGAGACGCCCCCTGTCTTCAGCTTCATTAGATCTTCGAGCTGCTCCATAGATGTGTCTTTCGTTCCGAGGCGCATGATTGAGCCAGTGAACAATGGAAGCAGCAGCCTCAGCTCATCTGGCAGATTTTCTAGGGCCGTGACCAGACGGAAATATGTTAGTCCATTGGTCGGCGCCTCATACCATTGAGTCTTGACACCATTGACGGTATCATCCCTCAAAATTGGACCCGGCTTCCGCCTTGGAATGTCTTGGACATGTACACTGGGTAAGCAACTCAGGTCCTCGGTGTTTGTCTTATTCTGCTCTTCAAGCAGTTGAATTTCCTTCTCTTCGAGCTGTTTCTGCGCAGCGTCCTTCCCGCCCGCTTGCTTCGTGACAGCTTCGATCTTGGTAGCAAGCCTATCAGCCTCCTCCTGGGCCAGCTCTTGCCCAAAGTTAGGCGAAGGCGTCATCGTAAACGTCAAGGTGTTATCGTTCAAGAGGTATTTGTCCATCAAGCCTTCGAGGTAGCCACCTTTGGCCAGCTCTGCCTCGAATGCTGCTAGTGTGTCGTTCCAAGCAAGAGAGTCAAATGGATCGATGCCGTTGAACCAGCTCGGCTTCAACCTGTGCAACATTGACATGCCAAATTTAGCTGTCTTGTGCTTAAGTCCGAGTTCGAGCTGGTGCAGGTAGCCGTCGATTTTGGATCTCTCGAAACCCTTGTCCCGAACCTCACGCAATGTTTTCTGCAGCGCTGACTTGACCGTCGGGACATCCATCTCTTGGACACCGCTCAACCCCACTGAGAAGATGCCGCGAGAGTTGGAGCTATCGTAGCCGGTATTCGGTGACCAGTCAAGTCCCAGTCCAGACTCGATTAGAGCCTTGTAGAGGGGTGACCCATATCCATCCATAAGCAATGCAGAGAGAAGAGACAGCGAAAATGACTCCACGACGTCGGTGGTTTCGCCCAGCACCCATGAGATCGAGGTTTTGAATTGCCTGTTCGCGTCCATCAAGGGGTCGACTGGACCTCGGACCGTGATTTCCTGGGGACCGCGACTGAGGTCAACAGGACGGTGGATTTTCAGGTCGCCTTGTATCCTCTCAAACGCACTAAGCTGAGCGTCAATCTCCTTCAGGTGGTCGGCCAGCGGCATGTCACCGTAGGTGAACAATTTGGCATTGCTTGGGTGATAATGTTCGTCGTGGAATTGCTTCAGCTGATGGTAGGTCAGGTCGGTGATCTTCTGAGGGTCACCACCGGAGTTGTTGATGTCCGGAAAGATGTGGTCCTGGAACCTGATGTAATAGAGGTAGCCAGCATCGGACATCTGTCCTTTCATTTCGTTATAGACAACCCCCTTGAAAACCAGCTTACGATCCTCAGGTTTGGCCTCCTGGCCACTGGCGATGGCCTGGGGGTTCTCTGGGCCTATCCTCCATCCTTCTTGGGTAAAGTCTGTCTGCTTGAGCAATGGGTGAAGGGTCGCGTCAAGATAAACACCCATCAAGTTCTGGAAGTCCTGGGCGTTGGTGGTGGCGAAAGGGTAGAAGGTATGGTCCGATGCAGTGAAGGCATTCATGAAGTTGGACAGGGTCCGTGGCAACATCTTAAAGAACGGATCTCGGATGGGATACCTGTTCCCTTGTCAGCTTTCGGTCCCGTACCGACCTGGGCAGCAATGTATTCATGCTCACTTCTCACTGCCACACAGAGTGGTGTGCTCCAGGATATGCGGCACGCCGGTGTCATCCGGCGGGTTGGTCTTGAAGCCGATGGAGAAGACATTGTTGCTGTCATCACGGGCAATGTGAAGATGTTCGGCACCAGTCTTATCGTGCTGCAGGTGCAGGGCCGTCAGCTCGAGCTCGGGCACATGCTTGGAGCGCAACAGGGTGAAGCCGTGAAGCTTCTCGCCTGCTCTGGGATGGTGAGAAAGCTCCGTCACGGCTCTCTTCGCCCCGTTGACAGCGGCATGGCGCAAAGCTCTTGTCCTCTGCATCTCGCGGGAAACTCGTGAGATCTGCCAACTACTGGAGACGGGGCAGGCCAAAGTCGAGCTTGGTCCGCGGGATGTGACGGTATTGATCCTCCTTTGCATGCGATGGAGGTTGGAAGCTGGAGGGTCCTTCCGATAGACCGTTCGATGATATGTGACGGAATGGCATTTGGAAATTTTAGGCCGTGCAGACTGTAGTCCGAGCAGGATACGTACCTGCCGAGGTCTGTGTTGCTACGTACCTGGTGACGTGTGACATCCCGGCCACCGCCACTAACAGAGCCCCAGCAAATTACAGCGGAGTTGTGATCAAGAACCTTTTTGGGCAGTCGTGTCAGCAGGCCGGTTCTTCCGCCAATTCGGGACGGTGCGCAACGTTACGGTACGGTGCAGAAGCAGACAACGGGCCCAACGGGCTCCGAGGCCGTGCTGTACTTGGGTGGTGCAATGTGCTGAGTCGAGCTCCAGGAGCTGTCCAGACAGCCGGCTCAGGTACTGTGCCCCATTCAAGAGGTTTCCTCCATGTGGTGCAGCCGCTCTACTTGATTACCTGAGTACGAAATTGGTGACTCATTTGGTGATAAGTCTAGTTCGTAATGCAATACCGGTAGAGGAGGGTTTCGATGGTTCATGAACGCATGACAGAATGCACACCTCATGAAGCAGCTTGTCTTGCTTTTCCTTTGACAGGACTGGCGTCTTCTAAAGAAAGCAGAAAAGCCAAATAAATCTCAAACCAGACTGCAAGGCAGGGAGGGGCACAGCAGCAATGTATCTGCTGGGGACTGGGGACAGCCCCTGCCAGCTCCCCCTGTTGACGTAGAGAATTCCATCATAGGTAGGCAGGTATGGGGCACGACGTGCTGTGCTGTGCTGTGCTTGCTTCCACTGCACCGCACTGCACCAAGCATCCAGTCCGTGCCCCGTCGCTAGTCTCTGCGACCCCATCGACGCTGACCAACCTCAACCTCAATTTACAAACCGAAAAAATCGACACACATGACAACGACGAGAAGCACCACAATCAGACCGAACTGCACAGGGAAGCCACCCCGCCGGCCGACACCCCCTGCCAATGACCAACTAAGCATTCCACTCGAACAACACAGCTCAGTCCCGACTTTGCTGTAGCGCCAAGGGTCCCCAGAACCTGGGTCCCTCTGACCTCTGCACAATGGCATCCACGGCGCCTCTCGCACCTCGAGCAACTGTCCCGATCGGCCATGCCCACGACGAAGCACCCGCTATCAATGGAAACCACGTCCACAATGACCCCCGACCACCGCCAGCGCCCCCAGCTGCCGGCACTCCGAGCAAGAAAGACCGCAAGGCGAAGAAGGCCTTGGACTCGAACGAAGCCTCCAAACTCGTAGCACAGCGCATATCGCAACTCGAACACGATGCTGCCGGCGAGAAGGACCAGGAGGCTGAGATTGGTGCGTGTTATTTCCCCCCGTCTACGACGTCACGAGGGCTGGGAATGAGTGGACCCGAGGGGTAGGATGAGGCATGCGGACTTTGGTGGGGGAAGGCAGTTCAGATGGTATTTGGCGCCAGCCTAGCCGTCCGGATTTGCCCCACGGGATAGAGCCATTCGCACCCCGTTGAATAGAGACAGTGGTCCCAGCGCATGGTGCGGAAGGATTCAACTCAGTGGCCTCGGATCGCTCGTGCCATACAGGGACAATGTTGCTAATGTACGGACCACGCAGAGCGGGAGGTGCGCAAGGCGAATCGTGAGCTTCAGTCCCAAACCGCAAAGATGAGCGACATTCAAAAAATCGATCACCTTCAGAAACGGTGTTACGATCTACTGTCCGAGATGAAGCGCCACGAGCGTGAGAGCATCAAGAACAAGAAGCGGGCGGACCAACTGCAAAAGGAGAAGGATCACGCCAGGAACGAGCTCACCAAGAACACCGGCCTCCGTGAGAAGCTGGAGAAGCTTTGCCGAGAACTTCAAAAGGAGAACAACAAGCTCAAGGTATCTATCTGCTGCAACATAGCTCGGGCGCAAGACTCGGTGGGCCCTAGGCTGACACTCCTGGCCAGAATGAGAACAAGACGCTTTCCGATACGCAACGGCGGAACGAAACGGCTTGGGACGAAAAGTACAGCGCTCTATTACAGACGCTGGACGACTACCAAGAGGAGAAGGACAATCCGCGGAAGCAAGTCGTCGATATGGACCTGGAAGAGCTGTGCGTGTGTCCCATCCTGGCGATTTTGAACCGTGTCTCATGTTTTGCAGGTTTAAATCTCGCTTCAAGAGTCTCATTGACCAGTACGAGCTTCGGGAGCTGCATTTTCACTCGCTCATGCGGACCAAGGAGCTCGAGTTACAGTTCAACCTGTCCAAATACGACAAGGAGAAGAAGAATGCGGAGGCGGAGGCGGCGAGGGCTCGGCAACTCAACGCGCAGGTACAAACCTTCTCCAAAACCGAGGCAGAGCTGAGAAACCAGCTCAACGTGTACGTCGACAAGTTCAAGCAGGTGGAGGACACGCTGAACAACAGCAACGACCTCTTCCTGACGTTCCGAAAGGAAATGGAGGACATGTCTAAGAAGACGAAGCGCCTCGAGAAGGAGAACGAAAACCTGAAACGAAAACACGAGAAGATGAACCAGAACATCTTCAAGATGGCGGACGAGCGGAACAAGCACATCAAGGACATTGAAGACCAGAAGAAGAACAACGAGAAGCTCAAGAGCATCATCACGCAGATGCAGCAGCAAGGGCGGGGCATACCGCAGGGCATGCAGGGCACGGTGGAGAGCTGCTACGCAGAGGGCGAGGGCGAGGTGGACGGGGAGGAGAGCGAGTACGAGGACGACGAGGAGTACGAGGAAGGCGACGAGGTCAGTGAAGAGGGCGAGGAGGACTACGAGGAGGATGACGAGGAGACCGAGGACGAAGGACCGCAGTGCACCAAACCGACTGAGTCGCAGCAGCCTCAACCATTCGGTCCCGAGCGCCCTCCTCCTCCGGCGACGACTAACGGAAGTAATCACTAGGAGGAGCATTCCGCCTCGCTGTGCTGTTTCCCGAATCTCTTCCGTTACTTGCGGCGGCGGCTCTGAGCCCGCCCGTCCGTCCCCGGATGCCCCGTCCTCTGTTCAAAGCTGGAGCGGCCACCATGTTCGTGCAAGCCGGTGGTTCGTGTGTGTATTTGTGAGTCCTGCTTGCCGGTCCCTCAGGATGGGCCAAGTGGCCCACCTAAACGCTATTCCTGCAAGCAGGAGGTGCTTCTAGACGCCAGGTTATCACCATGTACTTGTACAGGAACAGGTCTATCAGGCCCTTCAGAAGTTTTACAACAGCCGGCTTCTCAAGTTGCATAGGACAACAAGAAGGTCATCTGGCCAGCTTTGAACGCTGTAGGATAGATAGTCGTCCGATGAGACAACAAACGCTGGCAACGGCGCCGACAAGAGCGCTGTTTACGTTCACCCTGGTTTTCTCTTGTCGACTGGAGCAGTAGGGACGGGTCCAGCCGTCGGAGCACGTCCGGCAGGCCGGCCACGGTGCAGTCCATTCCTGAACAACGTCGATCCCAACAACCTCCGCAGCCTTTCCAAGATCTGAATGACTCGGTGAATTCAGAACGGCGGCGCGAGCATGAACTATGTGAGGGGTTGCAGGGTTCCAACTGTCGCTGATGCCATCGGCTTCACTCTCCCTTCAGCCGTTGGTTCACTCGCCAGCCACTCAGGCTGACAAGCTGAGTCCACTGCACGCACCAATGCACCGTAGCCCACGCACGGGATATTAAAACAGGAGATCCACAGCGGTAGACGAGGTGCTTTCCCCGCTGGAGGAGCTTGCATGTGGCACCGTGGATTGGGGTCCTGCATGAGAATGCCTGTCATCTCGGCCCCAACGTGCCTAGGCAGTCAGGCAGTGTGGAATGGTGAGCAGCCGCCAGCCTGCGACCCTGTGCCCGGTGGTGAGACTGAAACAATTGGACGTGTAATACGTTCCATCTCGGTTACCAATTCCTCGTCGACCTCCCTCCACATTGTTCGACACAGCGAGCAGCAATCGAGGGCACGCGATAGAGACTCTGATTAGATCTATCCCCGGCACTTGTTCTTCTTTCCTAGCGCCGAGCAATGACCGTCTCGTTTCGACGCTAGCACAATACGTCATCGTCAATCACACGGTCGAGCGGGCTGGGCCGTTTCAATCCATGTCAACTGCAGTATTGACTCTCACCACGCCCAACATTGCGACTCAGCGCCCGACACAAGCTTGAAGGCTCGGGTACGCCCTCCGACCCGGCTGTCGTGACCGTCACACGCACACGCACAATCCACGGGTTCTTCCCCTGGGAAGGGGACACGGACGCCAGCCGCCCCCGCGAACTGACAGAGCCCTCACGATACCGCTGCGACGAGCAGCTTCCCTCCCTGTGCATCCTCTCCTCCACGACGACCCGCTGCTGCCCACTGCCGAGCCACGATGGCCTTCCTCGAGGACCCACGTCTCCGTCAGCGCTGGAACCAGATCTCCCACAACGCCGAGACGGTCACCGAGACCGCCGCCGAGGGCATCTGGACCTTCCAGCACCGCTACATCAACCCCTGCCTCGGCGCGGTTGGCCACTCCATCGAGTCGTGCACCGCGCCCTGCTTCGGCGACCGCGACGACCGCGCGCGGCGCGCACGGGTGAGGGGGCGCGACTATGGGGCCAGGGCCGAGTACGCATTCGACTTCTACGACGACTGGGACGACGACGACGAGGCGCTAGCGGCTGGGGGAGGAGGCAGCCACGGCGGCGGCATTCTGGGGGGATGGGCCGGCGGCGGGAGCTCCAGGGGCGACGACTGGGACCGCCTGATCGGCGGCTCCGGCGCGGGCTCCAGAAAGGGGAACCTCGGGCCAGAGGTGGTGGATCAGCCGCGGCGCAAGAGGGGGATGAGCTACGGGACGAGAGGCGCCAGGAGGAAAACCAACGAGGAGGAGGACCCGACGATCATACCCAGCACTGCGCCCCTCGGGTTCCTGGGGAGGCTTCCGTGGAAGATCGGAGGGACACTAAGATACAAGCCCAGCGCGGCGTTCCTGCAGGACCACCCGGGGGCCGCAACGCATCCGGACGAGAATCAGCCGTTGCTAGACTCCGACGGCGATGAGGACGTGCATCCCGCGGTGACCGCACAAATGAGGAAACGGAGTGGTACGGCAGGGTCCGGCGACACATCAGACTCGTACAGGTCCAGAGGAGACCTGTTCCCCAGCGACGGCGAAGGAGAGGAGGACGCGATCCCACTGGACGACGAGTTCGCAATGAACCTGAACAGGGCGGACGACCGAGCCAGCAACAGGACGAGGAGTAGTAAGGGCAAGAGGCCAGCATCAAGAAACGTATCCGCGACGACACTATCGTCCAGCACATCCAACTCCTCGCTGAGGGCGAGGAAGAGCTCACATGGCTCTTTGCAAGCCATGGAGAACTCGATACACTCCATCGTGGAGGCGTCATTAGAGGACCTCCAGCGCGAAGAGGAGGAAGCCGAGATGCAAGAGGACCAAGAGGTTGCCCGCAAGCGGGAAGTAGCCGCGGAGCTGGCCCGACAGCGGGGCTTATCCACGAGCGAGACTTTCGACACGGGCGAGTCGGAGGCTCGGGCTAAGAGCTCGATGCTCCCTGTGGGGGAGATATTGGAGCCGCAGAGCCCAGGGGCCAGGCAAGGCCCGGAGCGGGATACTGAAGAGACGGGGCCCTTCGCACAAGGCGTCCCAGGCCAACTGCACGACGCGGCCTCCGAGGGCGTCATAACACAGCAGGTCGACGGTGCCGATGATGACTTCGTGCCCGCGAGATTGCCGAGCTTTCGATAACATGTTTTTCTCGTCCTCGCCTCCCAAGCATCTGGTACTTGGCAGACGGGGGCTTCCTTTCGGGCCTTTTTTCTTTCTTTCTGGCTGGGTTCGCGTTGTTGTTTTAGGCGTCTCGGTAAAGAGGCCTGATGATTCAACTGATCAATGACATTCTACGATATCCTACTTTTGGGCAGCCGGCGTGCTAGAGGTATTATAGATCCGTGTGTGTAATTCAATTTATATTAATAGAGAAAGTCTCTCTGGATGAGCGAATCAATTGGCAGCAATCTAGTCCATCTATGTGCTTCACTTAAGTCCTCATGCCTGTCTTCACTTGGCTCGCCCTCAGACTGAGACTATCTGTGACGTCCACAGGACAATTGTTCTGATGTAACTTCACAGGACCTCGGAGGATTGCTCCGCTCCAGACCGGTCGCTGATGAGATCCAATACGCACATGACACAGGTCTTGATCTGGAGGTTAGGTGCTTTCCAGATATGCTCAAACCCCATACTGAGGGGACGCTTTCTTTTAGACTGAACAACAATGTGGCCGCATGACAAGTCTCAATACCATTTCTCCCTCTCAGCTTCTGCCATTTGCCCCGAAGTTACGATTTTCATATGGCTCCCTTCCTGTGAGACTGGACTATCTCATGGGAACGAATAACGTATTTGGAAAAGATCTCTTCCCGTACCAATCGTGTAAGGCAGACATCAAGTCGGTTTGTTGAAAACCCGTCGGATTTCTCCATCGGATTTATACCAATTGGTCATTTTCAGCGAGTGATCAACGAAGAAGAAGCATCCATCCAACTCAAACATTGTTTTACCATGAAATCACAATGGAGTCCAACGTACTCGAGGACTCAATTCAAGATTGGATTGTCTACAGATGAAAGAGCCATATCAAGTGCTCGCAGAGCTAATGAAACTGTACCTTGGCTTAAAGCCGTTTAGGTGCTCGTATCGACGTCCGCTCTGATAAGAATGCGCATATAGCCATACAATGTTTTGAGCTAGAATCGTCGATCCGGAACTTTTCAAATGTTAATCACCTAAGCCTTAAATACGAAAGCATCGGCGTAATGAAGCTATGCACGCTGAGTCCGTAGCGGCACACTTGTGACTTGCTATTGAATCACTAGGGCTCAAATCTTTGTGGCTCGTCAAAAGTTCAAAAGTGACCACACTCGATTCACACAAAGTAGAATCCAGCAATGTGACTTCTAATGACTGTGGTGGGGAAAGATTCAAGCAATTTTGAAAATCGATTTAATCACTCACAAGGCAGTCTTACTTATTATCAAATCAGTACGATGAAGACCATTAGGAAACATTCGACAGAGTACCAACCAAGTCCAATTGTAGACAACCTCCCCTCTCATCCACCAAACGCTCGAAAGACTTAAGAATGGACTGGATACCACCGACACGCCAGGGTTAAAAACGGTGCGCCACCAAAGTTCTAGCATCAGACGCCTCGTGATGGTCTTCTCGTAGCGCTCGTATGACCTACCTAGGTGGACTATACAGGTTTATTCCTTATCCTCCGCTCCAGACTAAGCACCGGTCGTCCTCCAAGCGTCAAATTTGTGAACTTTTTCATCTCGTGGCAGTCGCACAAAGTTTGGCGTGAGCACGATCAAGAAGACCAATTACCCCCAACATCATAGTGTGGAACTTGAAAGACTGCCTGGGTGACCCTTTCCAAAACACGCTGAAATGCTCATCTTCTAACCAATATAGAGTTTGGCTCATATAGACCGCCTCCGAAAGCAACAAAAGGAAACCGGGTCGTTCTCAAAATGGAAGCACAAAAGCCCCCTCAAAAGTGCTCCCTCGCGCTCCGCCCAAAACTCAAAAACGCCCTGCGCCAAAGGTTCACCAAGCAAAGAGACGCAGCCGCTCAAGCCCCTCCGAAAGACCAGGAAACAGCACAACGCAGCCAACAGGAAAACAAGCCCGCCGCGACGCAATTCCACCGCTTCCCGGACCTCCCGACCGAGCTGCGCCTCAAGATCTGGTCCGAGGCGACGCACTACAAGCGGTACGTCGTCCTCGACCCGCCCAACAACAGCGCCTTCGCCTGCGCCAGGCACGCCCGCAGGTGCAGGAGGTATGTTAAACCCGGGTACGCGGGCGAACGCCGGCCCGCCTGGACGTCCAGGACGCCCCCGCCGGCGCTGCTGTCCGTGAGCAGAGAGGCGCGCGGGGTCGCGCTGGGGACCTGGCAGCTCGCTTTTGGCTACCATGTGTATCCGGCTGCCGTGGTAAGGAGACCTTTTTTTTCCGCCGAGACTTTGTCTGTGTGTGGCGCTCGCGCCCGGATGGGCCGGGACGGCTTCCCAGCTTCTAAGGGAAAGGGCTACATAAGACCTCTTCTTCGCTGTGTTTTCTCTTTGCTGTCCCCCCCCCTTCTCCCCCAGCAATTGAAGCCCAGAGGTGACTGACGCAGAGTGCGTCGCAGTACATAAATTTCGACCAGGACGACGTGGTGATAGGAGCCGGCGCGCGCGTGAACAAGATCGGCAAGGATTTCATCCCTAGCTGGCTGCGACCGTTCAGTCACCTCGTTGCCATGTTGATGATCGCCGTGTGGATAGGCACAGACGACGTAGAGAAGATTCAGAGGGTCGTGGCGTGTGGGAATTTTGTACGGAACACCCCCCCAACCCAACCCAACCCACTCCTCCCCGTTAAAGTGCCTGTAGACTTTCTTTAAGGGCTGCTGCCCGCGAGGCTGCTCTCGTGAAGGGGTACCCCGTGCTTCTGGAGGCGGTGGCTAACATCCAGGTATTTGCCCAGATGAGAGGGATGAACAGAATCGCGCCTTGGAAGAATTTCTTGACCGGGCTCAAGTCTCTCACCATGGTCAAAATTGGCGACCTGAGGTGGGACTTTCTCACGGGATTATTCCTTGAGCACTACGGGACAACTAGGCGGTCGCGCAAGGGCGCGCCTCTCTTGTCACTCGGTGGCATCGACTTTGTAAAGACCAAAGACGCACCCATTTGGACGACCCGGTCCTTCGCGGAGATAGAAATCCTTGACTTCGTCGGGGGGGGGGGGGGGGGCCTCTAGCCGATATCCATTCGTGTTGGACCATAGGTCCGGAAGCGTCCGGTTGCTGGCCGTTGGTGGACTACTTGCCCATGCAGGTTCACTTGGGCCCACAGAAGCAGTGCGTGCAGAGGGCGAGCTGGCGATATTACTTGACTTCTGGGACGGACATATGGTATGCAATTTAGATGGCGGTCGTCATGAAGATCTTTGGCGCCTGACAAAAGACACTATCATTTAAAGATCGACCTTGACGCGTAGGGAGGACCTTTGCGTCACGTCAACCAAAATCACCATTGAAGTGGATCCACGAGTGTCTCCTGCAAGTCCCAACTGTTGGTCGAATACGGACACATGTGGTGATATTTGAATCTACAGCGAGCAGCAGACCGGTGAGACGAACAAACCTGCTCGTGTTCAGAACACCAAGGCACAAGCCCGCAATCACCATTCGCCTTGCTCGTCCTGCCGCGGCTGCGGGTTGCCCCGTATCTCCCGGATCGTCTCCCTCGTCCTCGCGTTATCTTCGAAGCTGAGGTTGATCAGGTCCACGACCTCGTCCACCGTAAAGTAGAGACTCAGCTCGCTCTCCATCCAGAGGAACCGCACGTCCCTGAGATTCGACTGCAGCACCTCACTAAGGTACTTGAGTCGCATCCAGGACGGCGCGTACTGCGTCGTCTGCGGTATCTCCTCGTCCGGCTTTGACGGGCGCCTCCCCATGACGCGGCTAGGGAGGAACAGTTCGTCGAGCTCGGTGACGGTTGCGATCAGCTTTGCGATGCTGTATGCGTCATCCTGGCTGACGGAGGGGGCCTCCATCACGTCTGCAATGATCTTCAATGAGATGGAGTCGACTAGCGAGCCCACGGCCTGGTACCACGCCGACCGGGCGAGGATGGTCTCCCAGGTTATGCCCATAGATCGAACGCGGGACACAGTCGCGTCCACGCAGCTGTCAATGTCGTCCTGCTGGAGCAGGCTTTGTTCGCCACCGAGGAGGTCCCTCAGCACTGTCTTCTGAATGCCCATTTCGTTTCCATACGCGCGGGCAGCAAATTTTTGCAGTGTTTTGACATCATTGTCCAAGCGCAGCGAGTTCTGCGCTCTTGTGCTCAAATTATCACGCTTTTTCCACGCCGCGGCGAAATCGCCTAGCTTTTCCGCGAGATAGTTCGCGTCGTTGTAGAGGAACCTGAGAGGTGAGTGAATGCTCCTAACACGCGGGGTGGAACGACCTACATATTGCCACCTATATCTAGGGCATAGTAGTATGGCCCAACGGCTCTGAACATGGCCAGTGCTAAGGTCGGGAGGGTAAACAAGCCTGCTGCTGCTGTAGCCACGGGACTGCTTTCGTTCCTGAAGCAAGTCAGTTTAGTGGCGGACGCAGGACGCGGCACTCAGATTACTTACCCTGCTTGGGTCAACGTCGCACCATCCTCCAGTATGGCGAATATCAGCTGGAGGACCGGCTCCGGCATGGATGAAATGTTGTAAGTCTCCTTCAACGTCATCTCCCTTTGCTCAGGGCCAGCTGGAGCTGATGAAGGCCGCCTTGCAGCATTGCGGTCCGGTTGTTCCTGTGGAACGTCTTCATCCCCCCACCCCCATGCATCCCCGGCGTCTTCGTCAACATCGGCGTTGTTTGGCTCGTCGGGCTGGTTTTCAGCAGCTTCTTGGGTATCGCCTCCACCCTCTTCGCCCCAGCCCCAAGCATCAGCCGCATCGTCCTCGACCACAGCTGCTGCTTCATTATTGGTAGCTTGGTCCGGCTTTTCTGCGGGGTTGTCAGGCTGGTCGCCTTCGTCGTCCCACGCAGCACCCCAGTCGTCATCCTCAGCCGAGGCGGCAGCTGCGGTGGCTGGAGCAGCTACAAGCCCTTGGCCTTCAGCACGAGACACCATCTGCTTTTCAACCCTCTCGACCTGCTTGGGGGAGCCCAGCCCCTCCGACAAGCGAGTGCGGACGGTGTCTAGCGCAGTCTCCCTACACTTCGCAAGCCAGACTCTGGGCGCATTCTCAACCCAGTCTTGTAGCTCGTTAAGCCCAGAAAAGTTCAGCTCCGCAAGTCTTGCGCAAAATTGCTTCGTAGTCGCCATGATTGCCTCAAATTTGTCCATTTCTTGTAAAGATGCTGGAACAGCCGAGTCTAACCATACTGAGATGACCCGAGACACGACTCCCGGCATCATCAGAGCAGACAGCGAATCTATCAGGTCTTGAGGCAGCCTCTCCGCAAAGTAGGAGAAGAGCCGGTCCAAGTCTTGAAACAGAGTGTCAATAGACTTATCCGCCTGGCCCTCAGCCCGCAGTACGTCCCCATCCACGACGATAGCCGGCGCTCCAGGATGGTCAATGTCCATGCGAGGGCCAACAACAGCCTGGTCGATATCGTGCCACAGCTGTGACATCCGCTGGTCGACTTCCTTATACGCCTGTAGGCCAATCACGGCGTCCGAAAGACTCATGGCTTCATTTTCTGTTTTCGCAGAGAAGTATATGGTCCTCGCTGCAGTGTCAACCTTCATCAAGGCCTTCCAGACGTGGTCGAAGACGTCGTGCACGTTCGACTTCAGCTCGAAAGCACGCAGGTCCAGCAGCCTCCTCACTCTGACACCCTGCCCAGCCGGAAGGGCATCCAGAGCTGTCCACGACCGCTCTAAAAGCCGGAGGGCATCAAGAATCCTGCGCTCATCTCGTGCTGCCTCAACTTGGTCCAGGATCTGGTTGACGTCTTTTATGCCCCTGAGCGCCTCCTGGACGCGCTGATTGTATGCGAGCTCGGCCTGGAGGAAGGTGAGCTTGTCTTCTGCTTCCTCTATCGCGGCCCCGGAGAGGACTGGTTCTTCGGCCTGTCGCACGATGTCGTTGGCGAGCCGTTTGGAGCGGTTGATGTCGTCTTGCACGGACTGGGCGTTGGCCATCCAAGAAGACACATCGGGTGCGGTCTCTTGGTTGATGGCGTGGATCTCGGTCTAGTCTCCTGGTTAGGGGGGTTTCTTTATAAAACGCAGCCAGATACTCTGAGAGCATACCTCAAGCTTGGACTTGGCCTCGGCCAGAGCTTCGACGGCCGGGGCTAGCTCCTCGGAGCTCAGCTTCAGAGACGAGACATCTTCCTCTGGAAATGCGCCATTGGTTGTGAAGTCGACAAGTGCCCGTCCGACGGCACCTACGGGCTCTGTTGGACTCATTGTCCAGGTGCGCCACGAGTAGATGGCTCGTAAATGCCGTCGCAGGGAATGGGAGAAGGAGCTTCTAGAGCTGGAAACGCCAGGTTGCAACAGCAGTGCCCGGGCTGCAGCATTCGACAGTTTGGCTCGAGAGGTAAAGCGTTGATTAGACGGCTCCAAGAGACAGTGAAACTCCTGCCACGCCTGCTCCAGGGAACATGATAGCAAGATCACTTGTGAAAGATTCAGATTGGTGTCAACACCCAGAGCCAGAGCTCACCTGCTGTGAGAGCAGCACGGAAGGTCCGTGCTTGGCCTAGCATGTAGCAAGGTACCTATGTACCCATGTAAATGTCCTAGTAGTCTACTTCCAACCCGCTCCGGTGATGACGCCGCGCTATCAGTTATCGACGGATGTGGGGGGAAAATTGCCCCTCCATGTTCCAGGGCCTCGGAATCGAACAAACACATCCAAGGCGAGAACCCTTGTGGCTAGTTGAGTTTGACTTGTTCATTCGGCGACGCCTTGGATATCAGTACCAAAAACCCCAACGTCCACAGATCGACGGGCTTGTGTCTGTCGTGCCTTCGCCTCTTCATCTGCCCTACTTCCCCGACAGTCATCTTGGTAATTTAAGCAGCAACTTGGACCGACTACCTGGATTTTGCGTGGTCTGGGACCGACATCTCAGCTGCTTTTTTCCTCCTTCCCCACGTCTGAGACTTTCTGAATCTGGTCTCATCATCATTGAGCTCTTGCAATATTAAGCTGCTCGCCGAACCAAGCTTCGCTCATCAAGGACTTCACGATACACCAAAATCGGCCCTACGAAAGCTGAACCCAGCAGTTACGAGCTCGTCCCGTCCGCGTCCGCTTCCTCATCTTCGCCCTCACTCCGGCCCCCGGCTGGTGTCTTGGTGAGACGGCGAGGTTCCTAGGCTGGCCAACGAGCACGAGGGGAAACCGGTATGTAAGCGAGTGTTGTTTTTTGCATGTTCCAGACCGCAATCGCCCTGTCCCAGCCTGTCCACGGATGAATGGTGTCCAGTGCCCACCTGTCTATCTATCTGTCTGTCTTCACTCTGCCCAAGCGCTGCTGTGTCGCCTGAGCTGCAGCCCCTCCCTACTCGGTGTCCAGATACAGGTTGCGCTTCGTCCTTGTACCTCCTGCCGATTCGCAACAGCAAGCTATATGGCGGTCTCACCGCCCACCGCAAGCCCAGGCTTGATGTTGTTGAGTCACGACAAACTACCAATAGGCTCTGAGGCTGGGCAGGCAAACTTTATCTACAAGGCGCACATATTAAACTACCTGGTCACGGGCTGTTGCCGATGGGTCTCACCATGGGTCTCTTTGCAATTCCTCAGAGATTGCCAGTCAATGGGGGCGTTTGCTGCAAGCCCCTCATATTGTCCTAGTGCAGGTGTCTGATGCGTCAACCCCGGGGACCATGAGGAGACGCACGCTAGTGCAGCATTCTCGTAGCTCTTGGGACATGAAGTTCCCTCTAGAAACCGAGTTGCCGACTACATATTACTCCCTCTCTTTGCTGTCTCCCTATTGGCGGGGCACACATTTTGCCCAGCTCGTTTCGTGTACCCTCTCCAGCTCACATGTAGCTTACTACATACACTTCTCTGGCATGGTTGCTGCTCTTTTCTGACACACTTGGCAGGGTAATAAAGCGTCTTTTCCGATCTCTAACCACCTTCACAATGGCACCTGTCCAGAAGCCGCGCTTTCGAAAGGTGCAGAGCTTCAAGACTGACTATGCCCCCACCACCATAACTCAATATGAGTCGGAGCGCAGCGGCATGCAGGTCATCGTGGCCGACCGAGAAGGACCCAAGATCAACGGCTACTTCACCTTAGCCACCGAAATATTCGATGACTCCGGAGCCCCACACACCCTTGAGCACCTGGTCTTCATGGGCTCCAGAAGCTACCAGTACAAAGGGCTCCTGGACAAGTTGGCATCGAGGGCTTACTCCAACACAAATGCCTGGACTGCTGTTGACCACACGGCATACACTCTGGAGTCCGCGGGCTGGGACGGCTTCGCCCAGATCCTGCCCGTCTATCTGGAGCACATCATCCTTCCCAACATCACAGATGAGGCTTGTACCACTGAGGTTCATCATGTGGATGGCGAGGGCAACGACGCGGGTGTGGTCTATTCTGAGATGCAGGCTCTGCAGTACAGCATGACTGAGCTCATGGATCTCCGCGCACGACGGCTCCTGTACCCGGAGAATGTGGGTTTTCGTTATGAGACAGGAGGCATGATGGAGGCCCTTCGTGCGTTGACCCCGGCGCGGATTCGCGAATTCCACAAGGAGATGTACCAGCCTCGAAACCTAGCGGTCATTATTGTCGGAGAGACGAATCATGAGAACCTACTCGAAATTCTGGACGAGTTTGAGGAGAGCATAAAAGACTCCATACCTCCACTGGAATCTCCATTCAGGCGGTAAGCCCTATCGTGCTATTCTTTTATGCTTTCGGGAACTCCTGTGTTCTGACCTCGACACAGGCCCTGGATAAACTCTCCCCAGCCACCGGCCATAAAGAAGACCATCGTCGAGACAGTTGAATTCCCCGAGGAGGACGAGTCAACAGGCGACATTGCCATTGCCTTCTTCGGCCCAAATTGTACCAATTTGATTGAAACATCTGCATTGAACATCCTGATGACTTACCTTTGCGGCTCGTCGGTCTCAGTCCTCGAGAACGTCATGGTCGAAAAGGAGGAATTGGCCAGCTCTGTTTCCTACTGGTGGGACAGCAGGCCCAACACTACTATATGGTTTCAGCCCACAGGCGTTGCAACCGAAAAGCTCGAATTCGTGGAAAAGAGGCTGCATGAGTTGTTGAAAGAGGTCGCATCGAAGCCGCTTGACATGACTTACATGAAAGAGTGCATCAACCGAGAACAAAGACTTGTCAAGTTCCAGGCGGAGAGTTCCGAGCAATTTTACTCGAACAATATCATCACCGACTACCTGTTCGGCAAGCGGGACGGTTCAACCCTCAACGAGTTTCGCACATTGAAGGAATACGATGTTCTGGGTCAGTGGGCTGAGGAACAGTGGCAGGCATTCCTGAGAAAGTGGCTGGTTGATGTCCACCACATTTCCACGCTCGGTAAACCTTCAATGGCTATGGCGACCAAGTTGAAGAAGGCGGAAGAGGATCGTGTTGCAAAGAGGAAGGAGAAGCTGGGACCCGAAGGACTGAAGAAGCTGGCGGAGAAGGTCGAAGCAGCCAAGGCAAAAAACGACGTCGTGATCCCCGGGTCTTTCATCGATCAGTGGCACGTCCCAGGCACCGAGTCCATACACTTCATCGAATCGAGCACTGCGAGGTCTGGAAGGGCAAAAGATGTTGGCTTGAGCAACAATGCGGCCCAAAAAGCGATTGATGCTGCGAAGCCAGGACTACCACTTTTTATCCAGTTTGAAGATGTGCCGAGCAACTTTGTCAACATCTCGGTTCACATCGGGACGTCACAGGTGCCGGTGGAGCTCAAGCCGATACTCTCCATATTCATCGACAATTTCTTCAACACGCCGATCAACCGCGACGGCAGGCTGATCGATTTCGAAGATGTGGTCATGGAACTTGAGAAGGACACAATCAGCTACACTCTCAATGGCGGGGGCAAAATCTACGACCCTGAGAGCATGCTGATCAGCTTTCAGCTTGAGCCGGAGAAATACACGACCATCATTGAGTGGATCCGGACGCTTATGTTTGACAGTGTCTTCGACATCACGAGAATCAAGGCATGTATATCAAAGGCACTGGCGGATATCCCAGAGGCAAAGCGAGATGGTAGGGCCATGTCTCTTGAGGTCGATTGGGCAGTGCACATACGAAAAGAGTGGTACCCCATGACGAAGAGGACGCTGGTCAGGGCTGTCTACCTCCGCCGGCTGAAGAAGCTGCTCCAGAAGGAGCCCCAGAAGGTCCTTGACATGTTTGAGCAGCTTCGCAAGCTCCTATTTTCCTTCCACAACGTCCGAGTCCTGGTCATCTCTGATATCGCCAAGCTCAGCGAACCTGTTCAGTCTTGGGACGTCCTCACCAAGTCATTCGGTAGCGATGGTACGGCCAAGGAATTGTTGCCCATCGTCAAGACCCATACCATGCTCAATGAGGAGGGCCACTCACCTGGCAACACCGGCACCGTCATCATCCCCATGACCACCCTCGACACGTCCTACAGCGTCAGCACAACCAAGGGTCTCACCTCGTACGAGGACCCCCGCATCCCCGCCATGCTAGTCGCCATAGGGTACCTGGAGGCGGTCGAGGGCCCCCTCTGGAACGCCGTCCGCGGCAGCGGGCTCGCCTACGGCACGCACTTCAGCCGGGAGATGGACTGGGGCTTCCTGCAGTACCGGGTGTACCGCTCTCCGGACTCGAGCAAGGCCATCGACACCTCGAGGGAGACGGTGGCGCGGATCGCCTCGGGCGAGGTCCCGCTGGACAAGCACCTCGTCGAGGGCGCCGTCAGCAGCATCGTGTCCAGCTTCGCGGACGAGCAGGCCACCATGTCGTATGCGGCGCAGCAGAACTACATCCTCGGCGTGGTCAGGGGCCTCGACCCGGCCTGGACCAAGAACATCCTGGCGCAGGTGCGCAACGTGACGGGCGAGGAGATCAGGGAGGTCATGGGCGAGCTGATCCTGCCTGTCTTCCAGCCTGGCAAGAGCAACGTTGTCGTGACCTGTGCGCCGATAATGCAGGAGGTATGTCGCTGTCACTGCTTTCCCCGAACTAGTCTCATGACAGCACCCCGCTGCCGTTTGATAGAAGCGCATGCTGACAGAATATACAGAACATGGACAAGGCGTTTAAGAACATGGGATACAAAACACAAGTGCGATCACTTTCAGACTTCTACGACGCCTACGGCCTGGAAGGAGATGACGAGGATGGCAAAGAGGACCCTGAGGACGATGAGGAAGAGGAGGATTCAGACGAGGACGAGGATATGTCTGAGGACGGGTCTGGTTCTGAAGAGGACGAGGAGTGAACTGCTGGCCGTGAACTGTCGCCGGACCCTACGACGAGGACTTCTCTACAAGAGCTCCGCCCGACCTTACAACTGAGACGTGGTACATAGACACCGTTCATAGACTTGGGCAGTGGAATTGAGTGACTGAAATCTGTTATGGCATCGTGCGTCACAAGTTGACGATTTCAGAAAACCCAAACCGGCAACCAACAAATCCCTATACTCCTTCAGCACACTGAGTAAATACTGCATGCGATGCTATCCAGCTGTGGTGGCTTGCCACACACTGTTGTCTCAAGCCAGCCATCCCCGTCACCAGCATGCCAGTGGACCACCAACCACACTCAGGTGGCTTTTGCTTGACGCAGCGGATTCCGCGCCGGGGGCCCAGGGCTTGACAACCCGCATGGACGAACGTGTCGAGGGAAGTTTGGACCCCGCGAAAGTACTATCAGAAGCATATCACGTCTTGCCCACACCGTGCGCATGTTTATGCATTCAATCGTCCACACCTAATTCGCCACGTCCCTCATCCAACAGACCCCATCCCCCTTCTGGAGACGGCCGGGGAGAGCTCAAGAGGCTAGAAGGATATGAAACCATGCTAGACGACACATCCCCTTCTGGCACCTGCGATCTGCAAAAAAGACGGCGCATCATGCCCATCAGCATCACCCGCATTTCGGGCCAAGGAACGATTCGCGCAGGCTCCTGCGACATGCGACTGGACCCTGGGGGTCGCATTCTCCAGGCCCTGTGTTCTAGGTTCGTGCGACGGACCCGTGTGCGCTACAGCATACACTGTCCCGCTACGGGCCTCGTCCTTTATGCTTTACCGGCCCCCGAACAGGTAGGCAGGACGTGGCGTGGGCTGCGCCAGTTAGCCGCGCAGAGTGAAACGGGGCCAGACGGCTAACACCCAGTCCCCTTCCAGCAAGCGGGGTGGGTTTGCGGCGAGGGACTCCAGCTGGGGAAGGGGTGCGAAACGAGCGTGAAGCTAGCACAGCCTACCTCTGCTATGCACATGCGATCTGCCACGTCAAAGCTCTGCAGGTACGTAGAGAGGTAGCAGAAAAGGAAAAAAAAGCGGACGGGCAAAAAGGAATGGACAACCAAAGTCGCGAACCCGAGTCCCGCTTGTCTTCGTGATTGGGTGCCGAAAGTCTCCGAATCGGGGACCAGATCAGCCCACCAAAGGTTGCGTGCAGGACCGCGGTGGGTTGGTCCGGGTTGGACGGCGATGTCCTGGGCTCTGTCTCCCAGGCTGCAGCAAGGCTGCCAGGACCCAGCAGAGTTATCGCGGGCATCAATCATGCCGCTCTTTCGGCAGGCACACCGGCGATCCCAGCGATCGAGTCAAAAACAACAGGAACATCCCGTTTCCCTCGGACGCGCCCCAGCTGTCTTGGTCAAGGTTGTTGGCTGTTGGGTTCCCCCTAGGTGACCAGGCTGGATTGGGCAAGGTGAATTCAGGGGGATCGGCGGCCGGATAAGGTTCTGCCAGCAGGAGCAGACGGACCAGGTGGGAATACGCTCACTGGAGGATCGGATGAACATGTTGCCAGCCTCGGACCAGGCAAGCCTGAAGCTCTTCCCAAAACAACCTTGTTTGGGGAAAGTCGCTCTCAGCGGACCTTGCCTTTGACGCCGTGCTCCATTGCAGAGAGATATACTCTGTAGCCAGCCGGTCAGCCATCTCTGTCGTGGGAGAGGAGCGACTACGAAGAGCAAAGAACTCGCAGTCCCAGGGCGGCGGGATGGCACGATTCGGCCTGGGGAGGAGATCTCAGAAGAAAAACCGGGACCGATGGATGATACGCAGCGCAGAGTTGCGTCCGGTCCATCAGCGTCGAATCATGGGGTGAGGGAGGGGGAGCATCCTAGTCCTCTAACCCGCATTCCGTACCCGCATCCCGTTCCTAACCTGGGCCCATAGCGCCAGGCACGTTGAATGCAGAGAGAACTCAGATAACGGCCGACAACGCGGGTCATTCTCGGTCGCACAGTACCTGGGTGGTTGACTTTCTCTCTGGCCGTGTGTGCCAAGGTGCACGGTAGCAGGAGGAGCCCGGGGTTTACGCAAGCAACACTCGCATGAATCCTACTTTGGAGACCCCTCTGGGCGAGTCGGAGTGTTTCTCCCCTTCGATCTAAAGTAAAGTTTGTGTGCATTTGCATCACGCTCAATCTTGGCTAGGGCCCAAGAGCCCGAGGCGGAGAGATGTTTGACGGGCATATTAACGGGGAAAAGCAACGCGCGTTTGCATTATGTCGGCGTGAGATGCTCTAGCCCGCGAGCTGCCAGAAGTAACCCAGGTGCGCACTGGCACACGCGCGTCACATCTCTCAGGCAGGGCTGACACTTGCTGCATCAAGTCGGACAATTTTCCTTTTCGGATCATAAGCGGTGCGAGAAGAGAGACGTTTTGATGGCCCAAACCGAACAACCGGCATTGGTCAACCGGGACTTCCCCGTCTCCGAAAATGTGGCTTCCTGCATGGGCTATTAAAGGTCACCACCGGCCCCTTTGTGTCGTACGCTTCGTCCTTGGTGTCTTGACAGTGGGCGTGGATGATCTGAGGAGCCGCATAAGGAACGGACATTTGGCTCCACAATGTCATTGACTGGGGAAAGGATAGAGGAGGCTGGAAAGTATTTCAAAGTTTGCGAGTTCTCGGAACCCAGTCCATCACACCTTTGACGCCAGCTGTTCTTCTTCATCATGCCAGCAAGTCCGGGTCTGTGATTTGTAGCCGTTTGACATTCGACAAACCACAGTACCTAGGTAGTGCTGGATTCACTAGGTCGCTCACCATTTTGACAGCCAACTCCTCAGCAGGTGGGGTGGCCAGCCAAGAGCCACAACCGGAAGGGAGGAAAACCCATCCCTCCACTGTGGAAGGCGATCTGCAGATGCGGAAAGAAGTCGCATACCGCAGCGCTGTGCACCCTCTGGGTCGTGACAGGCGGAGAGCGCATGTCATCTGGAGAGGCTTCAACAACCTGATTCAGGAGAGCAGGCGGACAGGGCGTACAACCCTGGGCCCCAGCTTCGTGCCAACCGGCATCAGGATGATCTCTCGAGACGGCACGCAGTAGAAGCCGAACGATATGTCATAAAGCTCCACATGCATAGCGAATCATGACATCTTGTGAAATCGAGGAAAACATGACCGATCTTGGGCCTTGAAATGCGCCTGCGACCGTCGTTGTCGGCAGTTCATAAGCCAGGACCGATTTGATTGTTGCACCACTTATATGTTGTATAGTGGCTTGACAAGTGCCGTCCGTTCATTCAGCCTCATCGAATTCGCCATTCGTAATAGAACGCCTCTCTGCTCATAATCGTGCTCAGGCTTTCCCCAGAGAGGATCAAGCAGTTGCGGGAAGTGCGCAAGGATGTGGAGTAAAAACTTCAGACGAAATAAAAGATCGCACTATGCCATTCAAGGTAGTGATCTACCTCTCCCCATGACACGTTTTCGTCTGAAGTCTCGACCCATATTTCCAGGGGTAAGTCGTGCTCGAGCAGCACGGAGCTACCATGGCGACAAGGGGCGGCATGAACATGTTGCCACACTGTGTCCAGACGTCCGTGGTGGCACTCGGACCAAGGTGCTCTGGACTGAGCTTCCGGAAGAAGCCTGCCTGCATGTGTCGCCGCGAATGCTATCCCGAAAAATCCATAGCGACAACGACGAGGTGTGGCAACAAGACGCTGCTGAAGTGGTGGAGCGAGCCTAGTGCCAGGGATTGCGGGTTCCGACTGGCAGGCACCTCAGTCTGTCTGTGGGGCGAAAGCATCAGTGGTCCCGCGGCGACGCCGTCGTTTTACCCGCTCTTGAGGCCGGAGCTTCAAGTTACTATTTCTGGTGTCTGTCAGGCGCCGTCACTCACAGTCACAACGATTGTGACTATTGCAGGCCGTGCTGACAGACTTACATCTCCAATACTCACAGTATGCCCATCCCATACGTACCTCCGCCTGGTATTCAAGCGGCAACGCAACCAACTTCATACAGGACTCGACTTCCGGCCACAGTTATTGCCTACTGGCAACTGCAGCACGACGATCCCCCAGCTTAGCTCTTGCTGGGGAGTTGCCGCGGTGTCTCTGATCGAGTGGCACGCGCCACGATTCTCATAACCCATCGAGGATGCGACAAAACAAGTACAAATTCGAGTCGATTGCTTGCGGGCGGGGGTTGCAATTTCAAGTCTTCGCAGCTGATCTCAAGAAAGAAGGCGTAGCATGCGGAAATGCACTTCATATGCATACTCATCGGCGTGCTTCCAAGATTATTCTGCGATGAGTACTGCGCCAGTGGCCGTTGACTGACACTCAAGTATCTATACAGAAGACCGATGCCGTGACTCGTGGGGCAAGAGCACAACGCGAACGCAGGTCGAGGTCTACAGCCGTGTGTGTCTTACGAGCCGTTGGTAAATCCGCCGTTCAAGTGGCAGGGGCTTAGAAAATGCTAGTGTGTGTGTGAGCGGGTCGCACGGTGGGGTCGCACTGGCCTGGTGGTCGCTCGGCTTTCGTCGAACTTTTCTTGGCGAGCTCCCCCTTTTCAGCTGACCCATCCCATTCGTTCCAGAACGCGCCGGCAGTGGCTCGCTGCAAGACGCGAGTCCAGAAGTGAGTCGGCATGCCGGGCTTCCACTGGATATGAGTATGACGCTTCTGCGGCTTGATGGGTAGGGTCGAAAGACAACGGTCAACCGCGCGCAAGCTGACTGGACGTCAGAGAGTTCTTAAGACTAGTCTTCGCGCGAATTGGGTTTCTTTTTGGCCTCGCGTATTGCCAACACAGATGTCTCCGTGCCCAAGGGCTGGAGACTTTGGCGCTTGGTTCCATGTACATGGTTGGAGCTCGGCCGGGCGCAAGGCGCGCGAACCATAAATTGCAGACGCAGTGTTGCTCAACTCCTTTTGAGGGGCCGGCCACTTCGCGGAGACTCAGCTTGCTGCACTCTGCGACGTAGCGGAGCCATGATGCTGCAGCAGCTGCTA